TCCATTAGAGACTGCAACCTGAACACAGCACCTAGGACCTTTCGGCATTGGACCCTGGTGTATTTGGAGTTGGGGATGTGTACCTTTATTCCCAGGGTACTATCAGCTTCCATTGGACCCCTGCACCCAGAGTAAAGACTATAAATTGTGGTAGAGTATCTAGGGAAGATTGGAGGTTTTGAGCCCTGGTATGCTCAGCACTTACCCAATGAAGTACATGGCTTACCCAAGAGACGTTTGATATTTGAATGGCAGGAAAAGTTTAATATCTAACCATCTGTCTAATTGGGTCCTATCGGTACGGCTTGAACCGGAGTGCATTAATATGTTTTACAGTGCTTCACCACATTACTAACAGGATTGGAATCCATCCTTTAATGGACAACCACTTTCTAGCACACAAATAGCAACCTTGTGGTAGAAGAGAAGTCCAAGTAAGCAGAATAGACATGTCAGAAGTGGGATTCGAACCCACGCCTCCATTGGAGACTGCGACCTGAACGCAGCGCCTTGGACCGCTCGGCCATCCTGACTTCCTGCCGCATTTCCAAGCTTGATTTTGAAAAGCTTTAAATAGCCTGAGAGTGCAGGTGGGCATGATGAGGGCTTTGTCTTAGACTGTAAGAGCTCCCACAAGATGCCTTTGAGAACCCACCCCGGATCACAATTGACATAAGGTCAAGATAAATCCACCTTGAGAGCTCAAAGAGAAGAGGTGGTGCACATGGATGCACATGGATTATACTTGTGGAGGTGCTTAACAATTGATTCATCTTGTAAAAAATTCTTCGTTAGAACCTTTCCTGCGTCAGAAGGATGAAGGGTCTATGTCAGAAGTGGGTTTCGAACCCACATCTCCATTAGAGACTGCAACCTGAACACAGCACCTAGGACCTTTCGGCCTTGGACCCTGGTGTATTTGGAGTTGGGGATGTGTACCTTTATTCCCAGGGTACTATCAGCTTCCATTGGACCCCTGCACCCAGAGTAAAGACTACAGGTGCTGGTCATAAAATTAGAATATCATGAAAAAGTAGATTGATTTCAGTAATTCCATTTAAAAAGTGAAACTTGTATATTATATTCATACATTACATACAAACTCATATATTTCAGATGTTTATTTTGTTTAATTTTGATGATTACAAATGACAACAAATGAAAATCTCAAATTCATCATATCAGAAAATTAGAATATTACTGAAGACCAATAAAAACAAAGGATTTATAGAAATGTTGGCCAACTGAAAAGTATGAACATGAAAAGTATGAGCATGTACAGCACTCAGTATTTAGTTGGGCCTCCTTTGGCCTGTATTACTGCAGCAATGCGGCGTGGCATGGAGTCGATCAGTCTGTGGCACTGCTCAGGTGTTATGATAGCCCAGGTTGCTCTAATAGTGGCTTTTAGCTCTTCTGAATTGTTGGGTCTGGTGTATTGCATCTTCTTCTTCACAATACCCCATAGATTTTCTATGGGGTTAAGGTCAGGAGAGTTTGCTGGCCAATTAAGAACAGGGATACCATGGTCCTTCAACCAGGTACTGGTAGCTTTGGCACTGTGTGCAGGTGCCAAGTCCTGTTGGAAAATGAAATCTGCATCTCCAAAAAGTTGGTCAGCTGCAGGAAGCATGAAGTGCTCTAAAACTTCCTGGTATGTGGCTGCGTTGACCCTGGATCTCAGAAAACACAATGGACCAACACCAGCAGATGACATGGCACCCCAAACCATCACTGACTGTGGAAACTTTACACTGGACTTCAAGCAACGTGGATGAAGTGCCTCTCTTCTTTTCCTCCAGACTCTGGGACCTTGATTTCCAAAGGAAATGCAAAATTTACTTTCATCAGAGAACATGACTTTGGACCACTCACCAGCAGTCCAGTCCTGTTTCTCTTTAGACGCTTCTGACGCTGTCTGTGGTTCAAGAGTGGCTTGACACAAGGAATGCGACAGCAGAAACCCATGTCTTTCATACGTCTGTGTGTGGTGGTTCTTGAAGCACTCACTCCAGCTGCAGTCCACTCTTTGTGAATCTCCCCCACATTTTTGAATGGGTTTTGTTTCACAATCCTCTCCAGGGTGCGGTTATCTCTCTTGCTTGTACACTTTTTTCGACCACATCTTTTCCTTCCCTTCGCCTCTCTATTAATGTGCTTGGACACTGAGCTCTGTGAACAGCCAGACTCTTTAGCGATGACCTTTTGTGTCTTGCCCTCCTTGTGCAAGGTGTCGATGGTCGTCTTTTGGACAACTGTCAAGTCAGCAGTCTTCCCCATGATTGTGTAGCCTATAGAACTAGACTGAAAGACCATTTAAAGGCTTTTGCAGGTGGTTTGAGTTAATTAGCTGATTAGAGTGTGGCACCAGGGGCCATCAATTTTGAACCTTTTCACAATATTCTAATTTTCTGATATGATGAATTTGAGATTTTCATTTGTTGTCATTTGTAATCATCAAAATTAAACAAAATAAACATCTGAAATATATGAGTTTGTATGTAATGTATGAATATAATATACAAGTTTCACTTTTTAAATGGAATTACTGAAATCAATCTACTTTTTCATGATATTCTAATTTTATGACCAGCACCTGTATAAATTGTGGTAGAGTATCTAGGGAATCCATTGCATGTTTCCAAGCGATACAAGGCGTTGTCTATATAAGACTCAAACTCACTGCGGATCCAGACATTTGAATTGAGAAAGCTTCCTGGAGAGGTGGCGAAACATCTTCAAATCTTGAAAACCAAGTCCAGTGGATATTTTTTTGAATTTTTACGGAGTATCTAGGGAAGATTGGAAGTTTTGAGCCCTGGTATGCTCAGCACTTACCCAATGAAGTACATGGCTTACCCAAGAGACGTTTGATATTTGAATGGCAGGAAAAGTTTAATATCTAACCATCTGTCTAATTGGGTCCTATCGGTAGAGCTTGAACCGGAGTGCATTAATATGTTTTACAGTGCTTTACCACATTACTAACAGGATCTTAATCAATCCTTTAATGGACAACCACTTTCTAGCACACAAATAGCAACCTTGTGGTAGAAGAGAAGTCCAAGTAAGCAGAATAGACATGTCTGAAGTGGGATTCAAACCCACACCTCCATTGGAGACTGCGACCTTAACGCAGCGCCTTGGACCGCTCGGCCATCCTGACTTCCTGTCACATTTTGGAGCTTGATTTGGAAACGCTTTAAATAGCCTGAGAGTGCAGGTGGGCACGATGAGGGCTTTGTCCTAGACCATAAGAGCTCCCACAAGATGCCTTTGAGAACCCACCCCAGATCACAATTGACATAAGGTCAAGATAAATCCACCTTTGGAGCTCAAAGAGAAGAGGTGGTTGTAGCTTGATTCCCAAGTTTACTCTTCTGTCCACCGAGACACAGATACCCACAACTAAGTTTGGAAATTGGCTTTGGAGCTTGAAAAAAGCAAACAAATTGAAAGCTGTACATACGTTACTTAAGGAGAGCTACTCAAGAAAATGAAACAGTTTATCATTAATCCCTTTGTCTTAATGGGGGAACTACAATGAATCCCTTTCCCTGGAACGGCTTCTAAAACACAGAAACAACTCTTCAAAATTCATTTACGGTCATCCAGAAAGCAGAAGGACTTCAACTGGGTTAAAGAATGGAAAATGTAAACTTGAGCTGCTGTGGGAGGGGAAGATGTACATGGATTATACTTGTAGAGGTGCTTAACAATTGAGTCATCTTGTAAAAATTCTTCGTGAGAACCTTTCCTGTGTCATAAGGCTGAAGGGTCTATAAAATGGAAATTCGGTTCTAGGGGATAGGGGTCCTTGTACCCTGCATACTCAAGCTCTGGAACTCCAAAAAGATACACATCTAGTCAAAAATCCCAATTAGATAAAACTTTGACTCATAAGGAGAAAAGATCCTTAAAATGGACCCTGGGGTATTTGTACCTTTAGTCCCATGGTACTATCAGCTTCCATTAGACCCATGCAGCCACAGTTAAGCCTAGAAATGGTGGTAGAGGATGTAGGGAAGATTGGGAGTTTTTAGACCTGGTATGCTCAGCACTTACCCAATGAAGTACATGGCTTACCCAAGAGACATTTTATATTGAATGGCAGGAAAAAAGTACAATCATTTATCATTTTACAGAGCAACTCAAGTCTGGTTAAAAAGAGGATTATGTTTTATGTTCGAAAACATCCATTTTGAGTGTGTGTTGAGGTATAGTTTTGTATATGTAAATAATTTTAAGTGCAATTGAATCATTTTTGTGTTGGAAATCTTTGATTTGCTTTCCTGGGAATCCTCATCAGATATTCACATGTACTTCCAGTGATGAACTACAATAAAAGGAATCTTTAAACCCATACTGCTCCCCGGGCGCTGCACAGTGGCAGCCCACTGCTCCCAAAGGGGATGGGCTACATGCAGAGAGTTTATTTCTGTACTTGTTAGAGTGTAAAGACAATTAAACGTTGGTAAAATAAAATGGTTTTTTTTTACCCTAAAAACTGATACATATAACTAAGGATTTTTTTTTTTTCGGTGATCACTGTCCTCACCACAAGCTTTTAAATCTCAAGAATCAGAATAGAATTGATTCTTCAAATTTTAATCAATACACAGCCCCATCTTCGGAATTGGGCTTAGATCATTTAAACAGGTAAGATTTCAGTAACCTAATGTTAATTGCTTCTTACGGTTGTCATTCTTTTTCTTTTTTTTTTTGTTTGTTATTGTGAATATTTTTATTTATTTATTTTTTGTTATTATTATTATTTTTTATTTTTATTTTAATTTTTTAAAAAAAAATTTAAGTTCTTTTTCACATGAACTGCCCTTCTAACATCACATTGGTCGCTACCCATGTCCGTGAAAGAGCAATCTTATTGTAATAGGGTACTAGATTATCCTCTAGGAACCGCCCCATTGATCACAAAAGCGACCTCCTATTGGCCGAACAGTCGGAGGAACACAGCTTTCCTTCTACGATTGGTGTAAGACATTTCAATCACAGAATTACTTCAAGGCGATTGGTCAATTTGACTGTCCCTCAACCCACTCCTGGCCGTGGATTGGTGGAGCCAGCCGGGCGGATTCCTTCATGGCTTGGTCTTCAAGGCTGTGGAGAGCGAATGTCGTCATGAGCGGTGGGTAGGAATGAAAACATTGGTGTTTATGTTACATTCTACTTCATAAACAGCGGATTGATGTTTAGGAGAAAAGCACTAGGTGTTATGTGCACATACAACTGTGTTTGAAAAGAACAGGTTTGGTTTTATGCTCTAGAATGAGCCATGAACATCCGGAAAAGGGCTGCCTTTTTTCTGTACGGCATCAAAGAGTTTCGTTGGCTAGCTGCGACTCAGCTAGCTAGAATGCTAAGCAGCTGGTGTTTCACTTGTCCCAGATATTTTCTCTGCATTTAGTTCCTCTACGCCCAAGTAGACCGTTAGATTATTCAAATGATGTCTGTCCCGTTCAAATTTCAGTCCATGTTACAATAAAACGAGGCTGAAAAAGATGCTAAACCCGCCTGAGCTTTAGTGCTGAATTGCTAGCTTGGCGCTTGCTTGCTAAAACTAGCAGCTCGTTCAGAGCAAACTGCTCAGCTGACCAACGCTCCACAGTCCACAGGCTTTATTATGATTTTGGTTGCATACAGGAAAAGGATTACATTAGTATTACCACTACTGATGACAAATTTAGAATACCTGAATCTTAACCTTTTATTTTTACTGGACAGCAAAACTGTGATTGAGTCTCTCCCCTTATATGGGTACCTCTATACTTATAATGGTAAAAGTTGGCTTCATGATAAACATTGATGGGAAAGAAAAACACAAAAAGAAAAACTGATGTTGAAAATAATTGCTGAGATGTTGAATATTGGAGAGATCTGCTTATTCGTTCTCTGTAGTCACTCTTTACTTTGAGGTATTTTCCTGTTTATTTGCTCTGACGATAAAGATTTCAAATGTTCAACCTTCTGTTGGCAGATTTACTTTTACCTTATGTTTTGAAAACTACGGAAGATGATTAGGGCCACTGAAGAAATAATAATAAAAAAGTTACGTGATTTAAATATTATTTCAGTTTAATATGGGGATAAAAGTCATAGTTCTAACTTTTTTCTCAGAATTCTGACTTTAATCTCAGAATTTTGGATTTTAATGTAGATGGGCACAATGAAGAAAGAGATGTGGGAGCACTCAGCTTTACTGACAAAGATGTGAGTTGTTTGGAAGGGCCAGAAACACATTGGTGGAAAATGATGGAATTAGGCGACTTCTTACGTGCCAGAGGGGTTCCTGGTGATGCTATTTCATTAGTGGAAGAGCAGAAGGTGATTAAAACAAGAGAGCTAGTTTATGCTCTTAAACATCTTGATTCTAACATGATTGTTAGCTGTCAGAAGCTGAGATTAAAGTCAGAATTGTGAGTAAAGAGTCAAAATTCTGGGATTAAAGTCAGAATTCTGAGAAAAAAGTCAGAATTGTGAGAAAAGAGTAAAAATTCTGAGATTAAAGTCAGAATTGTGAAAAAAAATAAACATTCTGACTTTTTTCTCATATTATACTGAAATAAAATTGAAAAATCAGTTAACTTTTTAAAAAATTTTCAGTAGCCCTAATCCTCTTCCGCAGAAAACAGTGGGAACTGACTAGGGCTGAAACAATCCGGTTAAACGTGATCAATCAAGTTTTGAAATAATTGTAAACTAATGTAGTAATTAGGGTTGTCACGATACTAAACTTTTAAACTCGATACCGATACTAAGGAAAATATTCGATACTCGATACCATTTTCGATACCACAAAGATAAAATTTCAACAGAAATATTTTGATTAATAATTAAAATACAATAAATAAATACAATAAACAATAAGAACAACATTTTGAGGTTGTTTGCTGTGCACCGTATTTAGCAAGCTTGATAAAAAACTTACAAAATTAAAATTAAGTTTTCCTTACTTGGCTGTGCTTTGCACACATAACAATGACACTAGCCAGACTGGTTAAGAGACAAAAATAATTCTCAGCAGCTGCAACTGTTGCTGCACAGAATTATTCAATCACAGTGTTCAGAAAGTGCATTTTCCTCTATTCTGCACTTTAGATGAATGACTGTTTAGGTGTGACTGGTACTCGATACTTTTGAAAATGAGTATTGTATCCGTATACAACATTTCAGTATCGATACTTTTCTGAGTATCAATACTTTTGACAACCCTAGTAGTAATTAATTAATCGTTAACTCTGGTGTAGAGACTGTAAGACATGCCTTTAGCTGACAGAGCGACCCAATTAGAGCAGTAATTATAACAAAACTTATAGAATTTATAGAATTGTCATTTAAGTTAAAAATAACTTACTAACTAACTAATGTTTAGTTGCAGCCCTAGAACTGACGTTAAATGTTAAATGAGCCTTAAGAGTTTGTAGAAACACAAAGATATGGTTTTTCTTTATTCTTTTCCCTTTTCAACGTCTGTTGTATTTTCAAAAATTAACAAGTAAAATTATTATTTTCATCTCCTCCATACAGTATTTTGTACCCAGCTGATTCTATGAGGAAAATCCTTTATTTAAAAAAAAGATAATAATTTCCCCCCCAAAACACCTACGGGTTTTCTGTCTTCAATTTGTTTTTTGGATTCCTGCATTCCGATTGAATTTTACGAATTATCATATTCTCTTCACTTCAAGCCCCATAAAGACAATCATGACGCTCGCTTTGACCAATAAAAATGTTGTGGCTAATAATCTCTACATCGAAAGTCTTTAAAACAAATAACAAAAAATTGGAGAAAAAAAAAATGAATATTTGAAACAAAACCTAAATCTTACTCTAAAAAAACTTTTTTGATTAAAATGGTATTTGAAGCATAATCTCTGGATTATATATATTTTTTCCAATATCAATTTATTTATTTATATGGAGCGAATTTAAAATAAAATTATTTAGACACCTGCAGATTTTTTTTCTTCTTTGCTTCTCATGTCTCATCGTTTCTATGTTTCATTATTCAGACACCAATATGTTAAAAATTGGCTACTTTATTATGCTTTTAATGCATTTAATCACAGATGATCAAATGTCAAAAATCTGTATCAACTGACTGTTTGTTGCTGTTGAGAATTTTTGATATTTATAGACTGACCATCTGTTGAATTTTGACCTGGTTTTAGTCAGCGAGCTCACTGCCAAAGTTAACAGTTGTGCGCTAAGACAAACTGCCATCAGTGTTGGATCACTTTTTCCTTTCTTGGCTTTCAGCAGCAGGCAGCTCAGGCCGGTTTCCAATCTTTTGCTGTTTTCCACCTTGAAAGTTTGGTTGTTGTCTGTTTGCTGCATATTCAGCAAATAAGAAGCTTATTGCTGAGGTGTGCTTGTTCATTATCTTACCATGCATTCAGGCTCTCTGAGCCAGTTTTTCTTTTATCTAATCCTAGTTGTTAAACGCAGATTTTAAAGTTTCACAATGTAAATTTCACCCTTTTTCATAAACCTGCATTAATATGCTGGTACAAAGATAGGTAGGCTGGAGTTAAATGACTTTTGAGTGCATTGACATTGAGCAGTAGGAAGATGGAATCCAACCCACAAGTTTTAGATAGCAAGACATCTCTACCTACTGTGATGGTAAGGAGGTCTGGTCATTTAAAAAGAAACTACTGCTTAGTGGGCTGGGGGTCAGAACAGCAGAAAATGGTCGTAAACCTTTTTTTCCTTAAGTAAAACTTGGGAATAAAATAAGGGATTCTACTTTTGTTCCCTGGAGGTCGATGTTGGCTGGTTTTTATGTTCTTTATGACCCGAAAAAAGGATATGACTTGAACACTTTTCAGTTTATTTATTACAAGTCGTATATCCGTATTTAAGCCTTCACCATAATTATTGCATACAGCTTGTGGAGGTGGATACAGAGTCTATCTGGCAACTGGAACCTTAAGATTTCCATCTTAAGGTTTTATTGAAAAAGTTGCTTCTGGTCAATGTCTACAAAAGAGATGCAATTTATCAATTAATCCGTAAATAAATGTATTGATCTTTTCTAAGGCTGAAACAATTAATGGAATTAATAGATTATTTGAATAATCGTCAACTAATTTAGTAATCAATTAATCGTTAAATGGAGTATAACGACTCTGAAACGTGCCTTTAGCTGACAGAGAGAGACCCTCTTAGATAAGTAATTATACGAAAATAGTAAAAAAACATTTAGGATTAAAAAACATTTTTGTCTTTTTACATGCTCCATTCAGAACTCAAGTAGAAACGTTTTAGTTTCACCCAACTCTGTAAAAAATCTTCTTTAAAGAACCTTTTGCTATCCGATTATTAATCGAAAAAAAATTATCGACCGATTAATTGATAAGCAAAGTAATCATTAGTTGCAGCTCTAATCATATTGATCGTCTAACAAATTGATTAACTGCCATTTTCTTTAAAATTAGAATTTTCTCCTATGACAAGAGGATCTTTCCATTACATAAGGCGCTTTGATATATATATATATATATATATATATATATATATATATATATATATATATATATATATATATATATATATATATATATTATATATTTATTTTATTTTTTACAATATTATCAATTAAAATAACAAATGGTACATTACTGTATTTTTACTGTTTATTTTGCCGGCTGTAATAAAAAGGACTGAATAAACAAAAAAGCTTTCATGTATATTAATAAACCATATAGAACACATTTAAACATATTTATATTAAATATATACAACAAAGCAGGAACCTATTAGGTTCCTTATTTAAAAAAATCCTCAGATGGATAAAATTTTAATCTTATAAACCATTAATAGACAGTTGATCATGTCCATTATTTGTTTAGAGTAGAATAGAAAAATAGAAAGATCCCTTTATTGTCCCAGAGTCTGGTGTTTATAGCAGCAGAAAATTAGAGAAAAAAGTTATCACACAAAGGTGGACCTTAGAAAAATGTAAAAGAATAACTTATATTGCAGAGTTAGAAAATAAACAATAAAATACTGTAGTGTAAAGTGTTTTAACAATATAAAACTGTGCACCTGGAGAGTTTACATCCTCTGTTAGCAGTTTTTGCAATAACAAAAATGAAATCTTAGGAAATGGCAAAGTTCCTCTCAGGCCTTTTTTTTTTAAAAAGAAATTTTTTAAAGTTTAATTTCTGTCTTTTTTCTTTCAAATTTCAATTTACATAACATGATCTTTGCTTGGAGCCATGGTGGAACAAAATCCACTCCATCGGAGGGAATTAATCATAGGTGCTGTAGGCAGCCTTCCTCTGACTCTGCTTTGTGTTTTCCAGAACAACACGACAGTATGGCCACTGTTGCTGTTAGTCCGAGTGAATACCTTCAGCCCTCCACTGCTTCTTCACAGGTAAGTACTTGGTCTCATGGCCTCTGATCCTTTTTCTGACTTCATCATCATTTCTGTCATGGATTGAAAGCTTCTATCTAGGTACCAGTCCCAGTCAGCAGATCTGATAGAGATCACTGCATCTCTTTCACCTCATTCATGAGCCACAGACTTAAAATTATATCCAAAAAAGCATCCGGTAGTCAGCAGCAGCTGACATGTATAATAAAAATAATTGAACTTTATTGATCTCACGCTGGAGAAATTTACCTCTGAATTTGACCCATCCTCTCAGGGAGCAGTGGGCTGCCATCGTACGGGGAGCAGTGTGGGGCTAAGGGTCTTGCTCAGGGACCCAGAGTGCAGGCTGTGATTGAACCGGGTACTTGCAACCTTCTTAGAGCACAAGAGCACTGCTCTAACCATCAGGCCAACACCATCCCGTATGGAGCGAAACCAGCCGAATCGTATCACAGGGAAACTGGAAATAAATTCCTAAAATGTTCACAATGCATAGGTTTAGCTAGGGGACAGTGTTAGCCTGGAGCTCTTTTCTTACTCGTCGGCTTCATCTGGGAACAGGTGGCAGGGCATGCAGCCTCAGCAGAGTCTTCCAAGCTTCCCTATCCTCAGACACCACCCATCTCCTACAGGAGATAGATCTCTCATATTTCCTCTAATCATGTTGAAGACAAATAAAAGCAATTTAGGAGCTTAAAGTCGTAGGGAAGTCATATTTAAATGTCAAAACATTCTGGCTTAAACATGTATATAAATGTGCTCTTTATCAGACCATTTTGTCTCAAAAATTAGAAAATTTCAATAAAAAAAAAATCCTGTCTTAAAATCCTTGTTTTTTTTTTTATCTTATGCAGACCAGTTAGTTATATGTCAGCCTGTACACCTAAATTCAACCAATCATATATCAACAGTCGCCTGTCAATCAATTTTTTTCAGTCATAGCATCTTGATTAATTTGTCACAGGTAATATACGGTTGAAATAATAAATAAGAATCATCATTTCCTTTCCCATTGAGTTCCGTCCCAGTGTTCTCAGGGATGGACGTCTGTGTCTTCAGCAGGCGTAGAGCTAACAGAACTGGCAGCGTTGCGAGGCAAGGGCTCAAACATGTACGGCTGGAAGCCTTCTTCACCAAACCAAGCTTCTGCCGCCCTGGCGTTCTCTTCCATAACAACTTTGTCCCCACTTTCCTCCTCTAAATAAATAATGGATGACAGAGGAGACTCATCCACGACTTCTGACACTAAACTCTCCTCCTCTTGCATGTTTCCTCTGTCCATGGCGTTCCTTGACAGTGTCGTTTCTAAGTCACCAATTTAGTGCTACTTGGTGCCAATGGAATTTCCCATTGGAAACCTCCTAGCACTAAGTTGGTTAGCAACGATGGTTTCAACAAACCGGCCACAATCTAAAAGCTTGCGAACCTTCCGCCACAACAATCCCGCCCCTTTGATAATCAACCAATCACATTTACTTTATTCACTGGTGTAAAGTCGGGCACCATTCGGGAGAATTCAGAAATGCAACGGTTGGAACAGCCGCTTCCCTACGACTTTAATGAACTCTGATGTAAGCATTCAGTTAAAAGTGTTAGCAATTCCTATTTTAACATAAGTTTATCTGTATTTAATGTTTGAAATTTTTTCCATCTATCGTAATTTAAACTGCAGATTTTGTGCTTTCTTTAAATTTATTTCCGGTATTTCTCCCAGCAGGACACCCAGCCTTCTCCTCTGGCCCTTCTGGCTGCTACTTGCAGTAAAATCGGGCCCCCTGCTGCTCAGGCCCCCGTAACTTCTCCTCCCACTCAGCCGCAGCCTCGCAGGCTTCAGCCCATAAAGCCGGCTCCCATAGCGCCAGCTCCACCCAAAAACCTGGGTTTCCTTTCAGCTAAGGGCAATGTGATCCAGCTCCCTGCTGGCTTGGGAACCTCAGCTCCCGGCAGTCCTATTGTCCTTACGATCCAACAGAGTCCGGCACGCACCAACACCGCCGGCCCTGCTAACATCCAGTACCAGGTGATGCCGCAAATCCAGATGATGCCGCAGGGAGGTCAGATCCAGCTCATACCAGGCACTAACCAGGCCATCATTACCACTCCTATGACTGTGCCAGCCCCAGCTGTCGCAGCTGCAACACCGGTGACGCCGCAGAAGACCGTCGCCATTAAACCCTCGCTCAAGGTACGGAAACCAAACAATGTGGCGGCTAATGTGATGCAGCTGCCCGGCGGGCTCACGCTGCCCCTTAATGTTGCAACCGGAGAGGTCGGCGGGTCTGCGGTCGTCACAGAGACTGCCGCGTCCCCTCCCACACCTGGAAAGGGACGGCGAGGGAGGAAGAGGAAAGTGGTTCCGCTGGCCGAACCTCCGCCAGCTCCTTCACCTCCGCCGGAGCAGATGGAGACCATCGTAATTGAAGCTGGCGATAACATCATACAGGTGATATTTCTGCCTATTTTAGTTCTACATTGACCATCTTCCTACTGAACTTGATTTTAAGAAATGATGTTAGTGGAGATTAGCGTTCCATTTACCTCATATCGGTATGGACTGATGCGTGCATGCTTTGGCCGATTCTTTAATGCATTTAGCAGCTATACCTTGAGGTCACGTAGATTGCATTTATTGTGGCTCCCCTGCATTCTATGGAGCTACATTGGGGCCATAAATTTTGTTAAAAAACAACAAAAAACTTTAAACTGAGAAATTATTTGGAAACTTAAAAATTGTTTAAAAACTGAAATGTTTTTTTGAAACAGAAGAAAAATGAACCCACAGATCATGAATGCAACAGCTGGAACTATTTTTTCCAGACACCAAAATTAAACCTGAAAAAGGAAGTTTAAAACATTATTTTTTTGCAGTAAAAAAAAAAAAAAAAAGTCAGTTTAAAACTGTATTTTTGAGCAAACTTGGAGTCCCTAATTTAACTCCATTATTTGCTATCAGGTCTTAATGTTTTGTTTTGATGTGTTTATAGATGTTTTATTTGTCTGTTTAAATTGCGATCTGTGAGATTTTTATCATTGTGTCACATAAATGGATGGAGAAAAAAACAAATATCAGCTCCATGAATTGGACCCAATAAATCATCAGTATACATCAGTGATCGGTTAAAGATCTATTAAAATAATCGGCATCAGCCTGAAAAACGGCACATTGGTTGATCTCTAGTTTTGATGAAAACCAGTCTTAAAAAATAATGCTTAATTTTTGTTATTTAAATGGAACAAGGATCTAAAAATCTCAGCCTAAGTTTTAGCTTCCTGTCTGGATGAAGAAGGAAAAATGATGCTGATGTTGTTTTCGTTACGGTCGTCAAAAAACATCAAGACTCCAAAATGTATTGATACCCAAATGCTATATCTGGATATAATACTAACTTGACGTGGTATCAGTACTAAACAAGTTTTGTTTGCATACTTTTTTAATAATATCTTATCTCTCGTTAATTTTAGATTTCTGGGCTATTTATTTTGTACATTAATTTAACAAACATATCGGTTCTGTTGAGAAAACATGTTCCATGGTGAGATAATTAAAAAAGTGTTAAAAGAGTTTCTCCAAGTTTATTATTTTAATAAATTATTTTAAATTAATTATCACTTTTCTTTTCTCCCAGCAGTATCAAAAATTATATAAAGTACGTAATATTTTCCTGATTATTGTTACTGATTTTGACATTTTATTTTTGTGGCAACCTTTTTTTTTTTTTTACAATTTTATCATCTTAAACTGTGTCATTTTCTTACAAGAGATTCTATCTTGTTTTAAAGCTGTAAGAATGTAACAAAATTACACGCTTTCTTGAAAAAGTAAGACCAGCATAACTAAGACTGAACAATGAGAATGAATAAATAGTTAGCATTTACCAGGAGTTAGAAGGAAAAGGGTGGTTTGTATAAGAGCCACAAAAAAACTCTTTGTTTATCTAACAGATTTATACAGGTTATTAGTCTATCTGTTTGGTTAACAGGTAGTGCTTTGGACAAGTGCTGGGCAATTAATATCTGTATATGTCGCGATAGACACCTGATCATACAGTCAGGTCCATAAATATTGGGACATCAACACAATTCTTATCTTTTTGGCTCTATACACCATAGGCTTGTCCCGATCCGATCCACGTATCGGATCGGACACCGATATTGGCAAAAAATGCGTATCGGCAAAGCATGTAAAAATGCCGATCCAGACTGCCGATCCAGTTTTTATAAACAAAATCCGGTCCGTATTTTCCAGTTTCGCCGATTGAAACAATCCATTCCACTATTTTGCGCCAGTGTTCCCTGAATCCGGTCCGCATTTTCCAGAACACCTTCAAAACACCCACAGGTCTTTTTGGGTCTGTCTCCCGGCCTAACCATTAAAACAGATAGCGGGGAAAATGTCAGCCGTGTGGGATTATTTTATCCTGCACGATGTGTAGATGGAGACTAGGTGTGGAGGACATTGGGGAGTATAAGGCCTTTTTTGTGTAACAATTATTTGCACTTACTTTTTTTAAAGCAGTATCTTTTTTCAAGAGTAAAGTCCTGATTCTAAGTTAATAGACTATTTTCCACTATTGTCTGTTTTGCATTTTTATTAAAACTTACAGTAATATAGCACCTTTAACTGTTTACGGTTTTACTGTTCACTGTGCAATATTAGATTGCTATTCATAATTTTGTCCAGTTTGTGTTTATCTCTTAATAAACAGGTAAGTTTGTTGTTACCAATTATTGTGTTTTATTCAATCTCACCTAATTCAGCTGGCTAGATGTTATCAAGAGTACTAAAACCCTTTTCAACATGAGTCTTACAACTAAGGCTAAATACTTTAACTTAAACTTAAACACATGCTCGGATAGGCTGGTATCGGCCAGTATCGGTATCGGATCGGAAGTCCAAAAACAATATCGGTATCGGATCGGAAGTGCAAAAACAATATCGGTATCGGATCGGAAGTGCAAAAACCTGGATCGGGACATCTCTAATACACCACTACAGTGGATTTGAAATGAAACAAACAAGATGTGCTTTATCTGCAGACTTTCAGTTTTAATTTGAGGGTATTTACATCCAAATCAGATGAACGGTGTAGGAATTACAACTGTGTGTATATGTGCCTGCCACTTTTTAAGGGACCAAAAGTAATGGGACCATCTGCTGCTCAGCTGTTCCATGGCCAGGTGTCTGTTATTCCCTCATTATCCCATTTACAAGGAGCAGATAAAAGGTCCAGAGTTCATTTCAAGTCTGCTATTTGCATTGGGAATCTGTTGCTGTCAACTCTCAATATGAGATCTAAAGAGCTGTCGCTATCAGTGAAGCAAGCCATCATTAGGCTGAAAAATCAAAACAAACCCATCAGAGAGATAGCTAAAACATTAGGTGTGGCCAAATCAAGTGTTTGGAACATTCTTAAGAAGAAAGAACGCACCGGTGAGCTCAGCAACACCAAAAGACCCGGAAGACCATGGAAAACCAATGTGGTGGATGACCGAAGAATTCTTTCCCTGGTGAAGAAAACACCCTTCACAACAGTTGGCCAGATCAAGAACACTCTCCAGGAGGTAGGTGTATGTGTGTCAAAGTCAACAATCAAGAGAAGACTTCACCAGAGTGAATACAGAGGGTTTACCACAAGATGTAAACCATTGGTGAGCCTCAAAAACCGAAAGGCCAGATTACAGTTTGCCAAACAACATCTAAAAAAGCCTTCAGTTCTGGAACAACATCCTTTGGACGGATGAGACCAAGATCAAGTTGTACCAGAGTGATGGAAAGAGAAGGGTGTGGAGAAGGAAAGGAACTGCTCATGATCCAAAGCATACCACCTCATCAGTGAAGCATGGTGGTGGTCAGAACTCATTGGACGGCGTGCAGATGGACAATGACCCAAAGCATACTGCGAAAGCAACCAAAGAGTTTTGTAAGGGATATAAGTGGAATGTTATGCAATGGCCAAGTCAGTCACCTGACCTGAATCCGACTGAGCATGCATTTCACTTGCTGAAGACAAAACTGAAGGGAAAATGCCCCAAGAACAAGCAGGAACTGAAGACTGTTGCAGTAGAGGCCTGGCAGAGCATCACCAGGGATGAAACCCAGCGTCTGGTGATGTCTATGCCTTCCAGACTTCAGACTGTAATTGACTGCAAAGGATTTGCAACCAAGTATTAAAAAGTGAAAGTTTGATTTATGATTATTAATCCGTCCCATTACTTTTGGTCCCTTAAAAAGTGGCAGGCACATATACACACTGTTGTAATTCCTACACCGTACATCTGATTTAATGTAAATACCCTCAAATTAAAGCTGAAAGTCTGCAGATAAAGCACATCTTGTTTGTTTCATTTCAAATCCATTGTGGTGGTGTATAGAGCCAAAAAGATTAGAATTGCGTTGATGTCCCAATATTTATGGACCTGACTGTAATCTGATGGTCCAAGGTGGTCCGATATCAGATTCCAAACTGCAGGAGAGAAGTTAAGCCTGAGGTTACAGGTCTAGTGACCCCGATGCCTAAAAGTTACATAGTGTTGCTTTAAACCAAGTGTTTCAACATCATGTATAAACCTTTGTTGTTTTCTGTAGGCGGGGAACAATTTGCTGATTCTGCAATCTCCTGGACAGCCAGCGATGGTGCAACAGGTCCAGGTGGTGCAGCCTAAGACTGATTCCCAGTTGATCCAGATCCCTCAGCAGGCGTTGAAAGTGGTGAAGGCTGCTTCTGCCACTTTGCCTCCTGTCCCACAGAAACAGCCCATCACTCCGAGCCTGCAGGTGACCCCTCAGGATCCAACACCGACCCAGGTATGAAGTCAAACCATCTGAGCTTCCACGCTGCATCGTTACAGCCTGGCAGGAAGTTAGCTGGAAAACTTAAAATATCAATCAGAGATGTTTACTAACTGGTAGCTTTGGTGATTGTCGTACGATGTTAAGATCAGCCTTTACTCTTCACATTAGTTAGTTTAATTTGGACCATTAACTCATGTTTTTGTGACTCTGCCTTCTTGCTGCATTTTGTCAAAGCCATCTGGTGCCTGGCAGTTAAATAACCATCACTGAAGCCTCTGAGGGTCATAAATGTAACAGAGTCAACATCCTGGACGAGTTTAAGCGTCCTGTAAGGTGATGACGTTGAGAACTAAACATTATTAGGCGTATTTCATCAACCTTTTTTTCCCTTCGTCTTATTTTGAAGTAATGAATTAGAGGATTGTAATAAACTTTCTAAATTACACAAAAAAAATTACACTTGCTTTAGTTTATTTTATTTATTTATTGACTTTTATTTAAAAAGGAGAGTGAAAGATATTTTTCCAATAAGTACTGACGTAGCGAATATTCAACTACTGTGGCTGAATAGCTGTCTCTGCCACTGTAGCGTCCTGAATGCAGCATTAGAACCGCACTTCTCTATCCAGTTGCGTGAACCATTCCTAATACTAGCTGACATGGTAAACTAAATACAACTTGCAACACATTTCTTGTTATTATTTTAAGCTGCGGTCTTCTCTCTCCTGTTAACTCTTCCTGTTTACTACAGCTAAATGCAGCAGCAACATATGACAACGTCACACTTTGCAGTGACTCTTTAATTCGCTCCAATGATTGAAACGCATTGAATTAACTGTTTTTTACTTTTTAAAAGCTTGCTTAAAATTTGCATTACATTTGGACGGAAACAAGGCTACTCTGTCTTTATTTTGAACTTTTAGCATTAAAATTATGGCAGAAGGAAAAAAAAATTATATTAATTTGGTCTGTTCCTTCTGACTAGAGGGACAACGTCGGCCCCCGTTACTCTTGAGAAATCAGCTAATTAAATGATGAAACACATGAAAAGTTTCTTGCAAAATATGTCTGACGTGTACGGCCAACTGCTGGTATGACTTTGGTGAAAAAAGACAGCAGCTGATAACCGCAGTGGAGCTCATCAGGTTTATGCTAAAAAGCAAACTAGCTGTTTGTGCAGGGAGGGCGGACTAGTTACTGGAATAGACTGACCTCTTTCTAACGTAACCCCAAAGATAGACACTTTTGATTTGAAGAGTCTGTGACATGTCTGGTCATATTTGTTTTTTTCTACTCCTCCACTGTCAGCTTGTCTTCATATATTGGGGAATAAAACAGAGGACTACCGTATTTTCGCGACTATAAGCCGCATATAAACGTCTTTTTTGTGCGGCGCGCCCTATAGTTCGGCGCGCCCTATAGTGCGGTGCGCCCTATGTGTGTTGTTATTGTGGACGTTGTTAAGACCACCATGAGAACGTTAAAGGGGGAAGTGTGGGCGTGGATTGGCTGCCACGCAAATGGACAGAAACTGCCGCCTATGGTGATTTTTAAAAGAAAGACTTTGCCTAAAGAGCCTTTTCCAGCTGGAGTCGTTATTAAGGCAAAGGAAAAGGGCTGGATGGATGAGGAGATGATGAAAGCGTGGCTGAGGGAGGTGTATGCAAGGAGACCAGGTGGTTTTTTCCACTCATCAACATCGCTGTTAATCTGTGACTCCATGCGTGCCCATCTCATAGCCGATGTGAAAAACAAGGGGAAACAAATGAACGCTGTGCTCGCTGTTATTCCGGGAGGTCTGACAAAGGAACTTCAACCACTCGACATCGGTGTGAACCGCTGTTCAAAGTAAAGTGGGGGCGATGGATGAACGACGGAGACCACAGTTTCACGAAAAGTGGAAGGCAGCGCCGGGCAAGTTACGCCACAGTTTGCGGATGGATTGTACACTAGAAAAACAATCTAGAAATAAGTAAATATGTCTTAAATTAAGTGTATTTACCCTTAATTTGAGTTGTTAAATGAGATAGTTTGCCAATGGAATGAGTATATTTGCTCTTAAAATAAGATAATTAGATGATATTTTCTTGAAATAAGACCATTAAATTGTGTTTTCTTATTTTAAGTGTAAATTGTCTTGTTCCATTGGCAAACTGTCTCTTTTATCTCCTCAATCCAAGAACAAATGCAATCCTTTTAAGAAAAGATGACTTCTAGATTTCAATTTTTTTCCAGTGTAGATGCTTGGGCTAACATGTCTGCTGGCACTGTTGTTCGAGCTTTTGCAAAAGCCGGCATCATTTCCGAGGAGCCGCACGGCACGGAAAGTGACTCTGACAGCAAAGAAGGCGAAATTGGCATGTCTGATTTAGCGCAGCTGTTTAATTCAGAAACAGAGGATGATGACTTTGATGGGTTTGATTAATACTTTGTAATAAATACATGAATAAAGCACAAACATACTCAGTTTTGCTCCCGCTCTATTTTTAAATGCGCAGTAGAGGTATTTAAACGTAGTAGAGGATATGTACCGGTATATAATCCGGTGCGCCTTATGTGTGTGTTAAATACAGTAATGGCACACATAACTGAGACTGCGCCTTTTAGTACGGTGCGCCTTATGGTCGTGAAAATACAGATTGTCCCCTTTTGGCTACCATAATCAAAGATGGCAGCACCTATGTATTTATACACAACTCATTCTAATCTCTTCCTTTTTTGATGCAGTTGTTATAAGACTTTGACAGAAAGCTAAATCAGTTTCCCACTGTCCTCTTTAACTCATTTCATTCACTGCATTTCTCTTGTTAATAGTTTATATTTTACTTCACTTAGATCCTCTTCAAAACAGCGTCAGGGGAGTGGCAGTCAGTTCAACTGCAAGACTCCGGCTCCAAGGCAACAAGCCCTACAACCTCTGTTGCCCCAACCACCCCCACATCACCACCTGCCAGCAGCAAGAGGACCCAGGCAGGGGCGCGAAAGGAGCGCACCCTGGCAAAGATCGCCCCTGCAGGTGGAGTGATGGCATTCAACCAGTCACAGTTGTCCTCTGCATCTCAGGCAGTGCAGACGATCAGTATCAATGGGGTCCAGGTCCAGGGAGTTCCTGTCACCATCACCAATGCAGGAGGTAAGCTAATGAGGAGCCTGAATAACAGCTTCATGGTGACAGTCGGTACTAAAGATGCATTTTATTAATTGATTAATTAATCTAAAGTTCATTGATCTTATCGATTGTTAAGTCGCCATTTTATTAAAAAACTGTTTTCTCTTGTCTCAACATGAAGGACTTAATATTCTATTACAATAAGCTGAGGGGGGAAAAAAGTACATTATTATATTTTTAACAATTTATTATGTCAGCGGTTTTCTTTACTGACTGAATAATAATAAAAAAAGAGTTTTCTCACACATTTTTTTAAGTTTATAAAAGCAAGGCTTGAACATATTAGATTCCTGAATACAAGATCATTAGAATACTTTTTATTTTCCAGTGCAGTTGTGACACTATCATTAAAGTCAGGGTATGTGGCTCTGACATACTGGGAGATTAGGTGTTACTTTTTGTCACTAAAGTCAACGCTAACCATGATATAGCGCTCTGTTTTTAGTATAATCCAGTAGTCGGAGCTCGGAGAGACTTTGTGCTGTTAGCAGCTGCTTTAAACTGGTGGTTCTGGTTTCTCTCAGAAAGTTCAAACTTTTCTCAATAAAGTTCATTAAGTTACAGAATCCTTCCCTATCTACAATGCTAACTGCTGACCTTTTTCTTTCACGTTTTAAACATTTTGCATAATGTCCTACTTTTCTGTCATCACGTTATGCTGCTCTTCCATGCAGCACAGCTAATTGGGCGCTATTTAGATGCTAACTGAAGGAGCTTATCTGATGTTTATATTTTTAAAATAAAACCACAGGAAGTTAATTGTGCTATGTCAATCAAATCTGCCCAGGACCTTCAGAAACAGCAGTGCTGGGTGATTGTACCTTAACAATATTAGTGATGAACGTTTTCTTCAACCAATCAGATTTCAGATTTGCCCCACTGCGCCAGCTAGCGGGTCCACCCTAACGTTAGCATTTTTTCCCCTCTGATTGGTCAGTTAAAGCTAAATGTTTACAGCCAAGTTAAGCTAGCGACAATCTGCATTTTAGATAAACTTCTGTTAAAGTTTTTCTGGACTCACTGGCTGATACTAAATAGAGACACTAAAGGGCAGATTAGACTTCTGCAACCGCATAAATCAAATGTCGCTTGGGTCTGGTCGCGAATCAGTTTTGCTGGTATGCTTCTCCACCGTTGGTCTGGAATCTCTAGGGATGCACAGCAGTTTCCCGCCAAAGCACAAGGGGGAGCCTATTCGAGAACTTGCGAGAACTTTGGCGGATTGTCACGAGAACTTGGGCTGCGGTAGTGTTTATCTTCCAAAACAATAATGGTGCGTCTGCAAGGTATCGCGGTCACAGAGATGGATCTAGAGTTGCTAGACATTGAAATGGAACAGGTTCTGTTAATGGAGTTGGCAAAAAGACCGATTAACTTTTCGTCCTAGTTGTCCATTGTAATTGTTCCTCGGTTTTTAAAAATGGCGTTCCCCTGCACCGAATCGAGAAGGACGACCACACAGACAGCCGGAAAGGCGTACCAAGGACCAATCACAGCTGCTTTTTGTCTGCGCAAATATTACTTGCTTTTACTACTGTTGCTTTTTTCCCCCAACTATTTTAGTTAGTTTATAAAGATAGTTTAATTTGACTTCTCCTGATGATGCTGACAAAGTAAAACATGTATTCAATTGATTTTCCATAATAGTAACGGTAATAATACATTTTCTACATTGCCTGTTATTTCATCTTTGCAGTGTAAGACGTGTCGGTCTGGAACATCAGGGGAAACCAGTTTCCCTACATTATGGCAACCCCCCCAGCCCTGCATTGACTCTCTTCTAATTAACATAAATCCTATTCGCTCTAATTTGACCCAAAAAGCGATGTTGCAGATCAACATCTCCATTTTAACAGAAACAAAGATAATAATAAAAGCTTCCTCCTAAAAGGATGAACATATATGAGGACAGGGTAGCCAAAGTAATGTGATCGCTAAAGTATTGTTGACATACTACTTTTTAAGTATAATGTAAATATTTTCTTCACAGAGCATGTTATCCTCCAGCTTTCATTTCCGCACTTTGTTACATTTACCTTTAACTGCTATTAAGCACATTAGCAGATTTCTAAAGGTTGTTTTCTCCTATAGCATTTCTCTGTATTTTATGTTTATTAGGTCAACAGCACTTAACAGTGCAGACGATGCATGGTGGAGGCCTCCAGCTGGCGACGGCGCAGGGCCAGCCTGCCATCCAGATGGACCAGACGCTGACGCTGGAGCTGCCCAGTCAGCCAGGGGAGAAAAAACGCCGCATGGCCTGTACCTGCCCCAACTGTAAAGATGCAGATAAAAGGTACGTCTGTCAGTAGACAGGAAAATACCTGCTAATGTTATAGTCTTAAGAAGATGAATGAAAACAATTTTTCAGATTTTTTTAATCCATTTCTGTTGCAAAAAGTTTACTTACTAGGGGATTTCTGAAAGGATTATGTTATTGTTAGGAGTGAAGTAAAAAGGTTGAAAATAAATGCGTTGGAGAGCCCGAAAATTAAACCTGCTCGCTTATGTGCGACTGCGATCTGCCAGTCAATTTCCATGTGTGACTCCGCCCCCATGAAACCACTACTGCACCATGCCGGGAGGTAGTCGTTTCAATGAACGTTGGCTGGAAGATGAAAAATACAAATTATGGATTAAACGGGGACAAACCCCACGAGTTGCCTCTTGTAAAGTCTGCAAAAAAGATGTGCAGCTTTTCACAATGGCTGAGTCTGCGCTGTCGAGTCACATGAAGAGTAAGTCATAGACTTTTTAAGTAAGCCAACTGAAGTAGCCTAATACACGTTAACGTTAGCTCCTATTTGTTTACGCTAGTAACTGCTAGCTAGGAATTCACAGGCTAAGTTACTGAGTGACTGAGAGTACGGTGTGATACTCACGCTACCGCCTCACCAACGTTCCAAAAAAAAAAACGAAGTTTTAATTCATTGCCAGGCCCAGACCTTAAAACAGCATTGATAACTCTACGGCTGATAATACTGAATTGCGACACCCTCTGGTTGGTTATATTACTACGCCATGGCAGAGGAGTAAGTTTCTTTGATCAGCCGAGTAATAATCTTCACTATGTATTGCTATGTAATTTACGGTGGTGTAAGGTGCTGGAAAAAGTTTTAAAATGGATCTTGAAAGTGCTTGAAAAGTGCTTGATTTTGACTTTGGAAAAGGTGTACGAACCCTGAAGATGTCTAGTGCTGCTACTACAGATGATCTCGCTCTCGAAATGGAATTGAACGATTCAGATTAGCTAGCTGAATGAATAGAAAGGGTAGAGCGTAGCCGCCTGTGGCCCGGGCTTCCTGTTACAACTCCAGTGCGCATGCGCGGATGACGTCATACACGCGCCGCTTGGTTTTTAAACATATAAATATAAAAAATATAACCGTGGATGTCTGGGGACAGTGATTCGCCTACATGAATGCTGGCGTACCATAAATGATCAATTATGAACAGTTCAGCTATGCCTTAAAGTCGATCGCCCATAGGAAGACGTTACTTGGATATAACCTAACCGAATATCTTCAGAACAGCTCCAAATGACAGAAACAAATACATGATGTAATAACGTAAAATCAAGGGGCCAAATGTAAAAAAAAAACGGGGTTCCACTTTAACTTAAAAGTGGCAATGTGCTAGTGAAGATTCTTAGTCATTCCAAAAAAGTTAAAAAGCAAACCACTGGACTTTGCTTTCTAAGTTTGAAGACATTGTGCTTCCCATTAGCGTTGAGTTCCAAGCTTTATAGAGTAGCCCAAACAACGCCTTGTTATGGCTTTGAAAACACTCAAATTGAACCGTAAGAACAGGTCTGTCCCTTAGGAATGGGGGGTCGTTGAGGTCTTCGTAAGCCTGCAATACCCGATACTGGTCTACGCCTCAAAAGTGGCGATGATTCTACTGCTTCTGTCTAATGACAGTAGCCAGAATTGATGGAATTATTTGAACTATTTGTATCGAATCTAAATGTCGCCTGCCTGTTTCCATTAGCCCTGAATGTCACCTGATGTTTTCTAACGTTTGCTTTCAGGCCCGGGGAGGTGGGGAAGAGGAGACACATCTGCCACGTCGCAGGCTGCGAGAAGACGTTCAGGAAAACATCGCTGCTCAGAGCACACGTCCGCTTGCACACCGGGGAGAGGCCCTTTGTCTGCAACTGGGTTTTCTGCGGGAAACGTTTCACACGCAGCGACGAGCTGCAGAGGCATGCCAGGACGCACACAGGTGAGGGGAGAGATAATAAAATACATAAATGGTAAAAAAACACAAGTTGATAGAAAACAGATAAATGATAGCAGTAGACACAATTCTCAGCTTTGAACAGGCAGGGGGGAATTTTCTTTCTTACTTAGGTAAGTTCATGTGGTGTGATAAATCTCTGACCGCCTACAGAGGCCTGCTGCTGCAGCGGCTTTAAGACGGATCATAAAAAGATGGAGAACCTGAGCCCAGAGAGGTTACAGATCTGTACACAGTGATTTTAGTCATTTTCAGAATCAGGTTTATTGCCATTGTTAGTGAAGGAGTTCACAAACTAGGAATTTTTTGTGGTACGAATCGTGCAACATGAAACATATAATATGGAATAGGTAAATAAAAATATAAAAATATCTAAAAGCTGTGGGTATAAGGCATGCAATAAAATAGACTAATATATACACTTAAGATAAAAATATGAATATAAAATATAAAAAGTAAAATATTTAGCATTTAGTGAGTCAATTGGAAGCTCTAATGTTAATATTTCATCCTAAGTGATTAACCTGTAGGTGAGGATGGAGGCAGAGGGAAAATATTAAGAGCTGTACAACCCAGTATTTAGGTAATGGATTTTTCCAACCATTAATACTGGTAGAGTAATCTGTAAAAAAAATGCACGTTTTATAGATTTTTTTTTTTTTTTAAATACCAAAGATTATTTTATGAGTAGTAGAGACTTATGGAAAAAAATGCAAATGATTCACTTTAAAAAAACAAAACAACCCTTTCTGATTGACCTAACCTTTGGACAGGGCAGCTCCCCCTCTAGAAAAAAAATCTTATGCCACGCTATTTTTTCCTGATTAAAACAATTCTAAGTAAATTTTTGGTTGCATTTTTTCTTTTCCAAATTCAGGGTTCCCGCGGGTCCTTAAAAAATCTTCAAAGGCATTGAATTCTTCAAAATAAAACTAAGGCCTTAATTGGTATTAAAATGTCTTAAATCAGTCTTTCGTAGGTCTTATTTTTAAAACATTATAAATACGATTATTTTTATTAGAATTTATTTTTGTAATCTAAATAAAACGTTAAAATTGACAATTTTTTTTCTTTTTATAAAAAAAAAAAAAAAAATGGCTTGCCTTTATTGTTTCCGTCCTGATAGCGGAACCAATAAAAGCGTTGTTGCGGCCGGGACATTTGGGAGATGTGCCTTTAACTTTTTGTCTGGAAAATATGAGCAAGTGTAAATGTAACCAAAATTGTCTCCAGCCAAGAGTTTTCTCCATGGCTAAAACCAGGGAACATACATGAGGCTCAGTGGATTTTGTGCAAGAAGTCATTCAAGCTCAGAAGGCAGTGGAGTCGCACATGCGAAGCACGAAACACAAAGCGCCAAAATGGAGTTACAGAGAAACAGCCGGTATTTCTCAGTTTGGTTCCACCCTTGTCTCTGCAATGCCTCCACTTATCACCAAATCAAACATACTAAGAAAACCATACAAAGAAAAATAGCTGCAAAAAAGACTTAGCGCTGGTTATGTTGTGGCTTTAAAACTGATTTTTGTTCCCTGCTAAAACAAAGTTTGTGAATTCAGTTAAATAATTGTTAAAATATATCTGTCATTTGTGTGTTTTTAGCTTTCTTCCTGTATGGGAAGCTTTTCAAAATTTGAAACAATAGTGCAGTGGTTTATGTTAAAATAAACATTTGGGTTAAGTTGTCGCAAGCAGGTTTTTCTTGTGTTTCTTGTGAATTTGGTCTTAAATTTTTATTTCAAGTGGCATTAAAAAGTCTTAAAAAGTCTTGAATTTAACTTATGCTGTAGGAACCCTGAAATTTATACTTTCAAAACATGTTTTTTTTTTTTTTTTTTTTGTGCAACATTCATGGAACAAAACTCCTGACGCTTCTCGCTAGATTCTAAGTAACTTAACCATGCTGACAATATGTAAAAAGGAGTTTGATGACTTTTTCTACACGGCTAATAACTAAGGTTGTAATGCTGTTTGAAGTGTGGTTGTATAAATGAAGAACTGCAAACTGCTTGGATGTAAAATAATTGCCATCATGGCTTTGTCAAGCTGCTGCCTACCTTTGTGAAGCAGGAAAAAGACTAATACCAAGTAGGGTTGTCAAAAGTATCGATACTCAAAAAAGTATCGATACTGAAATGTTGTATCCGGATACAATACATATTTTCAAAAGTATCGAGTACCAGTCGCACCTAAACAGTCATTCATCTAAAGTGCAGAATAGAGGAAAATGCACTTTCTGAACACTGTGATTGAATAATTCTGTGCACTTTTCAGTTTCAGACTTTTTTTGTAACAGTTGCAGCTGCTGAGAATTATTTTTGTTTCTTAACCGGTTTGGTCAGTGTCATTGTTATGTGTGCAAAGCATAGCCAAGTAAGGAAAACTTAATTTTAATTTTGTAAGTTTTTTATCAAGCTTGCTAAATACTGTGCACAGCAAACAACCTCAAAATTTTGTTCTTATTGTTTATTGTATTTATTTATTTATTGTATTTTAATTATTAATCAAAATATTTCTGTTGAAATTTTATCCTTGTGGTATCGAAAATGGTATCGAGTATCGAATATTTTCCTTAGTATCGGTATCGAGTTGAAAAGTTTAGTATCGTGACAACCCTAATACCAAGTGAATCCAGTAGAACTTTTTATTGCCTACCAGGAATGGGTGACAATAAATAAATAAACTTTTGGCTCTAAAAATGGTATCGGTGCCCTATTTGTTGGTACTCACCGATACCGATACCAACATTTTAGTGCAGTATCGGGGCGCCGCCTGATACTGGTAATGGTATCGATACTAAACAAATCAATACCCAGGAAGATATTTGATACCAGATAATTTTTTTTTATACCAGGGGAATAAAAATTGCCAAATAATAAAGAATTAATAACTCATCTTTTTTAATCCCAACCTCGAGCTTCTATTAGTTAAATATTTTTACAATATTTTTTGGGTTGTTTTAGGTTTATTATTAGGTATTTTATCGGGCAAATAATCTAGAAATCTGAGATGGGGAAAAAAAAAAAGCAAAAATATGCAAACACTTGTATTTAATGGATACCTGACCGAATTACTTATGTATCTGGATGAAGCATTTGAGTATTAATTCTTTTCAGATTATCAGTACTTTTAGTAACTCAAGCAGCTATATTTCCCCTTTCGTCACATCATCCAATGAGAGGCATTTGAGTTCTGCGTCGGAATCCTTTCCAAATAAATTCAGCTTTGCTTTTAGAATAATCACTTATGATAATATTCTGGAAAAAAATGGAAATCTAGATAAGTATTTTTTTCTTTAAATAAGTGCATTTGTTCTTGAATTGAGGAGGTAAAAGAGACTTTTTGCCAATGGAACAAGACAATTTACATTTAAAATAAGAAAACACAATTGCATTTTGTTATTTTAAGTGCATTTTATCTAATTATCGTATTTTAAGAGTAAAAATACTAATTCCATTGGCAAACTATCTAATTTACCTACTTAAAATAAGGATAAATACACTTAATTTAAGACATTTTAACTTATTTCTAGATCGTTTCTGCAGTGTTGATGTGTTGTGTCCCTTTTGGATGCTCATATGCTGATCCTCGTTTTCTGTTGTTTTTTTGTTTTTTTTACAGGAGACAAACGCTTCGAGTGCAATCAGTGTAAGAAGCGCTTCATGAGGAGCGACCACCTGACAAAGCATTACAAAACTCACATAAACACCAAGAACTTATGAGCCCACTCTGAGAGGTTTTCCTTTTTCACTGAAACACCCACAGCTTTTCTACAGAAAACAGTCATTAGACACAGGAGGTGCGAACGACTTAAAAACCAGGGAAACATTTTCCAGATAAAGCCCCAAATTTTCCCCCTCTCACTCCTTCAGGACGATCGTGCGGTTTTTCTACTCAGAAATGCGACCAGGACGACTGCAGGCTGAAACTCACAACGTTACTTTTGTCAGTTTTAGTTGTTTACAGATGTATTTATTTTTTCTGTTGGTTTGAAAAAAAAAAGTCAGTTTGAATGTGGGAAGGTGTGGCTTTAGATCTGGATCCTTTTTAGGTTTTAACACACAAACACATCAAATAACCTGGGGAAGAAGGACAAGAGACGTTAAGATTCTTTTTACTTGCGAGGAGAGCAGCAGAGGCGTCATCAGGTAAATCTCCCACCTCTCTGATGCACTTCTGCTGTCTTCTCCGCTCTTTATTGGAAAAAAGGGAGTCCATAGTTACATTAAATCATGCTGGAACTGTAAAGGAAGTTGTGGGGAGTAAGATGCATTCTGATGCAGGGATACTCATACATTTCTTCATGCAGACAGTGACCTTGAGTTATACAAATGAAGAACATTCACCTCCTGGCCCCTGCAAAGGAATACTTTCATAAGAGTCTACTAAAAATACAAAGAATAAACAAGGTTAATACGGGATAAGATAAAATGAAATAGCTCAAACTATTCATCCTTACTGGGAACCATTTAATGACCAAAACACCAATGGGGGACATTGATGAAACACTGTCCGGAAATAAAATATGCCTCTAGAATTTTAACATTGGTCACTAGAAATAGACCAAGTAGAGCTTTATGTATAAAAAGCAGTTTTTGTGTTACAGGGCTGATTCAAAGAAAAAAGCATTAGAAAGGAGGACCACACCCACTCATTTTCTGCTTTTATTGAAAATATTAACAATTACCTTTAAGAGAAATTGTTTAAACCAATGTTTGTTTTTGTTTTTTTTTCTTCCCAAGTGTGGGATTGAAACAAGGATCCAGGTACGGTTACGTTACTCGGGTTTTGTTGCACTTGGTACAATGAAATCCCTGAATTATTTCCTTTTACTTTTGGTCAGTTGTGTGCTTCATTTTTATCTTTTAACAAACATTTTTAGACCACAGGCAAGAAAATCTGTCAGTGTTAGTAAAGGATAGGCGGCTGCAGGCCGATTCGCTCTTTTCCCTAATCCAGCTCCCACTGCCGTTCCGCCCCTTCACTCATCCCTGTTATGCCACTTTTTAAAAATGTCATAATTTATGTATTTATTTTGTTTCTCATCAGAGTCGGACCTGTTGGCCCTTATGTTGTGACTCCTTATTCACAAAACAGAATCGTCTCATTTTAGTAGATATCAATTATCAGATTATTAATCCAGCATTTGCTTCCTTAAAGCAGCCTATCTGAAGAATACAGAACGTTTAAACTTCGGGCTCCAAAGTGGGAACAAACTGAAGCGTATTTGGAACAAAATAAAAAAAAAACCTAGAAATAAGACAGAAGAGGTAGAAAGACCAGCAGCTACGACCCGTTTTATCGTCTATGTTGCTGTTAACAAATATAAACTTATTAATCGACAATCGAGTCACAGAATGCTAAGACAGTAGTCTGGGTTTTTGTTTTGCTTGTTTCCGATCTACCATAGTTTTATTTATTTTTGGCTTTTATCTTTGAACACACGCTGTCCAGTTTTAATGATAGGATGTGGTTTACAAACCTTTGGTTCAATGGATGCCAGTAAGGATCAAATGTTTAACATAGCAGAATTTTTAAAACGTTCGGATGGATTTACCTTGCTAATTAATAAAGAGAATAAAGAAGTCCCAGTAGGAGGTTAATGCTGCAGGAACCTCTCTGTGTTTCACACGGGGGACAGACTTTGTCGTTTCAGTGGCCGACTTTTGGGGTAATATTGAAAGAAAAAAATCAGAATACATTCAAGCGACATGGGTGGGAAAAAAAAGATCTATATTTATGTTTTTCATGAATTTGTAAATACTGTGTTTTATTTGTTGGAATCAGTAAATTTAGGATATTAAAAAAAAAGTGACGTAGGTATTGGCTGGCCTCTGTCCGCCTGGAAGGAAGAAACCTTGTACAGTTTGTAAGTTAAAATATATATATATATAAATAAATAAATATATATATATATATAGAAATATTGTATAGATTCATTCCTGCTTTGTATTAAATGTTTGGATTTTTTTTTTTTTTTAACTGACAGAGATGCCTTAGACAGCTGCGCCCAGTATTTAACTGTTCTTTTCTGTCTGATTCTGGTTAACATTTGTAAAAACTTGCTTTGTGTTTCTACCTTATGTTGCATAATGTTATGAGCACTGATTGAACCGCTTAGGTTCTTGATTTTGTAAAATTATTGCTGTTTTCATCTTTGGTTTTGTTATTTCCAAAATTCTGATACTGCTGGTTCTCAATTTCTGTAAATGAACGAATTCTTCAAACCTCACTTCCTGTTCTTTAGCCTCTTTGTATGTTTGTCAGGAGAATACAAAGAACCAGCAAATAACCGTCTATATTAAAGGTGCTAACACATATTTGCTCCTTTTCTATGGTCACCTCCTCAATAAAAGTGCTCCAACCAGTGATTACACTTTGGTTTCTTCTCTGGCCCTTTTTTTTTTTTTTTTATGTATTTAATGTATAGGTTTAGATTTCTGGAGGACATAGGGATCCCCATTTCATCATTCTGCTCCATTCTCTCTCTATTCTCCCACTCTGCAGAATCTGTTAGTTCAATCTCTAACGTTCTGCTCTCTGCTTTTTCTCATAGTAGCTTTGCCTCGTCTTTTCCTGTTTGGCTGTGACGCCATCCTGGAGAGAAATATCAGCTGTGCTGCTGCCATCAAAACCCTTGTTTATAGATGCTGGAGATCGGCCTGTTTTTCAGTGTGGTCCTGTTTCTCTGACTGTGACTGGCTGGATGTGATCTCTTCATCCTCTGGCATGGGAGCTGGCTCGGTGCTCGTCTGCCTGGCTGTGTGTTTCCTGGACGGGGCCGCCTTTTGCAGCTGCTTTTTGTGTCTCTGCTTCTGTCTCCTTGAACCCCAGTCAGCCTCAGCAGATGGCTGCTCACACTGAGCCTGGTTCTGCTGGAGGTTTCTTTCTGTTAAAAGGGAGTTTTTCCTCTCCACTGTCGCTACAAACATGCTTTAGTGAGAGGTATTTCATTCCAATCAATGAGTCGATGCAATCAGCTGGTTTTCCTTCGATAGAAAACTTTGAATCAATTTGACTGTAAGATCTGGTGACCTGTAAAGTGCCTTGAGATGACATGCTGTGAATTGGCGCTATAGAAATAAACTGAATTGAAATTGAAAAAGAGAACATATAAAGACACCAGGGTTTCTCCTGTCGACATCTTTAAATGTTTGGCTTTGTTAGCAGTCTTTGGAGTTTTCAAACGGGGGGGGGGGGGGGGGGGGGGGGGGGGGGGGGGGGGGGGGGGGGGCGCTGCTGATAATGGGCTGAGTGGTGTTCCTTGCTTGTGATTTTTTTGGGGAGTCCATTTAAGCATAGAATGTCTTCCCCTAGATGTAATCTCAAATAAACTGAATGGTCCCTTGTCTTTTTCTAGTTGTTTGAGGTAGTCCGTGATTTTCTTTTTGTAGTTCCCGTTGTTAGTTGGATTTCTTTTCAAAGACTCTTAGGTGTTGGTGTCACTCAGAGTGAGAATTGTGTCCTGGTAGTCCGAAGTGTTTAGGATGACGGTGCATCTTCCTTTATCTGCTTGAAATTAGAATGAGGTTTGGGATTGGACAGGGTATCTTTATTTACATCCTGATTAGAATAGTACCTTATGTAGGCCCGTGGTGTGCCGACATCTTTCTTTCACTTTTTGAGCAATTTAAAAAACACGCAACCGTAGTCGTTGTAAAAACGTAAAACCGTCAAAAACCAAACGTCAAATAAAATAAAAAAAGGATGGAAAAGAATAAATACAAACCTGATATTTCCATTTTTTTTAAAAGGCAATAACGAGGGCAGCTATGTGTGGTCCCTTCCTGATTCCAGCAGCTGTTCTGGTCATTTTTGACGGAGACCGTGGTTACCATGGACGCAGAGGATTTATAATGTGTAAAATATGATAAATATAATATAATGATATCATCCGCACGCAGCAGCAGTCATACCAGTCAAAGAGTTTTTAAAGAACCTGGAAACTACTACCGACGATACCCGGATGTAGTCGCAGTTTTCCACAACAACAGGTGGAACCAAAACACCGGTTCCTTTGCTTCGACTGTCTTATCAGAATTTTCACTGTTTAGATTTATTTTGCTCTTGCTTAGCTGTTGTTTGGTTGACGCTAATTGAACTTGGTGAATAAGTAAATTTCCTAGTTTATCCAGGGATTTTTGTTTGTTTGTTTGTTTTAACTTATTTCTGTCAGGTTGTCTATTGTTCACTTAAAGTCATGTATACATACACGAGGATGCTAAATGACTTATATGCTCTCAGTTTTCTCAGTAAACCAGTAGTATTTCAACATTTTAAAACGTTTAAACTGTGCTATGTTGTTAGAAATATCCATTTATAGACTTTGGCTCTCAGCAATATGTGAGACAAATTTCTAAATTAGATTTTGCTGCTTTTGAAGGAGGATAATCACTGATGTTGCTGAAAGGGAAAACATCAATTAATCCCCATTTTTCTGGATGGATTGATGGATGGATGAATGAAACTGAAATTGTTTATATTATTTTTATATTATATTCTGCTTTTGGTATCGGAATTGGCTGTTATTCACCCTTTCTTTTAATTTATCAATGTCTAACTACCAATAGATATAAATATTTGTGCACTTTGGTTCTTTTATTTTCTCAACAATAGGAAAGCAGTCAATGAATATATATGTTTGAGCTCAATTTTGGAAAATACAAACTCTAAGCCCTAGAGCTTCATCACTAAGTTACACCCTTGCATCACACTGACAACACCAAACCAAAACACTGCATTATAGCACCACATTTGTATTAATGCTCTGAACTTCCATATTAATAAAATTTTTCCCCCATGTTTTTTTCTCCCACACTGTTTACATTTGATCACTGCTGCACAAGTGATCAAATGCAAGCTGCACAAAACGAAATTTCGTATACGCCCTGTACATACAAAATGTTGATACAAGTTATCTAAGTCTTTAGAAACAATGTTTAAATCTTCATATTCGGACTCATTAAGTGGAATTTCTAGGTTTAAAACAAATAAAAATCTCTCAAATGAGTATTATATAGGTCAATTTCAATCCATCCATCCATCCATCCAATTTCAATAAATTACAATATTATTTAAAAGGTCACTCAATTTAATTAGAAAATTGAAACTCATACAATAAAATCACTGTACATTAAAAGTGTTTAGGTAATTATGGATTTCAGTTAACAAGAAAATCAGTATCTCAATAAGTGATTCAAACAGAAATGTTACTGGGGTAGTGATAAAGTGGTGATAAAGTCATCTTCTTTAATAGTATCTTGTATTGATGGTGTTATAACAAAATCTGTGACTTGTCTTATTTAGACCTAAGGAGTCGCTACGTGTTTTTAACCAAAGACTTCTTTAGGTTTAGCTACGGGTCCTGTGGTGTTATGGTTAGTAGATTGCTGAGGCGACTCTACCACAGCAGGCACTTGAGTCACCATATATGACGGGTCACAGGTTTTGTTCTAACACCGGGACCAATCAGATGCAAAATGAATAATTTAGATATGTTTGTAAGCGATCTATGAAGTATAAGTTTTACTTTTAAACTGAATTCGCCTTTCATGTAATATTATCAGCTAAAGAGTTGCTTCTGCATTTTGAACCTTTGTGAACTGTTTTGTGACACTTTACTGATTATTAATAAGCAGGACTTTTATTTTTATTTCCCAGCTGTTCTATTCCTTAGAGTTTAGATCAGAAATTAATGCTTTGTCTTTCTGCAGATATTGTCTAGAGTGGCGGAGGTCCAGGTGGACGGGATGAGTCACTCCTGGCTCCCTGAGCTGGTCTCAGGTCTGTGTCACACACCAGAGGACGATCCTTTCCCCCTGTGGCAGGATGGACACGTCAGTCCCTGCTTCAACCAGCTGGTCCTCGGAGCCCTGCCCCATGCTGGGATGGCGGTTTTCAGTGCCTGCTACCTGAGCTTAGCTAGGTCAGTACTGAGATAGATCAGAGCTTCCTGGTTGTGATTATCGGGTGTACACATCCGGGTATATTTAGCATTCATGCATATGGTTTGAATGAAGGATTCATCAGCAGCCGCAGGTTAATATGAAGCTCTTATGGTGCTAGATTTCACTCTCATATAAAGTTGGACAAAAAAAGTCTTTATTAATCCACTGATTGTTCAAATTAAGATAAGAGAAGTCTGTAATTTTCATTTTAGGTTCATTTCAATCAGGAGTAAAGAAATAAAAAAAAAGAAAAAGGGATTCAAAAGTCAACTCGATACTTTGTTGCATTCCCTTTTGTTTGCAGTGATAGGGGTTAGATTAACATTTCCTGTCAGTCTTCTCCAGGGTTGCTCACATTATAGCTGGTATTTTGATCCATTCCTTCATCAGATCATCTCCAGCAGTGATATTTGAGGATTTATTTTTCTTGGAAACACAGACTTTTAACTCCCTTCTCTAATTTATTTTTGAGAATGATGTCTGCAAAGTGGGTAGGCCACTCCGGGTCCTCGAAATGCTTTTAAGAGCCGCTAATTTGGTGTGTTTGGACGATTGTCCTGCAGCCATGTTCCATATTCAATGCTCTCTCTAATAGAAGTAGGTTTTCGATTTATAATCACAATATGCATGTCCCATTTCATTCTACCGTTAACAGATCAGTTTTCATGTCCCTTTGGATGAAAACCAGTGCAAAGCATGATGGGTCCACCCCCATGCTTTGAAGTAGACCTGTTGTTCTTGGGATGCAGTTCAACGATCTTCTTCCCCCAAACATGAAGGATTGATGTGCCAAAAAGTACTATTTTGGTTTTGTCTGATCACATGATGTTCTCCCAATCTTCTTCTGGATCATCCATATATTTTCTGACAAATGTAAGACGGGCCTGGATATGTACTGCGTTCAGCAGAGGGACACGGCTGGTACAGCAGGATCTGAGTCCCTCCGGTGGTAGAGCGTTACTGATGGTGACCGTTGCTCCTTCTTCAGATCTTTGTAGGTCATTCATCAGGTCCGTCTGTGTACTTCTGGGATTATTATTCCCTCTTCTTCTGCTCATTTTCACCAGCAGTCTTGTATTTCTTCCATTTTCTTCCAATCGCTCCCACGGATGATTTATTCACCATCCTTCCTGCCTGTTGTAGATTCTCTCCTCCCAGCCTGGAGCAGGCATAAACTTCCTGGTTTCCTTCAGGATCTCTTTGGTTTTGGTCATGGTTGAGTTTGGACTGTTTGAGGCTGCTCAGTGGCGCAGTGGGTAGCACTGCTGCCTTACAGCATGAACGTTCAGGGTTCTGTTCCCGGCCCGGGCTCTTTCTGCATGGAGTTTGCATGTTCTCCCTGAGCGTGGGTTCTCTTCAGGTTCTCCGGCTACCACCCACAGTCCAAAAACATAACTCTTAGGTTAATTGGCTTCTCTAGATTGTCCTTAGGTGTGAATGTGTGCGTGGATGGTTGTATGTCCTGTTTGTCTCTGTGTTGCCCTGCGATGGACTGGTGACCTGTCCAGGGTGTACCCCGTCTCTCGCCCATTGACAGCTGGAGATAGGCACCAGCATCCCTCGCCACCCCAATTGGGACAAGCGTGTCAGATGATGAATGGATGGATGTTTGAGGCTGTTGACAGATGTCTTTTACACAGATCAAACAGGTGCCATTAATACAGGTAACGATAGGAGGACAGAAGAGCTTCTTAAAGAAGGACCAGGCATCCAGGGCCACTGGAAGTAATTTGGAACAGGGGTTGCTGTGAATATTTTTTTGCTTTTTTTTTGGACAAAACATCCAAGAGCCTATAGTCCTATTTAAAATACAATGAATAAAAATTAATAAAAAGATCGATATTCACTACTTTATTGTCATATACAATTTAGTGCATGCAAACAAGGTCTGTAACCGGGCGTGCAGGTGGCGCATTGCTCAGTACGCACGACCCAAAAACAGGGTCTGTAACCCACAGACATCATTGATCACATTAATCAGTTCTCAGGTCAATATATGCACTATTAGTTAAACTTCACAATTAAAAATTTGCAGTGGCTTTACGCCAATTTAAAAAGCCAACATTCACAAAGGGGTTGTCTTTCTTAAATTTGCATCTATGTATGACTTTTTTTTTATTGCTTTTGGACAAACGAAGCACAAAATATGCCCACAAACTGCAGGAAAATTCAAATTAGATGTTGGCCAGAAGGGCTTGTCTAATCCAACAACATATTCTCATTATCAGTTCGTATAAAATCGTACGAAAAGTTATGCACACTATTTCGTACGTTTTGGACGTTTTTCCTCAAAAAACCACATCAGTGTGCATGCGCTGGCAGACAGAAAAAAAAAAAGCAGATCCGCGGACGGACGTAAAAATGGGAAAAACAGTGCAATAATCACTTCTTCAGGTCTCTAACTACGTTGCTTGCTGTTTTATATCTTAGGGTCAGGGTTAGGGCTAATTCTAATTTATATTCTATATTCGTGAATGGTGCGTCAGATGCGCATGCGCATATGACGAAAAAAACGTCCAAAACGTACGAAATTACGGTGCATAACTTTTCGTACGATTTCATACGAACTCATAATGAGAATACACTGAATCCAATCACGCTAGGTTGGGTTGGAGGTGATTGGGCCGGGACTGCCTCAGATTTATTTCCAGTTGAAGGTCAAGCATCTTTTCTGACTCTATATCTAGTTAGAATTTTGATATTTGATTTCTTTCTGTTTCAGAAGCAGCATCCTTCAGACATCTGCTCCATGCGGCTGGACGCTCCGACTGTCCTCGGCTGTGCTGGCTGTGCTGTTCTTTACTGCAGACATCGTCTTGGTGGGCGTCCTGCAGCAGGCGGACATGTATCTGGACATCCTAGCTGACAGCTGGGCCCTCCTGGCCTGGCTGGTCCACTGCGGCACAATCGGAGTGATTCTTAGAACTAGTGTTAGGAGAACCAGAGGACCGCCGCTGCTTCTTGCTGTGATGCTTCTTTTAGTGCCCAATATAGTCATTACCTTGATGATCTACTGCAACAGCAGGGGATATCTAAGCCCAACAGAACCTCTTAAACTGGCCAGGTTTGTCCTCACCTCAGCCCGGGCGTTCCTTTTACTCCTTTACCTTCTCGGAATTGCCTTCCCCTGTATGGACCGTGCTGATTACACCTTGCATATAAACGCTGCAGACGGATCGCCTCTCCTTCCAGAGAGCACTGAGCCCGACACGGGTGAGGTGGTAGCTGAGGACGGAAGCAGCTGCGTGTCTCGGCTCTTCTACCTGTGGCTGAATCCGTTACTCAGACGAGGGCAGCGAGGAGACCTGGAGAGACCGCAGCACGTGTACCACCTTCCCTGGAAACTTCGGACCGCGGTTGTTTGGAGATACTTCCACCGCTGTTGGGAGGCATGTGGTAGTGGGGCAGGAATGAGCGGCCAGCAGGATCAGTGGCCCAGACCGGTCAGCAGCGTGAAAGGATCAGACTGTAGGGAGGGGCTGCTGGAACTGGAGGGGGATGTAAGATTACTGAGAGTGTTGCACAAAGCATTTGGGTTGCGGTACTACATCCTGGGTGTGCTCAAGGTGACGGTAAACATATCTTCGTTTGCAGGTCCCCTGCTTCTCAGCAGTCTAGTGAGCTTTATAGAGGAGAAGGGCGCCCCCTTCAGTAAAGGAGTCATCTGTGTGCTGGGCCTGTTTGCCACAACACTCCTAAGTTCAGTCCTCCGCAACATCTACGTCTTTCAGATATCCAAGATCTCCCTGTCAGCACGGGCCTCGCTGGTGTCGGCAATCTACGGCAAAGCGCTGCAGGTCAGCAGCTGCAGCCTGGCCGGCTTCACGCTGGGAGAGGTGGTGAACCTGATGAGCACCGACACCGACCGCGTGGTCAACTTCTTCAACAGTTTCCACGAGCTGTGGAGCCTGCCTTTCTGCTTCTCCGTCACCCTCTACCTGCTGTACCTGCAGGTAGGCGCAGCTTTCCTCGGGGGGCTCTGCGTGGCGCTGGTCCTGGTGCCTTTCAACAAGTTCCTCGCCTCCCGTATCCTAAGCAACAACAAAAACATGCTGAGGTACAAAGATAACCGAGTTAAGGTGAGACATTCAACTTTTTGGTTTATGCACGCTCTAATGAATTATACTGACTCTAACATTCTTATGTAATTATTATTTCTTTCATCCAAAGTTAATGACAGAGATCCTCTTCGGCATCCGTGTCATCAAGTTCTATAACTGGGAGCCTCACTTTACCCAGAAGGTGGCTAAATATCGGGAAAAGGAGCTGTTGCACCTCAAGAACCTCAAGTACCTGGATGCGCTGTGTGTTTACACCTGGGCCGCTCTGCCTGTGGTCATCTGTGTCCTCACCTTTGTTACATATGTGCTACTTGGACACCAACTAACTGCTGCCAAGGTAGAAATCCCTCTGCTCCTGTTGACTCGAGGATTTTATGATGTATTTGCATGAAGTTACAGATTATTCTACCAGATTTTTCCTTATTTTCTGTATTTTATTTTAAGTGCAAGTGAAGCGAATTAAAGGTGTACAGTCGCATTATATGCCTGTCGGAAAAAAAAACCCCAAATGAATGAACTAATGAATAGGAATTTATTTCAGACTATTTCAGACAAACAATTTGACAAACAACAATAAATGAATCAATCCAAGTACACACAAAAAACACTAGTTAACATCAACCAAACCAAACACCAATTTCCAAACTGACTAAATTAACCTCAATATAAATAAAAACAAACCCTCCACCAAATAAACACACCATATATATATATATATATATATATATATATATATATATATATATATATATATATATATATATATATATATATATATATATATATATATATATATATATATATGTACAGTAGGGATCGAACGGTTTATGAAAACCGTCCGAACCGTTCGGTTAGACTGTCTCTGTTCGGTTCGCGTGTGTTTCGTTCGGTTCATGCGCTGCTCCTTTTTCTCATAGGTGAAGCGTTTACACTCCAGAGCAGAAGGTGGCGGTACTGCAACCAAAGCCAACCACCAGTAGTAAACAAGAAGAAGAAGCGAAGCAGCTTAGCCAGGCGTAGCAGAAAAAAATCAGTTGTTGTGGAGAATTGTGTGGGTATGGCGAGTGGGAAAGAACAGGAGTTGGAGGACGCGCCAGCAGCACTTTATAGGTCTGCTGTATGGGACCACTTTGCATTTAGAGTGACCTACGATGACGGCGGAAAGAGAGTTGTGGATAAAAGTGCAACAGTCTGCAAGCATTGTGCAACACGTTTTGTTTATGCTAACAGCAACATGACCAACACGTCATGCTAACCCCGAAATCCCTCATACTCCGTCAGCAACCCCCGCTCCGCCTCGCTGCGCTCCAGACTGACTGCACAAAGCAAAGCCTACAGCCTCCACTGAGGCTCCCGTCCGCTCCACTCTGAGTTCTTTGGAGATCGTAGAGGTCTTGCGCGAGATCAAAACAGCAAAACATGCGGAAATGATCCAGGGTTTCCACGGATCATTAAAAATAATTACAATTCATTCATAATTTTTTGGGGATTTTTCCATTAATTTCATTAATTTTTATGGGATTTCGGGGTAACAATCATCATATACCGAACCGAAAACCATGACCACGAAACCGTGAACCGAACCGAACCGTGGATTTTGTGAACCGTTCCACCCCTAATATACAGCCAGAGAAATGACATTGATTAATTGAAATGGTCTGAAAAAGTGTATGATGAAGTAAAAGTTATTATTCATACCCCCTCTCCCTCTAATTGCACCTAAATTAACTTAGAGTAACCTTCCTTTCTTCCACACAAAAAAATATATATAAATATATACACAATTATATACATATATATATTTACACCTACATATATACAGTACATACCTACACTAACACATTAGGCCAAGATCTACATTTACACTCTTATACATTGGCACTCAGAGAACCGTGACCCCCCTCAAAAACCCAATCATCAGTGCCGTATCCCAACACCACAGTCCCGCTCCCCCCATCCGTTCCACCTCGCACCCCACAGCGACGTTCACCTCCCCTGTCATCACAGTACATGCTAAACAGGATCAGTATGAGCCTTTTTTTAAACAGACTCATGCTTGGACATTGATTCAGCCATTTGATCCTGATAAAATACAGTTATATAAAGCAAGTATCCATCCTGATGGTGTTTGGATGAGTATCTAAACAGCATCAGATTCAAAGAAAAGACATAAACAGACATGGCTCCATTTGCTGGCGGTGCAATGGTCAGATTGTGAGAATTCAGTTTAGAACCGAATAGATCCCAACCGTCCTGCAATGCCTCAGCGTAAAGCAACAGCTTGGCATGTTCAGGTTCTAGACAATCCACCCCAGAGCCTGTTTTGAAAACGTAAAGTCGAAAGAAAATTCCTCTTCCTAACAAACACAAGCAGCTACACAGCATTAAGGTAAAAGATATTTCAGTTGAATAAATTCTCTTCAGTTTTAGCCCAGTACAAATGCTCACACATTGACTAATAAAATGTTCCTAACATCCAGCAGACCAATAGAAATGCATCTTTACTCCTCGCTCCAGAAGAAAACCCACCCACAATATAAAGAAAAATAACTCGGAAAAAAAATGAAAACAAGAAAAGCCTTAGGAGGTCGCAGACCTTCTCCATGAAGCAAATTTTGCCCCAAATTGTGACTGATACTAAAACTCTCACACGAAGTGGATCATTACCAAATTGAAATTTAATGTTCCTTAGCATGAGGCACACCTCTGGTAAAACATTTCCTTAAAATCTCTTCATAAGTTTTCAGTTCATCCTGCTAACAAACCAAAAATGTTCCCTTTTCTTGTGTTTTTGTCTTCAGTAAAATATGCCGAGGCTGTCAATAGTCACTGCTGCCATCTTGTGGTTTACGGAGGAACTGCTTTTTCCACCAAATATCTCTCTTATTATCCACCTCATTTTGGGAAATTCACGCCTATTTTGCATACCCAAATAGTAAAGCAAATAACTTAGGAACCGTAAGCCCAAATTACATGTGTGATACATTATTTGAAAGATAACACTTTCTATTTTCTAAATATATACATGAAAACTGGGTGAGTAAAACACAGCCCAAGCTGCATCAGTTCAAACAGGACAAGTTGTTTTTTTATCCTAAAAAATGATAGGTCATTTTTTGAACAGCAGTTATAAAGACATGCTTTCTTGTTGTGGCTGCTTTGTCATGGTACGTTTTGACATGCTGCTATATCCGTGTTAATTGTGCTTTGGTGCTCGGTTTGTCCATAAAAGGTACTTGGTGGTTGAATTGTGGATAATCTAAGCTTTCCAACTATGTCTAACATGACAATATTGGTAAACCAGTGTAATTTTCATGCATTCTTACTTATTATTTGAAAACGCTTTAAAACGGTGGGTTTTTAAATGCTCTCACAATGTCAGAGCATTTGAAAATTACATTTTTGATTATATTTTTTCTTACTAAAACAATTTTCCATTTACAAAACATGTTTTGCTTTGCTTGCAACTATGTTGGATTTATTAACCTAATATTAACTCCTAGTTACCCCTTTTAAATCTAATAAAAAAAAGTTAGAAATAGAAAAACAAAAAGATAAACTGCTACTAAAGCACCTTTTACGGGACTGAAAATATTTTTGCTTTCCTAGAAAAATGCTCTTGTCTTTCTTAAAAGCATTATCAAGGTAACATTTAGGGGTTATAGAAATGCATATTGCTTTAACTGTGGGACGTATGACGAATTGAGCTTCTTTACCTTGCAGGTTTTCACCACTGTTGCCCTGGTAGGAATGCTGATCGTTCCTCTCAATGCTTTCCCCTGGGTGCTCAATGGGATCCTTGAAGCCAAAGTGTCCCTGGAACGAATCCAGCGCTTCTTCAAACTGACCAACCAGGATCTGCAGGCCTACTACGCTCTGGGTGAGGCTCTGCTTTTTTCCCTTATATCCTGCTGTCAAAGCTAAAACAGTAACTTATTATCAGCAGCGTTTCTCATTGTGCTCAATCATCACCATCATCTGTCCACAGTGTCTCCTGAAGATACGAGTCAGACATCCATCCTGCTGAGGCAGGGGGCGTTTTCCTGGCAGGGACCCGATGTGAATGAGGCGGGAGAAACTGAAAATGAGGTCGGGAGAGGAAGTCTGCTCCTCCACAGCCTGGATCTACACGTAATAAAGGTAGAGTCCCTTAGCTCCTGCATACCTCATTTCCTGCAGAACTGTGCAGAACTTCAACTAAAGCTGCTGTTAAACAGCTGGTTTAAAATGTATCCGAGTCACAGGAAACAGAGAAATGGCTTTGGTTGTTAGTCACACTTAGAATAGATTCTAGACACTGAATTTTTGAATTATGTCCTTTTAAAAGAACAAACCTTAGATTGCTTTAACATCACAGAACTGATAAAATCAGCTCACATGATGTTTGATTTGGAGAAAACACTTGGAAAGCAGATATTCTGCTAACCAACTGCAGTAGTTAAGATAAACGGGGCGACAGTTGCGTCGGATGTAGGAGTTTGCCCTGAAATCGAAGGGTTGACGGTTCAAGCCCTTGGGCAAGACACTTCACCTGCATTGTCTACTGATGGTGTACGGCAGCCCTGCTTCTGTCAGTGAGCCCCAGGGCAGCTGTGGCTACAATGTAGCTCCCCACCATCAGTGTGTGCGTGAATGGGTGAATGAATGTAGTGTAAAGCGCTTTGGTCAAGTCTCCTAACTTGAATAAAGGCGCTATATAAGTACATGCCATTTACCATTTACCATAAAAGATTCAGAAAGGGCTTATTTCTTGGACTCTTAAGATTAATTATTTACATTAGTTTGATGGGATATTCAATATTTTCTTTCTATTCTATTTCTTTTCTTAAATGCACTGGAATAATACCCACACCTCCACATTTGCTCTCTTTGTATGTTTATGACTATCCTTATTTTTGGTTGCCTTGACAATTAGAATAACTACTAAATTAGAATAATTATCTGTTTTGTTTCAAGGACAAGTCACCCCAGATCTGACCTGTAGGTCTTTTAGGTTTGGAAACAGGTCTAAAGTAAAGCACAGGAAAGTTAAAGTATTAAGAGTCATTTTAGCAGCTTTTTCACCAACGCTGATGCTAGCTAGCTAGCTAACAACCGTTAGTTCGGTTCTGGACTCACTGCTCAATCCTCGGCTTTGACTTCTTTATGAACTTCTTCAACTTATAAATTTTAAGATTTGATTTGATTATAAACCTATTTATAGTTCCATGTAAAATCAGAACAAATAAAGGAATTAGTATAAATTTTTATGATTGCATGAGCTAAACATCATGGTGATGCATGAAACTTTAAAGTTTCTCTTGATCATGAAGTCTATAAAGATAAACTTAACACATAATTTACAGTCAAAAGATGCAAGAGAATCTTTCTTTTGAAATGATCAACAAAAACATTAACAATGCTAGTGCCTTATTTGCCACAGTTGAGAGGTTAACGTACCGTCCTCTCATATTTTTTACTGAAGCAATATTAGAAAAAGCAGTCTGCACATCAATGCAATACATTTTTTGCTCTTTAAAATTTTCAATAATTTCGAATCCATCTACTTTCTTTGGATGGGGGGAGCCATGTGGGTAACGCATTGTTTCTCACTCAGGGCTCTCTGGTGGTCGTCGTGGGGAAGGTCGGCTGTGGGAAAAGCTCCTTGCTAGCCGCTATCACTGGAGAACTCAGGAGGTACTTTTTCTTTTCGTCCTCACAAAATGCGCTGAGAGTGCTTGGTGTGAACATGTCCACTCCGTTTCCATGTGAGTTTGTTTATTTATTTGTCCTCTCCTCTGCAGGCTTAGCGGAGTGCTCTATGTGGCCAACAGAGAGGCAGGCTTTGGTTTGGCCTCACAGGAGCCGTGGATCCAACATGCTTCAGTGCGAGACAACATCCTGTTTGGCAAAGATTACAGCGCGGCTCTCTACCAAGCTGTGATCGAGGCCTGCGCGCTCTCCGATGATCTCAGCGTACGGCGGTCTCATATGAATTCACAATAATGTTTTTGTTATGCTGAAAATTTTATGAAGGAAGCTCCTTTATGATAAATATGTTGCAGAGTGGAGAAGATTTCCTGATCATTGATATAAAAGCCTGGCTAAATAGTAACATTAAATAATATTTGTTTATATTATGGAGCTGAACTGGGGGCAATAAGTTTGTTGAAAAACATTATTTTTAGGGATGCACGATATAATCTGCCCCCTTTCGGTATCGGCCTGTATCGGCCTTAAAACTGAATATCGGACATCGGCCACCCCACCGATATTTAACCCGATATTTGATCAGCTTCTGAGTTTCTAAAGTCTAAAAAAAAAATAAAAAATACTACTTTTTCTTCTTCCTCAAAAACTTCTTTTTTTACAGACTTAAAAACTTCTAAAGGCGAGGGAAAAAATATTGATTCATTAAAATATCACAATATCTTCATATGCTGATATATTGCCATTTAAAAACACCATATCAATCTCTTTTACTGATGAAATATTGCTATATGTCATCGTTATGCTATGAAATCCCCCGAAAATTCACGAAATGTTGCCATATTTTTATATGTTGATATATTGACGCAGTATGGATCTATTTTACTAACAAAATCTCACAAGAATTTGCAAAATATCACGAGAGTTTGTAACAGAACGATGAAATTTCACGAGATTTTGAAAGTAAAATAGATCGATACCGCGTTTTTAAAAAACAATTTGATATCAGCATATGAAAATATATTTGAGTACATTATTTTTCAAAGTGTCAGAAATGGATAACAAAACTGCTAATTTCAATGACTACTTATTTTTGTCCAGCTTTAACATCAGTATCGATATCGGGTATCGGCTACATGAGTTTTAAAATATCGGTGTATCGGATATCGGCCAAAATCCCAATATTATTTTTATTTGTAATTTCCCAGTAAAAAATTATGGAAAATTGGAAAACTTTTTTGAAGCTAAAATAAATAGGTTTAAACCTGAAAAGAGGGCTTTAACCCCTCGAGCAGCCCCTTCTGTTTGTGGGCGGGCCTTAGATAATGTGGTCTGAAAAGATGAAGAAAATATTCACATTATTTTTCAAAACCGATCCTATAAACATACAACAAAGTATCATTGATGTTTTTTAAGATATGTCTAGTTCATGAACGAAGCATCTGGGATTATTTGGTTCAGGCACCTAAACTGTCCGTCATGATTCAACACCTCATATTATCTAAGCCCCGCCCCCAGGGGCCAGCACTTTAAAAACACGAAAATAAAATGGACTCTGGAAAAAGTTATAAACTTTTCTTTTCAGTTTTAAATCTTTCTGTTTCAAACTTCTTTTTTTTTAGTTTAAAAAATATGTTGTTCATTTTATTTGATTACTGTTGCAGGAAAATAACCCGTTTTATAAACTGAAGTTTGAAAAAAATTAATGCAATTCAGAAACTTTATAAAAGAAATTCAAATTTGTTGCTTCATACTTAAGCTTTTGGATACAGAATGAAGAAGAATCTGTTTCTCATTTGACTTTTTGTACCATCCATGCATTAATTCAAAATGTTTTTTATTTTAAGTACATTTCTAGAGGCGTCTGTGCTGCAATGTGGCTTTTAGATATTATCCAGCTCCATGGAATCGACTCATCAGTCATGGTTTCATCAGGAAACATAATCTGCTCTATGTTAATGGAATAATAGAAAAATAACTACTGAAAATTTTATGTTTTAGTATTTTATAATAATCTTAATTCATTAGAATCGCATGAATACTCAGAAAACTAAATGCAGCAAGAATTTGAAATTATTTTATGAGCCTAAATGTCAGAATTGATAAAACAAATAATTATTGGTGAAGGGAGAATTTGACCCAGAGCTGTTCTCAGGGTTTCAGTTGCTGTTTTTGTTCTTGCAGGTTTTACCAAACGGAGACAAAACAGAGGTGGGAGAAAATGGAGTGACTCTGAGTGGAGGACAGAAGGCCCGGCTGGCCCTGGCCCGAGCCGTTTACATGGTCCGTACTCTGCCATCCGTCACACAGAACAGACTTCATTTTCATAGTCAAACATCATGTTACTGCCACTGATGGGGAGACCGAAGCTTAAGAAACATTTTACAGCTACAGCTGGTATCAGGTGGTCATTTTCTCACTGTAAAAAAATCCAAATCTAGATAAGTCATTTTTTCTTAAAATAAGTGCATTTGTTCTTGGATTAAGGAGATAATAGAGACATTTTGCCAATGAAACAAGACAATTTGCATTTAAAATAAGAAAATGCAATTGCATTGTCTTATTTCAAGTGCATTTTATCTAAATATCTTGTTTTAAGAGTAAAAATACTCATTCCATTGGCAAACTACCTCATTAACCTACTCAAAATAAGGGTAAATACACTAATTTAAGAAACGTTTACTTATTTCTAGATCGTTTTTCCAGGAAACCAGGAACATAAACTGGATTAAATCTGTTCATTACTTTGGTTTTAGTATTTTCACAGCTGCAGATGTTCGTATGAAAACAAACTGGAGGAGAATTGGAAGTTAAGTTTAGTGATGCATAAAATAGAACAGCTAAAAATAAATGGCTAAATCTACGGTCAATAAAAATGCATAGGCGTTTGAATTTGTCAATAAACATAAATAAATGTAAGGTTTTTATTTGACACTTGTTCCCAAGTCATACATACACGTGCAATCAGATGGTTCGATGAGGAAACAAGTTTAGAAGTTATGAATTAAATTTACAATATTGCATAAATTACAAATACAAATCCCAAATTTACAAGTGCAAACCCACAACCCCGGTAAGATGTTACACTCCTTACCAGTGGGTGGCAGTAGTGCACCTGACGGATTTTCACAGAATGGCATTGAAAACAGAAGGAGCTAATATCATGAGAATCAGAATCAGAAATACTTTAATAATCCCAGAGGGAAATTACTTTTGTTACACGCTCTAGTTACAGTTTTACATGATATATACACACGTCCAACTATACAATATAATAACATAAAAAATAAGAATAAAAAGAGATCAAATATATATACACATATAGCTCTTCTGTACATATATCTGTATGTATATCTATGTATATGTAAAAACTAAATCCAAATAAAGTGAAAAGTCCAATATTCCTGCTTAAATGTTTTCAAAGCATGTGGAGTATAACGTTTGATCAACGGTTCCGTTTTTGTCTTCTTCCTCTTATTGTTTAAATGTGGATGGAGAAAAATCTCAAGGTTCATTACCGCCACCAGCTGGTGAGGAGTTTAGCAGCTTTAGCAGTAATTGTAGATTTGTACTTTTAAATTTGTGATTTGTTCTCGCAAATCTGTGATTCTTTCTTCTAGGTTTGCGATTTGTACTCTTAAATATGTGATTCGTTCTCATAAATTTGCAATTCTTACTTAGGGATTTGTGTTTTGTATTCATAGATTTGTGATTTTTATGAATATTTTTATTCTTACTCGTGGATTTGTGATTTGTAATCATAAATTTATGATTTTTTCCCCTAAATTTTCCATTTTTATTCATAAATTTGTGATTATTGTAAAATTATTATTAATTCTCTTAAATTTGTGATGGGTACTTATACATTTGTGATAATTACTTGTAAATTTTTGATTTTTACTTTAAGATTTAGGATTCTTATTCGTAGAACTGGGATACGTACTTTTAAAATTGTGATTGGTACTCCTAAATTTGTGAACTGTACTTGTAAATTTGTGATACTTACTTTTGTATTGATGCAAAGTTGCAACTCGGAGTTGTAACTTCTAAACTTTTGTTCTTACAGATAAAACATCTAATGTCACCTGTATGTATTTTTTGACAACAAGAAACAAACACAGGTCTTTAATGTATTCAAGTTAAATGACTTAAATATACAAATTCAGACACCTGCACATTTACTTTTGCTGATAATTATCTTTACCCATAAAAATCAGCATAGTTTTGTCAAAACTTAGAACAAGAGCTGCATTATGTTTGCAGAGCGTGCCAACACACCAGCAGAGAGCTAATGTTTGTCTAATGTTGTATTTGCTAAGAATGAGCTAGCTAGCTGCCCCAATCCTAGATTTACCCATTTTGTTGTTTTCTAAAGCAACACATCACACATATACAGTGTCTATATCTGTACTAATATATACGTTTCTTTTATTTCTAATTTCAGGAATTTTTACCACGTGTTCCATGGGTTGTGGCATGTTAACACTGAGACCTTTTTATGTCCGTTAGGATAAAGAGATCTACCTACTGGATGATCCACTGGCAGCTGTGGACACAGACGTGGCCGAACACCTCATGAAGAAATGCATCCTGGAGCTCCTCAGAGGGAAGACCAGGATCCTCTGCACCCACCGTATAGAATTTGTGGACAAGGCTGACATGGTGATCCTCATGGACAGTGGGACCATAGTTAAAACAGGTAACAGCACCAGTCTGTTTACATACAGGTAAAAATTAGGGATGCACGATATTGGGATTTTGGCCGATATCCGATATGCAGATATTTTAAAACTCATGTAGCCGATAACCGATATCGATACCGATGTTAAAGCTGGACATAAATAAGTAGTCATTGAAAATAGCAGTTTTGTTATCCATTTCTGACACTTTAAAAAATAATATACTCAAATATATTTTCATATGCTGATATCAAGTCTGTAAAAAAGAAGTTTTTGAGGAAGAAGAAATAGAATATTTTTTTTTTTTAAGACTTTAGAAACTCAGAAGCTCATCAAATATCGGGTTAAATATCGGTGGGGTGGCTGAGGTCCGACATTCAGTTTTAAGGCCGATACAGGCCGATACCGATAGGGGGCCGATTATATCGTGCATCCCTAGTAAAAACAGGTATTTAGTGGAAGCAAAAACAGTGTCTGAAACCAAAATGGAAATAGACGCTAATGATGATGTTAATGATGTTAAACGATTCTTTTTCCAGTGATACCAATATGTTTGCTAGGATTTTAAACTTGTCCCAACAGCTAAACTTCTGTTTTACAAAGGAATCTATTTTAAAAGGACATAGTCAGGTTTCATTGCTCAGCAAAAACACTGTTTGATCCTGATTAAATTTGTTATAATCACCAAGTGTCAATCATAATAGTGTTTAGATTCAGTCCTTTTTAACCCTAAAGCCGGGCATACACTGTGCGATTTTTTTTTCAATCGTTGCATGCAGCTATACCTCACACTGTACCCTGTGGGTTCTTCATATAGTGTGAGTTCACAGCTGACGATATATGTTCTCACAATGTGCGACCCGACGCCATGATGCAGTTGACCTGCTTACACTGTACGTCTAAAAACCACGCCGGACTCTACTCAGACTTGTCTATCCAGAAGCCAAACAAGAGGTCCGCTGTGCTCCGGGAGCTTGGTGTACAGGGTCAGGCTAGGAAAGGATTCCATTGGGTCTGGTTGGCTCTGTTCTTCGCAGTAAGTGCAGAGAAGGCTCCTTTCCTTGGCCGACAACTTTCCCCTCAGGAGGTCAAGCAAGCGCTGCACCAGCCTGGCGGACCGTACCCCCATCATGGAACCCATGTCTTCGATGTTGGAGCGGGACGGTCCGCGGTCTCTACCAGCTGCTTCACGGTTGTCATACTGGATCGGCGCAGCGCCTCCGGCAGCCCTGGTCCCGCACGGTCGCACACGTCCAGCCTCGACCCACAGATCAAGGGCTGTAGAAGAAGAAGAAGAGTTCTTGTTTGCGCATGCCCACTGAGGGATTTGCCCACAACAGTACACTGAAAATCAAACATGTTTGATTTTCTCCCGACCTCACGATTCCTGATCGGGAGGTGGTCGTGAGAGGCTGAGCGTCCCTGGTTACCACCTGTACCCTACACGATCAGGCTGAAAGTCCGCCCGATCGAAAATTTCTCGCACGAGTGGAAAGTCGGCCAGAAAAGGGCAAAACATCGTACAAAGTATGCCCGGCTTTAATAGAATTTCAGCACTGGGTGTGATGAGCTGACATAAAGAGAAGTGGCGCCATCTGCTGGCAGCATTTCAGAACAAAAAAAAAATCTACTCTACTTAATTTCATCAAGCCTTTTTTATTTAGTCAATCCTTTTCTTTTCAATTAGAGAATAGTTACACTGCTGTTTTAACATATTTCTGATAAGGGACGTCCGTTTCAAGGAGAGAGCAACAAGGAACCAACTGTTTAATTGCATCTTTAGTTTTCCTTTTGTTTAACAGGAACACCAGCGGAGATCCTCCCTTTGATACAGTCTGAGCCGCAAATTGGGAGAAGCAACCAGAAAGCAGGACCTAAAGGTAAGTTCTAAGAGTTCTAAGGGATTCAGTTCAGTTTTGGCTTGCTAAAAGGGAGTTGTTCCTCTCCACTGTCGCTACAAGCATGCTTAGTGTGAGGGATTGCCTACAAGTCAGTGAGTTGATGCAATCAATTTGATTGTATGAGCTGGTAGAATTGTAAAGTGCTTTGAGATGACATGTCGTAAATTGGTACTATATAAATAAACTCAATTTAGTTGCTAATAAATCCTACTTTGATCTTCTTCAGATCTCATTTCTCCTTTATTTCCTTGTTTGACTGCAGATGAGCCTCAGAGTGAGGAAGATCTTGGTTCCCTCCCTGATCTCTGTGCAGATGATGATCCTGATGTGTTGGGTGAAGAGCAGAAACGAGTGGGCGGACTGGCTTGGGGGGTGTATAAGACCTACTGGTTTGCTGTGGGTGGAGCGCTGGCTGCCTCCATCTTGATGTCGCTGCTTCTGATGCAAGGTTTGAAAAGCCCTGGGTAATCATCTGACAGGAATGGGTGTTCTGTGAAAATCAAAAATATGTTAAAATGGGATCCAGCCAGCCAATGGAAATAGCTGCGACTATCAATTAATGGCGTCACAGAAGCAGACTGAGCGAAAAACACGGTGATAAAAATGAACACAGAAACTAAAAGGGCTCAGTCCCATACTGGGATTTTACAACTTTCTATAGCAGTAGCTCACTCTGGTTACACACAAAAGCTTTTGGAGTAATTATTTTATTTTTACACTTTTTATTTTTACACTCCATTTGTTAGGAAACATCAGTGTTTGTATTTCAACCTTAAAAGGAGGTACGACGTTGCACATTTAAGCAATAATTAACACAGAAGTCATATTCCCAGCCGAGGTGTTAAGTTAAAGATCATCGTTAGTGTTCACTGCATCAGGAGCTAAAAAAGGTTGCATGAGTGGGTACTGCCAGCAGATGGCGACAGTGCACACCAAGCATTATCTCTGTGCAGAAATTCTCCTCCAGCTCAAAAACAACTAATTAAACACTATCAGGGCTAGATGTTTATTTCTTTAATTCACATAAATATGATTTTTAGTTTTTATAGACATAGCACGTGACTGGGTATAGAGTGAATTTTGTACCATTATTGTTACAATTAAAGAACATCTTTGACTAAAAAATGTTTTTTATAAAAATGTTTGAAAAAAAAGAATCCAGAAATGAAAATGACTGTAGTTAGACAGAGAAACAGCCTCAAAGCTAAGCTTTTAAACCCCTTTTTAAATCCATAAAATTTATATCAAAACCCTTCATCCTTTTTTTTTTTGGGAACATGTTATGCTACGTTCACACTGAACACAATTTCAGCAACAAAAAGGCTTACCCTTCTGCTGCTCCTGTGTTTGATAGCAGAGTGCGGCTTTTCTATTTATGCTTTGATAAATGGGTCAAATGTAGTTTTAATATATTTCAATGCAAGGCGTCCACCTCAAAACATAGTCTGTACAGCCATTTCTTTAAGATTAAAATACTGCCTTAAAATATTCACAGACGGAGCTGCTCAGCCCTCCACATACAGATGGTGCGTTGTCTCTGGGAGTCTCCAGCAGTAGCTGCCTCAGGCCGGGTCGCCTCCTGGGGATTTCCCCTACTGTTCATGGCGGCTGGAAGTAGATGTTAGCATTGAGGCGCTGCTTCGGCTGCTCAGATGCATAATGATGCAGCGCTCCTTCTGCTCTAGACAGCACATCTAGCAGAACGCATGACCTTTTGATGCTCCTTGATGCACCTCAATCATAAACTGCATGTAAAACGGCTGCTTCTGCAGTCCAAAGTGCGTCCGGTGTGAACGCAGCATTACACAGCTTGGTGATGATGTGGGGTACCACTGCTGCTCTTCTTTTTTTTAAACTTTTTTCTCTAATTCATCGAGTCAAATAAGAGACATTGTTTAGATTTGTAGGAAATTGGGACAGAAGTTAAAAAAACAAGTCTGCAAAACTGGAGATCTGGTTACACTACGTAAACACTACTCACCATAAGTGGGTTTGGAGCGCTCCCCTCCAGATCTTTAGAAACAGATTCTGAACGATGTTGGAGAAAAAACATGACCAATGTTGATTAGCAGCAGCACTTTGTGCTTTCATGTTTGCTCTACTTTCAGCCTCTAAGAACGTTTCTGACTGGTGGCTCTCCCATTGGATCTCTTCATTGAAAAACAACGGCTCCAGTTGTGCTAATGATTCCTCCTCGACTCATCTTCTTCCTCACCTGCTGCTTTTTTCACCCGGTCGCCTAACGTAAGTTAATCTGAAAAACACAAAATACTGAAAAATAAATCTGGAATGAAAGTTTAGATTCATTTTAGACAGGTTTGGAAATTAAAAAAAAAGTGTACACTGAGTAAAGATAATCATCCCATCCATCCATCCATCCATCCATCCATCCATCCATCCATCCATCCATCCATCCATCCATCCAGAAGTCCTCTGCTCTCTATGGAAGCTCTGCCTTCCACCAACACCACCAGGGACGTTCGGTTCTATCTGACAATCTACGGCTCCATCGCTGCCTCCAACACCGTGTTCACAGCCCTTCGAGCTTTCCTCTTTGCCTATGGCGTCATCTGTGCAGCCTCTGTCATCCACAACAGGCTTCTGGACCGGGTCCTCAAGGTACGTTATCGGAGCTCTCACTTCCCTCACACACAGCTGCCTGAACACATTTAGCGGAGCGGTGGTTCTAATGTCTGTAAACCAAGGCTGGTGGTTAGAGATCCAAGCTGGTTACTTGATGGCTGCTATTAGGAACCTCCGCTTTATTCAACATCTTTTATAAGCATACACACCGCTGTAGGTTTTTAACATTATGTCAACTACAAAGTTGTTTTAATTATAATAGACCAACATAGCCGTTAGTCTTATGGTGTAGAGTTGTTGAATAATAAGGAAAAGGGAAACAGTTTTACATTTTAAACCATTAAACTAGTAAATAAATACTTTATGTTTAATTGAATTTCAGTGGTTTGTCCCTTGATTACTACATATACATGTGCATATGTACATTTCTAAATTGTGTTTTACCTTTTAGTGGATCAGAGTCCAGACTTGATAGAGCAAAGAATTTGTAAAAAGAATTGAAATTAATTTAATCAGATCCATACATCCTCAAGCAGTTTGTAAACAGAACTTAGACTTAGACATTAAACTTTTATTTATTTTGTTATTTTGTAATCGTGAATGCATACAAAAATAAATTTTGTTTAGAACAGCTCTAGACAATTTAATTTTTTAAAGCGCAGCCTTGAAAACAGTAATAAATACACAAAAAAGATAGGAATGTAAACATATGACTGTATATTTATGGCCATGGCCGGTTCTAGATAGGGGCCAGCGGGGGCCAGTGCCCCTGTAGATCATGTCCTGGCCCCTGTTATGGCCCCTGTACTGAAGAAATAATACTTGGAATAGACATGGATCTATTTCATTCTTTTTCTTTACAAATTCTGTTTCACTAATTATTCAAAAAATAATAAAAAAAAAAATATATATATATATAAATATATATATATATATATATTTATTTAAAAAATAAATAAGGTGATAGCTTCAGTGGTATTGAGATACGATCCCAGTTTTCATCTGTTAAATGTTTTATTTTTTCATAACAAATAAAAAAAAATCCTTTAATTTTTTCAGATGACTTTAACAGTTTTTCTTGAGTTCTAATTCAATGTTTTTTTTTTAGGAAACAGTAGTTTTAACTTAATTTAAGTCAAAAAAACGTGTAAAATTCCTAAATTATAAATGTATATTGACCTCATTAAAAAAAATATTTTTTATTGAACCTAATTGAAAAGAAATCTCAACTCCATGCAGCTCTCCTAATATACCATACCATACCATACCATACCATACCAGCTTTATTTATAAAGCACTTTAAAACAACCACAGTTGATACAATATTATACGATATATTTTGCCCTGTTTTTTATTTCATGCTTTTCTGGGCCCCCATGAAAACACGCTGCCCCCCTCCTGGCCCCCTGGTACATTTGGTTATTGTCAGAATTCAGTCAGAATTCTGACTTTTTTTCCCATGTTAAACTGAAATAAAATTTAAAAATCAGTTAACTTTTTTTTTTTTCAGTGGCCCTAATCATCTTCCGTATATTACTGCTATGTTTTTGGTTGAAAATACATGGTCAATTTGTTAAGCATTGTAAGTGTAAGAGCAAATTTGAGACAAATTCATTTATAGTTTTAAAAAGGGTTAAAATACAAGATTGATAATTTTGTTTTTTGTTAAGATTATAATTTAAGTTTAAAAACTCTAATATTAAAAGCATAGAATATCAAAATGCAATTTGAAATGCATAGTTTTGGGCTTCCTACATGCTGTAATTTTATACGTGTATTTTTTGTTTGCTTTTACGTACTGTACGTAAGGACTGAAGGAAAAACAGATATGCTGGAAGCAACACAGTTTTTGACCGAGTTTATTTTACACGAATGTGGATGTTCTCTTTTTTTTGTTTTCTTTTAATAAACATCACAAGTTGAAGAACATTATCTGGAATTGCTCACGTTTCAATACTAGTTGCTAGACTGTTTTTCCATGCGGTACAGAAGAAACTAAAGGAGCTGGAGTGCCGCTAGAGTAAGGGATGCTAATTCTTTTGAACCCATTGTATTGTGAACTGATATGCAGGAGTTTAGGTGAAATCCATTCTTCTTAAAGGTCTTCCTTGTAGTTGTCATCACCTGTCCTGCTTATGTTTCTGTTTTCACTGAATTATAGGACCCTATAGGTTTAGCAACAGGAAGCTTGAACTTCTTGTATACAGTGAACCCTCGCTATAACGCGCTTCACTTTTCACGGTCTCGCTGCTTCACGGATTTGCATCATGCATTGTTAAACTTTATTGTCGAACATAATCGATGGTGGCATGTCGGTTTATAAGGATCTTTTGGCTCAGAAGAAAAAAGGGCGACAACAACTACCGATAGCTATTTTCTTCTCTCCAAAAAACACACCTGTACCGCAGGCTTTTGAAGAAAAAAACGCCACAGAGCAATCAGGATGCAGCGGCTCCATCAAACAGCAGTGAAATACTGTACTGAACACATCAGTCACTCTTTGTCATACTGTACTTTGTATTTTTTTCATAATCATTTTTCAATTTCTCCCGTTCCAATCCGTCACGGCGGGGCGGTGCTGATCCCCGCAATATTAACCCTTCAGTTCGTATTGATGATTAAAATTATTACTTATTTATTTATAACTATAATATTTTACAGTACAGTACAGTAGTTATTTAAAAAAAAACAAAAAACAGCAACAAACGTTTATACTGTACTTTTATTAGTTAAATAAATGCTTGGGCCTGTAAAAAGTTTTTGTTCCTTGATTTAAATGTTTTATGGAGTAATTCATTGTATAATAATAGTAAAAAAATAAAGGTTTCTCCGCTTATCGCGGGTTCTTTTTGGAACGTAACCCCCGCGATAAACGAGGGTTTACTGTAAAGATAAACATTCTTGGTATATTAAAGTTAACATTGGCATTATTAAAATAACGCCTGTCTGTGTCGTTTCCCAGGCAACAGTGACCTTCTTTGACATCACCCCTTTGGGCCGCATACTCAACCGTTTCTCCTCAGACCTGTACAGCGTGGACGACAGCTTACCGTTCATCCTGAACATCCTGCTAGCCAACATCTTCGGTCTGCTGGGCATGCTGGTGGTGATAAGCTACGGCCTGCCGTGGGTGCTGGTGCCTCTGCTCCCCCTGGCTCTGCTCTACCACCAGACGCAACGCTTCTACAGACACAGCTCCCGGGAGCTGAAGCGCCTGTGCAGCCTCACCCTGTCGCCTATCTACTCTCACTTCTCAGAGACCATTGCTGGGCTGGGAACCATCAGGGCGAGTTGTAGCTCTGCCAGGTAGGAGGCCTGAAGTTACACATGCTAAAAGTCTTAGTAAAGTTGCAACTGTAAGTGGTCTTTACTTTTGTTGGATTCAGAAAATGTAGGTTTGCAAATAAATAGAAATTGAGTCTACACAGGAAAGAGATTCAAGCAGCTTCTGCAGGAGCGGAAGGAAAAGCCCAACCCAACTTCAAGCTTTCCTTCTCCGAATCCCCTCCTACAGCCGTCTTTTATTAACAGAACATAACACTTGGTTACAAAACAGTATTTGTTCTGACAGAACAATTGATCAGTTCATGAAGACAGAATGCTCCATCAGAATGACAAGGCAGGATGGTCTCCTGACTGAATCATGAGACGGGAGTGGAGCATCCCCTTGCAAAAACGTTTCATAAGCACACATTAATTTTATAATCATAATTGAATAAACATGACAACTTTACTCATATATTAACCACAGCATCACGATAGAGTAAAAGCTAATTACTAATAGCTATGGCTAATTGAATGATTAGCTTTTCCAAACATGATTGTTGAGTTCGAATTCAGCGCCTACGTCCTTCGAAGGCCAGATTCGTTGGCCGATTACAGGCGCGGTATTGAGGTCTGTTCGGATGGCAAAACTCTTTGTTATGCGGTCGAGAAATGCATCCTTCTTTTGCCCGTTCTGAAGGACTGCTCCGGTGTTTCCTATGTAGCCTTGGGTATTCCCTGATTCATTGTGAGTCCATTGAAGCCGGCTGCTCCGTGCTCAGAGGAAAAAGGTTCTTGGTACTAAACAGTGGCGAATATTGGAAGTACAGTTTTATATACTACAAGTATGTGAATAGTTCCATCTAAAACTAATGAAAATAGTTATTTTCATTGAGTCAGAAATATGTGGGTAATGTTTGATTTATTGAAATGTTTTTATCTGTGCCTGTGTAAATGGGTTTGGCTGACATTTAAGGACAGATTCTAATATATCTGCAGTGTAGGGGATTATAAATTTGATACGATGCAGCTGTTGCCCAGAACAGCATTGAGAAGTTCGGTATAAATCTTTTTGTGTTTTAACTCTCATGGTTGATAGGTTGACAGAGCATACGGCGGTAAAAGCCGATGAAGGCTAGATCTGTTTGGATTCACAGCCAAAACTCTCCCGGTCTCCTTATTGTCACAGACCTTAAAGGATCCAGTCCAGATAGATCAGCTCCATGGAGGACACAGCCTCTGAAATCGAACAAACCCAATGTATCCATATGTCCTTAATAGCTCAGCTAAGCCTCCTTGCTGCTTCCACAGTATCTGGTCTCACAGCTTCTTCTCCACTGTGGCATTGTCTGTGACTTTTCGTTCTAAACGAGAAAATGAAACAGACTGATTTCCCTCGTTTCAGGTTCAGGGAGGAGAACTCCAAACGCCTGGAGCAGAACCAGCGCTGCCTGTTCGTCAGCAACGCCGCCATGCAGTGGCTGGACATCCGCCTGCAGCTGATTGGTGTTGCTGTGGTGACAGGGCTCGGGGTGATAGCTGTCATCCAGCAGCAGTATGGCGTTGTGGACCCAGGTGGGACAGTGTGTGAAAGCAGCGATTGTCTCCCAGTAGATGTGCTATCCAGAATGGCACTGTATGTGACGGTCCTTGTCGTTCTGCTCAGGTCTGTTGGGTTTGTCCCTGTCTTACGCTCTGTCCATCACACAACTGCTGTCTGGGCTCATATTCAGCTTCACACAGACTGAAATGCAGATGGTTAGTGTGGAGCGAACAGAGGAATACTCAACTGAATTGCCAACTGAGCCTCAGGAGCTCAATGTGCAGGTAAGACCTAAAAACAAATCAGCTTCGCAATTGGAACAGGTTTTTAATCCTTTGCTATTTCTCTTCGACTTTGTTGTTTTGGTACACCAGCTGCCCGCTGCATGGCCTGAACGAGGCTCCTTGGAGTTCTGCGATGTGGTTCTGGCCTACAGGGAAGGTCTTCCTAACGCCTTGGATGGTGTGAGCCTGACGGTGAGACCTGGGGAGAAGATAGGCATCGTGGGACGGACAGGCTCCGGAAAATCCACCATGTTTCTGGCCCTGTTTCGTATGGTGGAACTCAACCAGGGGCAGATCCTCCTGGATCAGCTGGATATCAGCACTGTTGGCGTTGCTCAGCTAAGGTACAGGCAGGCAGAAGTGTTTTTTTATGAAACTCTTGTGTGATACAAGCTGTCTTTAGCTCTTTGTCACCTGTGTCGGTTCTGTGGCCTCTGCAGGTCAAGGCTGGCCATTATTCCTCAAGACCCCTTCCTGTTCAGTGGGACCGTCAGGGATAATCTGGACCCTTGTAAGAGACACCTGGACCAGCAGCTGCTAGAGGTTCTGGATCAGTGCCACCTGAGCTCCGTGGTCAGCAGGATGGGTGGGTGTTACTGAGGATGATCGAAAGAGGAGACAGAAAATAAGGAATGATCAGAACAGCCATGCAGAATAGAGACTGGCATTTTTTCGGGAGTCCCACGGGTCACGGGATTCCCGTGGGATGGGAGTCAGTATTAGTAACGATCACGTGATTGGGACGGTACAGGATTAAACATTGACGGGAGCGGGAGCAAAGCAATAGTAACTAAAAAAAACTAGGATTGATGCCAAAAAATTAAATCAAATAGAAAGAAAAAACATCCAGTACTGGCTCCGCCATTTTGTAGTTTTTTTCCTTGAAGCCTACGCTATAATGCGAGTCAAAAAAAACTACACGACCCAAAAACCAACAGTGCTTCCGCTCTGAGTTTTTCACCCGCGCTCAAAAACAACAATGGAGGGACCAACAGTTACTACAGTTAGAAACAGGAACTTAACTGACCCTTCATAGAAATTCAGATTCAATGTATTGGCAGAAATCTTATTGAAGACAACAAGAATGGGAGTGGTGCAGGAGCGGGAGTCATTCCGAATGGGAGTGGGATGGGGGTGGGACGGGACAGGATTTAGATTTCTACTCTGGCCCGGGATCGGGACGGGACACAATTTTTTTCTGTGGGAGTGGGACGGGACAGGAGTGAAAATCCACTCCCGTGTCAGTCTCTAATGCAGACTGACCGAGGTGACGACAGCTGTAAGATCTCCCCGACTGGAAAAAAACAAAAAATAGCTTTACAGCAGTGAAGCTTTCTCATTGAATACTAGGGAGGCTAAACCTCAGCTGTAAATTCTTGGTAAAATATACATTGTGACTTCATAAATGTAGTCATTAAACCTGCTTTAAATATGAGCTGAAATGTGCCTGATTTCATGCGTATGGACTCAGCCTGTCAGCCTCTATGAGAAATCTCTGTTGACGTTTGAGCCTCCGTCTGTTGAAGTAAGCAGTGAGAAAGTAGAGCCCTGATTTAATTACATCCAAATACGTCACTTCCAATGATGCCAAACCTCTTAGGGGGTCTATGGAGCAGGGGCGGGCCATGTAGCTGGCTGCTCGATGCTGATTGGCTAACATACTGAAAGATATTTGACTGACAATGACCAGACAGCGAGGAGCTTTTCCTCATGAGTCCAGAGGGAAAGTGACCATTCAGTCAGAGCAGTCATCTTGTGCTGAACTCTTGCTGTGGTTTCAGAAGTTCATTATTTCAGACCGCTTAATAATTTATTTTCCCACATTGTAGTGATGTGTTTCAACATTTGTTAATGCAGTACGTGATGTTTGGATTAAATTAACACCATTAAGCCTCCCCTGTTTCAAAGAGCAGTAGCCGCATCACTAAAGTATATGACACCTGAGTCATTTAATGAGGTATATTGCCTGATCAACAAACCTTAAAGTAAAAACAAGCTTTTTTCCCCACATCAAGTCAGTAAAGTTATTTTAAAGAAGCAGCAAACAATCTTTTCAGAGACAGGGGAGAATAATAATTGATGCAGTAGGGGTGAAAATCACAACCATCATGGCGAATCGATTCAGTATCAATTTCCTGACCCAACCATTCGATTATTTTCGATACTCAAGAATACACCACCATACGATTCGATTAATTGGTAAATTTTTTTTTTTACCTTACAGGCTAGACAATGTTCCTAATTTGAAAAGTCAATGAAAGCTGTAATATTGTTATGCATTTTATGTGAGAAACAGCAACAAATAACAGAAGTAGCAAAGTTGTACTCCACCTAGGCCTATGAAAACCTCATTCACTGAAAAATAATAATGCCTCTGTGTTTACGTGAGTTTACATGCAAGCGGACAGCGGGTCATGGCTAAAGGAAGTGAGGCAGGAGGCCAAAATAGGTTTAGCGCCACCGCAGGGAGTCAGAATTACATCCAGGAGCAAATGGATAAAAATAAACATGGATCAATACTCTTGCTGACGTGTCGATGCATCGGATCGTCAGCTGTTAGATCGATACAAAACAATTATTATTTACACCCCTATGACACTTTCATGCTGGCGAGTTAACATGATTAGCCTTCATTTTCTACTCACCCCCATGCTGAACAACACTCTGGAGTACTTTTTTCATATCTCAAATGCATCTGGAGATCTGGGAGGCTTCTTGCTGTCTGCTGACATTCAAATAATGGAGGTCCATGGCACCCGAGGCAGAAAGGTCCATAAAAGTCCACAAAAAACGTTTCAATATTCCTCCATACTGCTCGTCCAATGTATTCCAAGTGTCCTGAGTGGGTAGCATCCAGAATTTACTCGAAACGAAGTCATTTAGAATGTTTTTAGAGCATAAACAGTAGTGTATAGGATTTCCTGAAAGCGCGTTCACGGCGCTACGGAAACCGCGGCAGACCAAACCCGACGAAAGTGCGCATTCAGCTCAGCAAAGAACTCATGCTCCTCCTCAACACTGAAGTCCTCAGACATTTTTCTTTCGTTGTTTCTTTCTTTGCACAGGTAAACAGCACATTTCTTCTTATACGCTTGCATTATCGGCAGAGCAGACGCTGAATGCGCACTTTCATCTGGTTTGGTCTGCCGGCTTCCGTAGCGTCATGAACGCGCTGGTGCGCGCTTTTAGGAAATCCTATACACTACTGTTTATGCTCTAAAAGCATTCTAAATGACTTCGTTTCGAGTAAATTCTGGATGCTACCCACTCAGGACACTTGGAATACATTGGACGAGCAGTATGGAGGAATATTGACACGTTTTTTGTGGACTTTTATGGACCTTTCTGCCTCGGGCGCCATGGACCTCCATTATTTGAATGTCAGCAGACAGCAAGAAGCCTCCCAGATCTCCAGATGCATTTGAGATATCAAAAAAGTACTCCAGAGTGTTGTTCAGCATGGGGGTGAGTAGAAAATGAAGGCTAATCATATTTTGGGTGTACTATTCCTTTAATGTAGAAAACAGAGGAGAGGAGAGAATTTTTTTTTTTTATAATCAGGCTGTGGATCAATATTTAAAGCCCACTCATTACCTTGCCTTTTATATATATTATTTCCACACCCCAGTAATTAATTAAGCAACGCCAGCTTTTTCAAAGCAAACAATGTTGTTATTGTGAAGACTGCTGAACTGTTTGTCATTTCACCATGAATGGCCATTTTGAACTTCCATTGAGCAAGAAGTGTGAGGATGTACTTACTTCTGTTGTCAATAGGGGTGTAAATAATAATCGTTTTGTATCGATGTATCAACCAACAGCCGACGATCCGATGCATCGATATGTCCGCAAGATAATCGATTCATGTTTTTTTTTCCTCAGGTCTATTTTTATCTATTTGCTCCTGGGCGTAATTCTCCCTCCCGTGCTGCGGTGGCGCTAGACCCATTTTGCCCTCCTACATCGCTTCCTGGTTATACTCTTACAGCAGTGTGTTTCAGTAAGCTTGACACAGACATTTTTGATTTATGCTCAATATTGAAGTGTGGTCTGTGCTACACGCTGTGGGTCTAGATACGGCCGAGGCGGCGAGGAAGTGGGGGTGAGTTTAGTCCGACAACGGAGCGACATGAGGGCCAAAAAGAGCGGAGATCCAGGTGGAAAAAGGGTCCCAGCATTCTCGCGCACCTCGCTCTTCTAGCGGGTCAAACTTCACGAGTTGTTTTTTTGTAATTTCGGTCATAAAAACAAAACAAGCCGGCCTCCTGTCTGCGGCACTGTTTGGGGTCAGCTACAATTTGGGAGAGGAGCAGCGGAGCGTCGGTGGAGGGGGCGGGGACGTCTGGAGCCGAGGTATTGAACTGCACTCATTGCATTGATTTTGTGCAGTATTTTTTGATGCAAGGCCTTCAGAATCTATAATGCAGGGGTACAACTTTTCTACTTCTGTGATTTTCTGTTGTGCATAAATGCATAACGATGTTACAGCTTTCATTGGTTAATTTCAAATTTGAAACATTGTCTAAAAAAAAAAAAAATGAACCAATTAATCGAATCGAATCGTATCGTGGTGTATTCTTGAGTATCGAAAATAATCGAATGGTTGGGTCAGGAAATCGATAGAGAATCGAATCGCCATGATGGGTGTGATTTACACCCCTAGTTGTCAATGGGTTTGGACATTAATGACTGTGAAGGCAGAGACTTTAACATAGTTCTACAAGCTGTCCAGGGACCACTTCACTTTGTGTCAAATTAAATTTTTTGTCCCATAAAAAAGACAGAGCAAATTTGTGGAAAAATCTGGGGGGTGTATTCACTTGTATGCTTTCTGTGTGTGGACATCAGGGGGCCTGGAGGCTGAGGTTGGAGAACGAGGAAAGTTCTTCTCAGCGGGACAGAGGCAGCTGCTGTGTTTAGCCAGAGCTCTGTTAACTCAGTCCAAGGTGAGTCTCTCATCAACTCATTTAACAGTAAACACAAGACATGCAGCATCTGCTCAACATCTGCCGAATGCTGCTTCCCATCGCGTTCATTTTCAAAAAACCTAAGAGAACCCATACGGGATTATTAATATTGGTGATGGAACGTTTCTATTCGTGCAGTGTGTTTTCTGTCAGCCTTTGTTTAATGGCAGATGCAATGAAGAGACTGCTTTACTTAATTTGATGTGATGAGTGGGAATAAAAGGATACATCATGTTTTCAAGTGAGAAAATGCCCCTCTAAATAACATCCTCCAACACTCTTGCATTTTCTGCTGCTGTTTTTAGTGGCAGGAATTAATTATAAATTGTTTTTAAGGTGGTAAAAATCTCCTAGTACTAATGTAAAAATATATATATTTTTTGTTGGCAAGTTTTAACATTTTAATTTAATGTAGGAATTAATTAGGCCTGAGCAAGTTGAATGTATTTCGAATTTTTATCATTATTCCATCAAATTCATTGCATTTTTTTTTTTTTTTGTTCTGGGAATTCCACCAAATAATTTAAGTAAAGAAGAGCGATACTTATTTGATTTCCTTGTTGTCGTAGCCAAAAAAATGATAACAATATGTTGGTATAAACCCTCACCCCCTACTGTAAATCAATGGAAAGAGAAACTAGTGAATGTTTATACGATGGAGAAAATAACAGCAAAATTAAACTTGTCCACTGGTCTATTTGAGAAAAGATTGAACCCTTTGAAGACATATTTCCAGTTAATATGGTAGTAAGATAAGCATAAACACACATCTCTGTTATGATAAAAATAAAAGTCACTAGAGAAAGATCTTGTCTTTGTCTCATCCTCCAAGTAAAAAAAAAAAAAAATAAATAAATATATGATAATGATAAAGAAGAAAAAGAAAAAGGAAAAAAACATGGATCTTCAGCTTGCCGACATGTTTGGTTGTTGTTACCCAATTTTTTGTATGGTTTTATTGAAATTGTTGTTTCTGGCTTATTGTATGAATCATTGATTTTGAATATTGATCTGATAAAATAAAGTCTTTGTTAAAAAAAAAAAAAAATTATTGCGTTTTTGAGGCTTTAACAAACTCATAAAACCTCACCAATTTTAGCAGGACCGGTAGAAAAACTATGTGAATTGAAGCAAAGGCTGTCAGCTGGATATCAGTGCTGTACGTCCAATTGTTCTGTCAGAGGGGCCTACTATGTCCAGCATTTTATGGGCATAAGGCAGGGTCCACACAGGTTTCCTGTCTGTTGCAGGGTAACACAGAGACACACAACCATGCACACACTCCTAATGACAATATAGAGAAGCCAATTAACCTAATAGTCATGTTTATGGAGTGTGGGAGGAAGCCGGAGTTCCTGGAGAGAACCCACGCATGCACGGGAAGAACAGGATAACTGCATTCAGAAAGAATCGTCTTATTGCAAGGCAACAGTGCTACAAACTGCAGCACCGTGCAGCCCACTAAAATTAGGTGCACAATTGTAGAACGGTCCGGTCACGTTAGCCGGACCTCCAGCTTTCCCTCGATACCTTGATCCTTTGTCATTCTATATTCTGTGAATGGTTGGAGTTACAGAAATGTAATGGATATAATTCTTTTCTACTTTATTTGCAGATTAAAAGAAGGGCTCATTAGTGAACACAGAGAAAACAGAAAACTGAAACATTTAATGAACTGGGTTTACAAGATGGTCCAGTCAAAGCCACACGTAGCAGATTCCTGTTTCATTAAAATTGTGTGAAAATTAAATGTACACTATATTTCCAAAAGTATTTGTCCACTCATCCCAATTATTTGAATTATTTTAACTGTAAAATTCATTAAAAAAATCATGAAAGGGGGAAAAAAATCTTTTCATATATTCCATCTTCCTTTAGTCTGAAACCACACTAGCTGTAGCACTACCAATGTTAGCCATCTTTTGATACCAAAATTATAAAAAAAAAAACTGATTGGAATCAAATCAGAGAGCGGAAACTTAGTTTAGGGGGGAAATGTCGAGATACATAACTGAGAGGATAAAAGTTGTGAGGAAGCAACAAGACTATTAAAGAATGAAAACAATAAAAGCGACGATTAAATCAAAAGGTATGGTTCCTTATTTACAACAGTCAGAGATGGGAAGTAACGAAGTACAAATACTTTTTACTGCACTCAAGTAGATTTTTCTGATATTTTTACTTTACTTTACTACTTATTTTTATGGCAACTTTTTACTTCTACTCCTTACATTTTTACACAAATATGTGTACTTTCTACTCCTTACATTTTTACACAAATATCTGTACTTTCTACTCCTTACATTTAAAAAAATCGTCTCGTTACTTTAGTTTTGAATCATTTCAATGGAGTTACCGTTATTATTTTTCACGTCATCAATACCAAATTCAATCTAACTGGATGGGAATCTACGTTGCATTTGACGCACCACTACAAGATGAATCGACAGATTCGGCGGTATTCATTCACGGCAAATCATTGCAGCTTGGTGGCGGTGGCGGTGGCGTTAGCATAGTAGCATGGACGACGAGATGATTGAAAATTAACACAACAGAGATCTAGTCCTATTGGCAGACATCCATTTATAATGTAGGCAACGGCATGAAAAAAGTGGTTTCTACTTTTACTTTTATACTTTAAGTAAATTTACAAGCCTGTACTTTGTTACTTTTACTTGAGTAAAGAAGTTTAATCAGTACTTCCACTTTTACCAGAGTATTTTTTAACACAAGTATCTATACTTTTACTCAAGTACGGGAAGTGAGTACTTTTGCCATCTCTGACAACAGTTAATCACGTCCTTGGAGTGTAGCTTACAGTCAAAGGTGAGGGGAATGCCGTAAAAAAAATTACAAGCTGCTTTTTCTCATTGTTGATACACAAGCATGAAATGCTGTTTATATTAAGATTAAATTGATTTCTTAAATATTTGACAGAAATAGTTTAGCCAGGTTAGGGTTTTCGCAAATGTATTACTTAGGTTTTATGAAAACTCTTTAAACAAAGCATGTGACCTTCAGATTTTAACATTTGGTTAGAAAAACCTTTTTCCTCTGTTTATGAAGGTTCTTTGTATCGATGAAGCAACAGCCAGTGTGGACCAGAAGACGGACAAACTGCTACAGCAGACAATCAGAGAGAGATTTCAGGACAATACGGTGCTCACTATAGCCCACAGGTAAGACGTTCTCCATGTATGGTGGCAGGATAGTTTAATTCAATTCAATTCAGTTTATTTATATAGTTCCAATTCACAACCCATGTCATCTCAAGGCACTCTACAGTTCATCAGATCATACAGTCAAATTGATTCAAAGTTTTCTATCTAAGGAAAACCTGTTGATTACATCGACTCTTTGACTCCCACAGTCCATAAACACGACTGTTATGTTAATTAGCTGCTCTAAATTGTCCTTAGGTGTGAGTGTGTGCGTGAATGCTCTACTTGCATAGTGCATAATTAGGTAATATGCAAACACCAGAGAAAGAGGACATTTACAGCACTGTCTTCTCAAAAACAACCGGGCAGATTTAAGAGTTAGTTTAAGGAGGTTGTGTCTAACAGGCTTCTTTTTAAAACATCCTAAAGGTTGGTAGGTAGAATGAGGGGTGTGTGTCCACAAGAGGGCAACAGTGCTCTGACGAAATGGTCTTTTATTAGCTTCTGCTTCAGGACTGATTCACCCTCTTTAATGATGTTGTGCTCAATCAAACTGGACTTTAATTCCCTGTCACTCCAGTCCAGTTTAAACAATCTCAGAATAAAAGTAGTTTCTTTAGGAGGGAGCAAAAATAAGACCCATTCAGTATTTTTATTAAAGCTGCTTCTAAAATAGAGGAATCTGTTTAAAAGAAGACATTATTTATCTCCTTTTAGGGATGAATAAAGAGCCAATCAAACAATTCACAACAATAGGCTCTATGCACAGCTCCACTACTTCCTGAACTTCAGGCAGCTCTTTTGTTTCCTGTCTTTTTCTACTGGATGAACTAATTAATCCAGGTGTGTCTGACCTCAGTAATTATGGCCAGACACACCTGGATTAATCAGTTAATCTAGCAATGAAAGACAGGACACAAAAATGGCTGCCTTAAAATCAGGAAGTAGTGGAGTGGTGCATAGAGCCCATCTTCTAGGTATTTTATGTAAAAAAAAAATAAAATAAAAATCCAGTTTAGACTCATGAATATATGATCAGTTTATTCCAACTATATAGACTGATTTACAGTCAAGTTCATCAGGGGATTTAGAAAACAGAAGCACAGATCCAGGAGTATTTTCTAAAGTAAACAAAAAGTCTAGATTTAAGCCTTTAAACCCTATTGTTGCAAATATGCATCAAACCGTCTGTATTACTCCAACAGCCATGATAGCATGTTTGTTCTACTAATGTCAGTTGTTATATATTCAGTGCAGACAAGGAAACCTTTGGAAAGCAAGTGTTTCTGGTACGACTGCTTTCTGAGTGTGCATGTTGTCATAAACGGCTATGACTCTTTATAAATGTGACATATCTTAGCCAATCAGATCAGCTCCTGATGAGGTCACAGAAAAGAAGTGCTTCAGAGAATCAGGGTCAAATTCATAACCTGAAGTTCTTGTTTGGCTCTGGATGAGATTAAAACTCGTAATGATTTGTCTGTTTCATCAGGATCAACACCATCATGGACTGCGACCGTGTGCTTGTGATGCATGCTGGGAAGGTGGTGGAGTTTGACACGCCCGCAGCTCTCTGTCAGACGGACACATCAATCTTCCACAGACTGGTTGGTGGGCGAGGAAATTAGCCAATCAGCAGGATGGATGGAAATGTTCTGAGAAGCAGAAATCAGCTTCTCTACTTTATGCCGGACTTTTATTGAGACCTAGAAGATTTCTACTGCACTATCATAAAAAAAACTGAATGACTTCATTTATGTTACTAGATGTTCTGCTGAAGAGGACATCTGGGGTTGTGTTGAAATTTTGTAATAAACACAAAAACGTTTCCTCTAAGATTACCGTCTCCTTTCTTGGAAGCTGGCTGGAGTTGCTCTGATGTTATTACAGCATCCAGGGACCGAGGGTTACACTGCAAAATATCTTAATCTAGATAAGTCATTTTTTCTTAAAATAAGTGCATTTGATCTTGAATTGAGGAGATACAAGAGACATTTTGCCAATGGAACAAGACAATTAACACTTCAAATATGAAAACACAATTGCATCATCTTATTTCAAGTGCATATTATCTAATTATCTTATTTAAAGAGTAAAATTACACATTCCATTGGCAAACTATCTCATTAATCTGCTCAAATCAAGGATGAATACACTTAATTCAAGAAATTTTTACTTATTTCTAGATCGTTTTTGCAGTGTAAGACTCAGGGTTCCGGCGGGTCCTTAAAAAGTCTTAAAAGGCATTAAATTCTTCAAAATAAAACTAAGACCTTAATTGGTATTAAAATGTCTTAAATCAGTCTTTCGTAGGTCTTAATTTTTAAAACATCATAAAAACGATTATTTTTATTACGATTTATTTTTGTAATCTAAATAAAACATTAAAATTGCCTTTTTTTTTCCTATTTAAAAAAAAAAATAACAGCTCGCCATCATTGGTTCCGTCCCGATAGCGGAACCAATAAAAGCGTTGTTGCGGCCGCGACATTTGGGAGATGCACCATTTACTTTTTGTCTGGAAAATATGAGCAAGTGTAAATGTAACCAAAATTGGCTCCAGCCAAGAGTTTTCTCCATGGCTAAAACCAGGGAACATACATGAGGCTCAGTGGATTTTGTGCAAGAAGTCATTCAAGCTCGGAACGATGGGAATTAAGGCAGTGGAGTCGCACATGCGAAGCACGAAACACAAAGCGTCAAAATGGAGTTACAGAGAAACAGCCGGTATTTCTCAGTTTTGTTCCACCCTTGTCTCTGCAACGCCTCCACTCAACATGATCAATAGATTTTAAACCACTACATATACAACTTCCATTATATAAGCACAATACATGGACACACCAGAAGACACATAAACATATTTTTGGCACAAACGGAACCCCATACATACAAAGAACAATAGCTGCAAAAAAGACTTAGCACTGGTTATGTTGTGGCTTTAAAACTGATTTGTTTTGTTCCCTGCTAAAACAACGTTTGTGAATTCAGTTAAATAATTTTTAAAATATATCCGTCATTAGTGTGTTTTTAGCTTTCTTCCTATTTGGGAAGCTTTTCATAATTTGAAACATTAGTGCAGTGGTTTATGTTATAATAAACCTTTGGGTTAAGTCATCGCAAGCAGGTTTTTCTTGTGTTTCTTGTGAATTTGGTCTTGAATTTTTATTTCAAGTGGCATTAAAAAGTCTTAAAAAGTCTTGAATTTAACTTGCCTCATGCTGTAGGAACCCTGAGATTGTACGCTTTTATCAGCTCACATCCGCTGCTTTTATTCTGACAGGCTGACACAATCAGAAGAAATAGAACATTTCTGACTGGATTATAGGTGTTAATAGTTTAGTGGTTCATTTAATGAGTGGCAGAAAAGGTCAGAAAGGGTAAACAGAGCACAACACATTACCTGTAGATCTAAGAAGCAGTATTTTTGGGATTGGCGAGTTCTGAGTTTACAGAATTATTGTAGTTCATTCAAAAATATCTCAGAGTGAATGTTTCTGCATGTTTGTTTCCCTTTCTGTCTGTGTTGCCCTGTGATGGACCTTTAACTGCTGCTGCTCCGCTCATCCATTCTTTCACTCTTTTATGGTATTAATATTCATATCACTGAAAACTAGATCTATTCCACTGTGCTAAACATAATAGATTGATAAGATTATTTCACTACATCTGGGTTAATTTGAAGGAATATTCTATAAGGAAAATATATTAATTATTGTTTATTAAGACAGTAATCCTGTTTGCTCATCAATCCTTCAATAGAATAGAACTTCAATAGATTTAGAAACTGAGATCTAAAGTATTTTTTTTCTTGGAAGTAAATGAATTCTCCCACGATTTGAGCACATAAGACATTTTCGAATGGAAAATGATTTACATATTAAAATAAAAATAGAAAAACATCACTGTTGAATCAATTCAAGTGTATATAATCTACGTGTCTTATTTTTAGGGCAAAAAGATTCATTCCATAAGGAGATCATCTTATTTACTTGCTAAAATCAAGGATGAATTCACTCATATAAAGAACATTTATTTTTAGATCAGTGTTTGTGTTGCAATATCTCTAAAAGAGATAAGTTGAGTAAAGCTGTCTGAATTTATCTTTTGATTGTAAATCAAACCAATCATCGAGGGCAGGGGTGTTCAGATAAAGGAGCAGCTTTAAAGTTGATATACTTTTTATTTGCAGTTGATTTAATTATAACAGGGTGTAAATACAACCATCCACCCTGTTTGTTCCGGAGGGTGTGCCTGATAATCATTAGTTTTTTCCTATTATATCACCAGATATGATGCTGAGCTGCAGCATTGCCTGCAGGCTTGGACCAGACTCCTTTCTTTGTTCCCAGATTCCCTCAGATAGGACTCTTTGTGCCCAGACATCAACTGTAAGGAGGGTGAGTCACGCAGTGAACGCCCGCCGCCACTCCCTTGACTCAGGTCAACATTCTTCTCACACCACCCATGTTGTCAGGAGGACTGTTTGGTTTTTGTTTTCCTGCTGTCCCCAACCTCAGATGCAACCATTGTTTATGTTTCTGATCCGCTTCAGTGCATCACTGGTCGCCTTATAATGAAAAAAGTTCAGCTGATAGGAAGTAAAGTGGGTCAAAGACTGATATTTCACTCCTGCGCTGCAGAATGTCCTCTTTGTTTGCATACATGTGAGACCCAGGCGTGTTGTAGTTAAGGCGTGTTTGCAGGAGGGAGAATGAAGTGACAGTTCATATTTGGATCAGTTGACGTCTTACCACATGGTGGCAAGACGCTTGGGGCTGAACCTGTTTGTCTGCTTCAGGTGGAGTATTCACCTGCCTGACAGCTGCTCCTCTCCTCAGTGAACCGGCTGAGCTGTCAGCGCGAACTGAGCTCAACTTCAGACAGCAAAAAACAGCCTGATGCATCCTAAGGTTGGTTGGATTTTGTTTTAAGTATATTTTAGGATTGTTACACTGATGTTTATCAGTTTGTGTACTGCAGGTTCTTTGGTTTTTTTAAGGGATTAAGCGGCCTGCAGTCCAGTTGCTGAGTTTCTGGCATGCAGGTAGTTTCTGTCAAACCAGCATCTCTACACCGTGAGAAACGGCCTGCATTCCAGGCATGCTGTACTTTATCCAGTCATTTTCAGCAGGTTGCCTCACGCTGTGAATTATTTGGGTCTTACCAAGATAAAAAAAAAAAACAAAAAAAAAACTGTCCAGTTTTGAACTTTAATCTTAATTCAAGAAATCCTGTCATGCCAGGTTATCTCACTTGCTTGTTTTAGAACATTTTCCCTCAGATTTTGTTCTTTTATTTTGTGTTTAGAAAAACTTTTTCACAGCAAACATCCCATCTAGTGTTTTCTTTCCTCTATTCTCTCCAAGAAGACACGCTTAATCACGTACCTGCTTCTCCACCTCTGTTTCCCCTCTTTAAAAATGAGAAATTGAGGAATTAAAATATTTTCTTTAGCAGTGGCGGTTCTAGACCAAATGTACCAGGGGGCCAGGAGGGGGCCAGCGTGTTTTCATGGGGGCACAGAAAAGGCATTAAATAAAAAAACAGGGCAAGGGATTCAAATATATATCAAGAGAGCTGCATGAAGTGACATTTCTATTCGATTAGGTTTGATTATTAAAATTCTATTTCTTATTAGATCAATAAACATTCATAAATTAAGAATTTTACATATTTTTGACTTAAGTTAAAATTTGACCGATATTTTCTTAAATTATCACAGCACACTTTGAATGTATTAATCTTATTTTGTTAAAAATAAAGAGGAATACCTGTAAAAAAAATAAAAGCTTGTTTTAACTGTACAGGGTAATGCTTTGAAATATAGATAAAACATTTAGAGCATCGAAAGCACCGACCCTAGCAGAGGTAGATAAGATCAGCTTTAGATCAGAGTATCAGCCAATAAGCAATGTATCAAAATAAACAAGTAGGTGTGTCCCTACTCATTGTTAAAAACAAATAACGTGTTTCGTAAATAAAAAATGCGAAAACCAATGCAATCTAGAAATAAAGTATAAAAAACTTTCTCAATCAAAAAAAAAGGGTTTTGATAACAATTTTGGTGTTTGCGCAGATTCTATTTTTTCAACAACAAAAAAAAAGATTTTTTTATTTTTTCAGTTTCTTTACATATTCTATATTTTAAATATTTTCTTTCAAATGTCCCTCTTTCAGATATAATTAAACGAATCTCATTCTTTTCAAATGTGTTTTAACGGATCACATTCTCTTTATTTTAAGCCAAATTCTAACACCGCGCACACTTTATGCGCACATTAACCAATAACAATGTTGTTGTTAAGTTCCATGCAGACCAATAGAAACGCTTCTTTGCTCCTCACTCCGGAGGAGAACCCGCCCCCAGGAGTGTAGAGAATGCATGCTGTAAACACAATATGAAAAGAACACAAGAATGCTTAAAAATCAATCTGATAAATAAATAAATAAGGTGAGAATAAAAAATTTAATTAAAATAAATAAAAAATAAACAATTATATGATTTTAAAAATCAGAGAAAACCACAAAGTTATTCTCAAAACCTTTTATGCTTAATAAGAAGATTTTTTTTCATTTCTGGATGATTGAATTTTTTTAATTAATTTATTTATGTTTTATTTTCCATTTACAAAACATGTTCTTTTCTTGCAACAATAACGGAATAAAATTCATTCCATACTATATCAGGGGTCTCCAAATTTGCAACTGGCTCTTTGGTTCTGCAACTAATGAAAAATCATTCCAGATTTGTATTTATTTTCCCACACTCTATGACCTCTATTTCTACCTTGATGTTACTTCAGTGGCTCAGTATCAAATATCTTCATATTATTCCCACCAATAAAGAACTACAGATTTGAACTTAAAGATTTATTATCAACCTGAATGGATGCCAAGACTTCAGGGGACATAATTTTTCAAATATCCATTAAGGCCTGATATCGTATTTGTAATCATATTACAGTGCATTGAAGTGTTATACTGTATAAATAATGTAATATCTGAATTTGTCAGAACATAACAAAGCAGGTGGTCTGTCTGTTTCCCGATGTATTAGAAAGCAGAGGCTATGGTTTCTGTGACTGTTTGCTTATGAAAAGGAAACGCCAAAACAAAAGCGATTGTACAAAACCCTGGAGGAACCAGTTTCTCATAATGACCCAGCAGCTAAAGGCCATAACTTACATACCAGGGTGTTACTTGACTAAACATGCATAAAATGAACAAGTTTATGGTTTTTCTGATATGTACGACCCACGTTAGTTTTATTGAGGCATGGTAACAGGTTTTCATTCATTTTTAATCATGTTCCTATTACATCTGAGTCTGTTTGCTGATTATTTTGTCCCTTTTCTAGATTTAGTGTGAGATCTGCAAAGAACCATTAACAGCATGGTATGGAAATACAATTATTTTTTTTATGGTGGTCATGTTTGGTTTACTTTTTATTGTGAATTAGTGTGTTTATCGTAGATGCTAAGTGATATATTTCATGTGCAGCCAACTCATCGGAGGGGGCGGAGCCTCTCTGAGGCCTTGACACTGGAGGAATCGGAGGAGGGGGGGCTGGTCATTTCCAGCGTTACCAATCACTCCCATAACTTGAAGGAAGGTATGAGATCTGACTTTTATTGTCTTTACCTCAAAGGACATATTATCGTCCAAATATATGGAATTAAATATAAGCTGACCATAGAAGGTTTAGGGATAAATGTCCACTTTTTCAGGTATATTTCTGTGGTCCAATTCAGTTCAAAGACATTTCAAAGTTCTTTACATGAATTAAACAAAAAAATTGAAGACAAATAAAAGCAAATAAGCTAAACATGTGATACAAGCAGGTATTAAAAATCTTATTGAAGTCTTGTTTAACAAAAAGACTAATCCTATAATATACCTTGTAAATGCAGAGATCAATTTAATGTTTAGTTTATTATAAGTATAGAAATCAATCCAATAGGAAATTAATTTATCACACAGGTGTAGTTCCTTAATTTCCAGTTCATGCTCTATTTCTAGTCTAACTCTGTTTCTGCAAGAAGAGTCACCACTTTTCAGTCAACAAAGGCAGCTCAGTGCCTCATCAGCTGTTTGCTTTGCAAAATAAACTGACTGCAGCTTCAAAGGGAAGTGTGTTTTGTTACCAGCTTCCTTGTCATGCATACTCACCAATTTTCCTTTGTGATTAACTGCCATTTTGCTTACAGTAGCAACTCAAAGTAAGGTCAGCTTCCGTCTCAGGTCTGTTTTAGCTTTGACCCTTCTCCATTAGAACCACTCAGTATGCCTAAATATAAATAAGTCAATTTTTCTTAAAATAATTTTTTTTCACTCAGTTTTTAAGAAGTAAATCAAATTGCCAGTGGGATAAGACAGATATTATGTACTTATTTCAAGTGCATAATATCTGAAATCCTCGTTCCATTGGCAGATAGTCTAATTGAACTGCTGAATTTAAGGGAAAATACACCAATTTTAAGACACTTTTAATGAGATTTGGAAAACTTTTGTTGTTAAGGTCCCCCTCAGCTTACTTTTTCAGGCTTTTCAATATAATATCTTTTATTATGATTGGTTTTGCAGTGTGTATTATAAACGGTACAGTTTGTATTAATGAGAACTTCCAGATTTTTTTTTTTTTTTGTCATTACACTGTCACAAGTAGAGAGCAATAAAATGAACTCCTTGCATTTAACCCATCTCCTTGGGGAGCAGTAGGACGCCATCATGCGGCGCCCGGGGAACAGTGTGGGGTTAAGGGACCCAGAATTGCAGTCGACCCAGAGTGGGGCTTTAACTCAGAACCTCAGGCTTCCAAGCTCTATGCCCTAACCACTTGGCCACCACTCCCCTAAGTTGAACCTTTTAATCGCTGTTTTTCACTAAGTTTACCGTGTATTTGACCACAATAGCAAGCTAGCATTAGGTAGCTAAACCTCATAACTCCTTTAGTTTGATACTGCTATAAGGCTTCACTCTTTGCCATGTACTCATCCAGTGTTCTTTGTTTGGTTGCTAGCAGCCACGCCTGGCTCTCCTCTTCAACAGTGAGACTGAATAAAAGTCATTAACTGTACAGATGTTGTCCTGTGTTTGTTTCACATACAATGAGTGAGGCTTTATTGCTATGACAACCCTCTACACATTGCTGGAGTACTCAATTCAGAGTATATATATATATATATATATATATTAGGGATGGGACGATTTATGAAAACCGTCAGAATCGTTCGGTTCGACTGTCGGTTCGATTCGCGTGTGTTTGATTTGGTTCATGCGCTGCTCCTTTTTCTCATAGAGGAAGCGATTACACTCCAGAGCAGATGGTGGCGGTACTGCGACCAAAGCCTACCGCCAGTAGTAAACAAGAAGAAGAAGCGAAGCAGCGTAGCCGGGTGTAGCAGGGAAAAAAATCAGTTGTTGTGGAGAATTGTGTCTGTCTGGCGAGTGGGAAAGAACAGGAGTTGGAAGACGCGCCAGCAGCACTTTATAGGTCTGCTGTATGGGAGCGCTTTGCATTTAGAGTGACCTACGATGACAGCGGAAAGAAAGTTGTGGATAAAAGTGCAACAGTGTGCAAGCATTGTGCAACACGTTTTGTTTATGCTAACAGCAACATGTCATGCTAACCCCGAAATCCCACATACTCCGTCAGCAACCCCCGCTGCGCTCCAGACCGGCTGCTCAAAGCAAAGCCTACAGCCCCCACTGTGGCTTCGTCTGCTCCCCTCTGAGTTCCTTGGAGATGTTAGAGAGCATGCGCCAGATGATTAAATTCAAAGCAGCAAAACATACGGAAATGATCCAGGGTTTCTGCGGATCATTTAAAATAATTACAATCCATTATTTTGGGGGATTTTTTCATTAATTTCATAAATTTTTATGGAGTTCAGGTGTAACAATCAACATGTATCGAATCGAACCGAAAACCGTGACCAGAAACCGTGAATCGAACCGAACCGTGGATTTTGTGAATCGTTCCACCCCTAAAATATATATATATATATATATATATATATATATATATATATATATATATATATATATATATATATATATATATATATATATATATATATATATTTATATATATAAATTTAACGTGATCGGACGGAGAGATAGGGCTGCAGCAAACTCAGTACATACATTTATACCTTACAAAATCACACACACTCCCCCCACGGGAACCAACCCACCCCCTGCATGAAGAACTTTCTCACACTTGAACATTTGGTTATTCCCAAGAAAAAAACACTTCAATTCATCAAAGATGTAAATTTTAGCAAGATAAACAGTATGAACAGGTCTCCCGTTCACGGCATGAAGGTGTGTGTGAACTCGTTCTTATCTCTCATGACCCTCCCTTCACCCTTATCTAGAGTAGGGAGGCAACAGCTTTCTGTCATCCCTAATCTTAACACCATAACTTAACTCCAGCATACAGACTGGTACAAGACTTCTAAACAATCATCCCTATTTAGGCAGAGGAAAGGCATACCCAAAATATTTTATCTCACCAACAGGCCAAGGAACAATATGCTTCGGCAAAGAAATTTCCAAGACATGTTCATATGTATTCAAATCTGATGTTTTCTTTTTCAGGGGATGAAATTTTGGGAGCAACAATAAATTTTGATCAGCTGTCAAAAGAGGAGGTGATAAAGGTGCTAAAACTGATGGAGCCATATGACGACAAAGTCCATGTTCTTACAAGGGGTGGCTTGAGCAAGAGTATGTTCAATTTGGATGACTGCGCAAGAAACCCAGAGGCAGTAGGTTAATTATGTTACTTTGAAATTTAATGATAGAACAACTTAAATTTTACATACCGGTACTTTTTTATGCCTATGAGGGAAAATACCTAGTTGTTGTTTCTATTTCTAGATGCTAAAGGATTCCTACAGTAAACTCTACAATGCCAAAATAAAGAGATTTGTGAAATATGACCCATCTGCTGCCAACTCATCAAAGGTCAACCCTAAACATGACATGGGGCTGCCTCGCCTTGGAGTTGACTTTGGACATCTAAAATCCAAACCCCTCAGTTCAGATTTTGATGCAAGCTTGGAATCTGAGGCCAGAGATCTGACAGATGGCAGCAATCTGAACCTTCCACCTCTTGGAGTTGGTGACAAAGGTCTGAGACTAAATCTTAATGCAAGAAATCCTCAGTCCCGTCTTGGAGACATTAGTTTCTCTCAGAAATCACCAGATGGTATAAATGGCAAGATTAATGGCCCTGATGCAGAGGTTACGACACCACATGAAAGCTTAACCATTCCCTCAGGGAAATTAAGTCTGAAACATTCCAAAAGACTTAAAACTCCAGATCTGAATTTAGATGACCCTTCAAGTTTTGTGAAATCACCAGAACTAAGGCTGTCTGGAAAACAAATGGACCTTGGAAATATGGATGCCAATGCTTTATCTGGATCAGTCACATTGCCTGGTGGAAATTCAACAGATTTGGCCACTGATACTTTCTTGATTAGTAACAAAGGTCCGTCTGGAAATTACAAGCCTCCTAAATTTACAATGCCCAAATTTGATTTGCCAGATATTCAAGTCCCAGGTTTGAATGGAAATGTGGAGCTTCCTGAAGGTGACCTAAAAGCCCCTGATTTAGATGTCTCTGCTCCTAATCTCAGAGCTGGGATGAATATGCCTAGCATCAATATGCCGAAGGCAGACTTTAAAACCCCCAAACTGGACCTTAGTGGCCCCAAAGCCAACTTAGACATGCCTTCAGGCAAACTGAAAATGCCTGAAATTCAAGGTCCAGACTGGGATATAAATGCTCCTTCAGGAAAACTTAAAATGCCGAAGATGGACATTTCAGGTACTTTACCTAAAGGACCAAATTTAGACCTCAATGCAGATCTCAAGTCACCAGATTGGAGTCTAAAATCTCCAAAGATCAAAGGCGGCATGCATGCTCCTGATCTGCCAGATCTGCCAGACATGAACCTTAAGGGTCCTAAATTAGATGTTGATACACCAGATGTTAACATTGGATCACCCAAAGGAAAATTCAAAATGCCTAAAATAAAAATGCCAAAATTTAGTCGCCCAGGTATGAAAGGACCTGAACTTGACGGTAACCTGGATGCTCCAAATATAGATGTAAATGCACCTGATCTAAATTTCAAGGGGCCTAAAACCGATCTAGATTTGAAAATGCCAGATCTGTCTGGTAAATTTAAAAAGCCAAACCTGAACATGCCTGATCTGAATCTTTCGGGTCCAAAGATAGATAAGCCTAAATTGGACCTAAGAGCACCTGATCTAGATGTCTCTGGTCCTAATCTCAGAGGTGGAATGAATATGCCTGACATTAATATCCCCAAGGCAGATTTTAAAACCCCCAAATTAGACCTCAGTGGCCCCAAGGCCAACTTAGACATGCCTTCTGGCAAACTGAACATGCCTGAAATTCAAGGTCCAGACTGGGATATAAATGCTCCATCAGGAAAATTCAAGATGCCAAAAATGAACCTTTCAGGTACATTACCTAAAGGACCAAATTTAGATCTCAATGCAGATCTCAAGTCACCTGATTGGAGTTTAAAATCTCCAAAGATCAAAGGTGGCATTAATGCTCCTGATCTGGACTTGTCAGACATGAACCTTAAGGGTCCTAAGTTAGATGTTGAAACACCAGATGTTAAAATTGGATCACCCAAAGGAAAGTTTAAAATGCCAAAATTCAAAATGCCTGATTTTAGCCTTTCAGGCATCAAAGGACCTGAACTTGATGGTAACCTGAATGGTCCAGATATAGATGTAAATGCACCTGATCTAAACTTGAAAGGGCCTAAAACTGATCTAGATTTTAAAAAGCCAGATTGGTCTGGAAAGTTTAAAAAGCCGAACCTGAACATGCCTGATCTGAATCTTTCAGGTCCAAAGATAGATAGTCCTAACTTGGACCTAAGAGCACCTGATCTAGATATCTCTGGTCCTAATCTCAGAGGGGGAATGGATATGCCTGACATTAATATGCCCAAGGCAGACTTTAAAAAACCCAAACTAGACCTCAGTGGCCCAGAGGGCAGTTTGGACATGCCCTCTGGCAAATTGAAAATGCCTGAAATTCAAGGTCCAGACTGGGATGTCAATGCACCATCAGGAAAACTCAAGATGCCAAAAATAGACCTTTCTGGTAAGTTACCAAAAGGACCAAATTTAGACCTCAATGCAGATCTCAAGTCACCAGATTGGAGTTTAAAAGCTCCAAAGATCAAGGGTGGGATGGATGCTCCTGATATAGATTTGCCAGACATGAACCTTAAGGGTCCTAAATTAGATGTTGATACACCAGATGTTAACATTGGATCACCCAAAGGAAAATTCAAAATGCCTAAAATAAAAATGCCAAAATTTAGTCGCCCAGGTATGAAAGGACCTGAACTTGACGGTAACCTGGATGCTCCAAATATAGATGTAAATGCACCTGATCTAAATTTCAAGGGGCCTAAAACCGATCTAGATTTGAAAATGCCAGATCTGTCTGGTAAATTTAAAAAGCCAAACCTGAACATGCCTGATCTGAATCTTTCGGGTCCAAAGATAGATAAGCCTAAATTGGACCTAAGAGCACCTGATCTAGATGTCTCTGGTCCTAATCTCAGAGGTGGAATGAATATGCCTGACATTAATATCCCCAAGGCAGATTTTAAAACCCCCAAATTAGACCTCAGTGGCCCCAAAGCCAACTTAGACATGCCTTCAGGCAAACTGAAAATGCCTGAAATTCAAGGTCCAGACTGGGATATAAATGCTCCTTCAGGAAAATTCAAAATGCCGAAGATGGACATTTCAGGTACTTTACCTAAAGGACCAAATTTAGACCTCAATGCAGATCTCAAGTCACCAGATTGGAGTCTAAAATCTCCAAAGATCAAAGGCGGCATGCATGCTCCTGATCTGCCAGATCTGCCAGACATGAACCTTAAGGGTCCTAAATTAGATGTTGATACACCAGATGTTAACATTGGATCACCCAAAGGAAAATTCAAAATGCCTAAAATAAAAATGCCAAAATTTAGTCGCCCAGGTATGAAAGGACCTGAACTTGACGGTAACCTGGATGCTCCAAATATAGATGTAAATGCACCTGATCTAAATTTCAAGGGGCCTAAAACCGATCTAGATTTGAAAATGCCAGATCTGTCTGGTAAATTTAAAAAGCCAAACCTGAACATGCCTGATCTGAATCTTTCGGGTCCAAAGATAGATAAGCCTAAATTGGACCTAAGAGCACCTGATCTAGATGTCTCTGGTCCTAATCTCAGAGGTGGAATGAATATGCCTGACATTAATATCCCCAAGGCAGATTTTAAAACCCCCAAATTAGACCTCAGTGGCCCCAAGGCCAACTTAGACATGCCTTCTGGCAAACTGAACATGCCTGAAATTCAAGGTCCAGACTGGGATATAAATGCTCCATCAGGAAAATTCAAGATGCCAAAAATGAACCTTTCAGGTACATTACCTAAAGGACCAAATTTAGATCTCAATGCAGATCTCAAGTCACCTGATTGGAGTTTAAAATCTCCAAAGATCAAAGGTGGCATTAATGCTCCTGATCTGGACTTGTCAGACATGAACCTTAAGGGTCCTAAGTTAGATGTTGAAACACCAGATGTTAAAATTGGATCACCCAAAGGAAAGTTTAAAATGCCAAAATTCAAAATGCCTGATTTTAGCCTTTCAGGCATCAAAGGACCTGAACTTGATGGTAACCTGAATGGTCCAGATATAGATGTAAATGCACCTGATCTAAACTTGAAAGGGCCTAAAACTGATCTAGATTTTAAAAAGCCAGATTGGTCTGGAAAGTTTAAAAAGCCGAACCTGAACATGCCTGATCTGAATCTTTCAGGTCCAAAGATAGATAGTCCTAACTTGGACCTAAGAGCACCTGATCTAGATATCTCTGGTCCTAATCTCAGAGGGGGAATGGATATGCCTGACATTAATATGCCCAAGGCAGACTTTAAAAAACCCAAACTAGACCTCAGTGGCCCAGAGGGCAGTTTGGACATGCCCTCTGGCAAATTGAAAATGCCTGAAATTCAAGGTCCAGACTGGGATGTCAATGCACCATCAGGAAAACTCAAGATGCCAAAAATAGACCTTTCTGGTAAGTTACCAAAAGGACCAAATTTAGACCTCAATGCAGATCTCAAGTCACCAGATTGGAGTTTAAAAGCTCCAAAGATCAAGGGTGGGATGGATGCTCCTGATATAGATTTGCCAGACATGAACCTTAAGGGTCCTAAATTAGATGTTGATACACCAGATGTTAACATTGGATCACCCAAAGGAAAATTCAAAATGCCTAAAATAAAAATGCCAAAATTTAGTCGCCCAGGTATGAAAGGACCTGAACTTGACGGTAACCTGGATGCTCCAAATATAGATGTAAATGCACCTGATCTAAATTTCAAGGGGCCTAAAACCGATCTAGATTTGAAAATGCCAGATCTGTCTGGTAAATTTAAAAAGCCAAACCTGAACATGCCTGATCTGAATCTTTCGGGTCCAAAGATAGATAAGCCTAAATTGGACCTAAGAGCACCTGATCTAGATGTCTCTGGTCCTAATCTCAGAGGTGGAATGAATATGCCTGACATTAATATCCCCAAGGCAGATTTTAAAACCCCCAAATTAGACCTCAGTGGCCCCAAGGCCAACTTAGACATGCCTTCTGGCAAACTGAACATGCCTGAAATTCAAGGTCCAGACTGGGATATAAATGCTCCATCAGGAAAATTCAAGATGCCAAAAATGAACCTTTCAGGTACATTACCTAAAGGACCAAATTTAGATCTCAATGCAGATCTCAAGTCACCTGATTGGAGTTTAAAATCTCCAAAGATCAAAGGTGGCATTAATGCTCCTGATCTGGACTTGTCAGACATGAACCTTAAGGGTCCTAAGTTAGATGTTGAAACACCAGATGTTAAAATTGGATCACCCAAAGGAAAGTTTAAAATGCCAAAATTCAAAATGCCTGATTTTAGCCTTTCAGGCATCAAAGGACCTGAACTTGATGGTAACCTGAATGGTCCAGATATAGATGTAAATGCACCTGATCTAAACTTGAAAGGGCCTAAAACTGATCTAGATTTTAAAAAGCCAGATTGGTCTGGAAAGTTTAAAAAGCCGAACCTGAACATGCCTGATCTGAATCTTTCAGGTCCAAAGATAGATAGTCCTAACTTGGACCTAAGAGCACCTGATCTAGATATCTCTGGTCCTAATCTCAGAGGGGGAATGGATATGCCTGACATTAATATGCCCAAGGCAGACTTTAAAAAACCCAAACTAGACCTCAGTGGCCCAGAGGGCAGTTTGGACATGCCCTCTGGCAAATTGAAAATGCCTGAAATTCAAGGTCCAGACTGGGATGTCAATGCACCATCAGGAAAACTCAAGATGCCAAAAATAGACCTTTCTGGTAAGTTACCAAAAGGACCAAATTTAGACCTCAATGCAGATCTCAAGTCACCAGATTGGAGTTTAAAAGCTCCAAAGATCAAGGGTGGGATGGATGCTCCTGATATAGATTTGCCAGACATGAAACTTAAGGGTCCTAAGTTAGATGTTGATACACCAGATGTTAACATTGGATCACCCAAAGGAAAGTTTAAAATGCCCAAATTCAAAATGCCAAAATTTAGCCTCCCAGGTATGAAAGGACCTGAACTTGACGGTAACCTGGATGCTCCAAATATAGATGTAAATGCACCTGGTCTAAACTTGAAAGGGCCTAAAACTGATCTAGATTTTGAAAAGCCAGATTGGTCTGGTAAATTCAAAAAGCCAAACTTCAATCTACCTGACTTGAATCTTTCAGGTCCAAAGATTGATAGTCCTAACTTGGACCTAAGAGCACCTGATCTAGATGTCTCTGGTCCTAATCTCAGGGGTGAAATGAATATGCCTGACATTAATATGCCCAAGGCACATTTTAATTCCCCTGGACTAGACCTCAGTGGCCCAAAGGCCAACTTAGACATGCCTTCTGGCAAACTGAAAATGCCTGAAATACAAGGCCCAGACTGGGATATAAATGCTCCTTCAGGAAATCTGAAGATGCCAAAAATGAACCTTTCGGGTACATTGCCAAAAGGACCAAATTTAGACCTCAAGTCACCAGATTGGAGTCTGAAAGCTCCAAAGATCAAAGGCGGCATGAACGCTCCTGATCTGGACTTGCCAGACATGAAACTTAAGAGTCCTAAATTAGATGTTGATACACCAGATGTTAACATTGGATCACCCAAAGGAAAATTCAAAATGCCTAAAATAAAAATGCCAAAATTTAATCTCCCAGGTATGAAAGGACCTGAACTTCACGGTGACCTGGATGCTCCAGATATAGATGTAAATGCACCTAATCTAAACTTCAAAGGGCTTAAAACTGATCTAGATTTTAAAAAGCCAGATTGGTCTGGAAAGTTTAAAAAGCCGAACCTGAACATGCCTGATCTGAATCTTTCAGGTCCAAAGATAGATAGTCCTAACTTGGACCTAGGAGCACCTGATCTAGATGTCTCTGGCCCTAATCTCAGGGGTGGAATAGATATGCCTGACATTAATATGCCCAAGGCAAACTTTAAAACACCCAAACTAGACCTCAGTGGCCCAGAGGGCAGTTTGGACATGCCTTCTGGCAAACTGAAAATGCCTGAAATTCAAGGTCCAGACTGGGATGTCAATGCACCATCAGGAAAACTCAAGATGCCAAAAATGAACCTTTCGGGTACATTACCTAAAGGACCAAATTTAGATCTCAATGCAGATCTCAAGTCACCTGATTGGAGTTTAAAAGCTCCGAAGATCAAGGGTGGGATGGATGCTCCTGATATAGATTTGCCAGACATGAACCTGAAGGGTCCTAAGTTAGATGTTGATACACCAGATGTTAACATTGGATCACCCAAAGGAAAATTCAAAATGCCTAAATTAAAAATGCCAAAATTTAGTCTTCCGAGTATGAAAGGACCTGAAATTGATGGTAACCTCGATGTTCCAGATATAGATGTAAATGCACCTGATCTACACCTGAAAGGTCCTAAAACCGATCTAGATTTTAAAATGCCAGATCTGTCTGGAAAATGTAAAAAGCCGAACCTGAACATGCCTGATTTGAATCTTTCAGGTCCAAAGATAGATAGTCCTAACTTGGACCTAGGAGCACCTGATCTAGATGTCTCTGGCCCTAATCTCAGGGGTGGAATAGATATGCCTGACATTAATATGCCCAAGGCAGATTTTAAAACCCCCAAACTAGACCTCAGTGGCCCCAAGGCCAACTTAGACATGCCTTCTAGCAAACTGAAAATGCCTGAAATTCAAGGTCCAGACTGGAATGTCAATGCTCCATCAGGAAAACTCAAGATGCCAAAAATGAACCTTTCGGGTACATTACCTAAAGGACATAACTTAGACCTCAATGCAGATCTTAAGTCACCAGATTGGAGTCTGAAAGCTCCAAAGATCAAAGGTGGCATGAATGCTCCTGATCTGGACTTGCCAGACATGAAACTTAAGAGTCCTAAGCTAGATGTTAATACACCAGATGTTAACATTGGATCACCCAAAGGAAAATTAAAAATGCCTAAATTAAAAATGCCAAAATTTAGTCTTCCAGGTATGAAAGGACCTGAACTTGATGGTAACATGAATGGTCCAGATATAGATGTAAATGCACCTGATCTAAACTTGAAAGGGCCTAAAACTTATCTAGATTTTGAAAAACCAGGTTGGTCTGGGAAATTCAAAAAGCCACACCTAAATCTACCTGACTTAAATCTTTCAGGTCCAAAGATTGATAGTCCTAACTTGGACCTAAGAGCACCTGATCTAGATGTCTCTGGTCCTAATCTCAGAGGTGGAATGAATATGCCTGACATTAATATGCCCAAGGCAGACTTTAAAACACCCAAATTAGACCTCAGTGGCCCAGAGGCCAATTTGGACATGCCCTCTGGCAAACTGAAAATGCCTGAAATTCAAGGTCCAAACTGGGATGTCAATGCTCCATCAGGAAAACTCAAGATGCCAAAAATGAACCTTTCAGGTACATTACCTAAAGGATCAAACTTAGACCTCAATAGAGATCTCAAGTCCCCAGATTTTGGTCTCAAAGCTCCGAAGGTCAAGGGTGGCATGAATGGCTTTGAAGGTCCTGATGTAGATTTTGGGAGCCCTTCAAGGAAAGGTAAAAGGCATAAATTGAAAATGCCAGATGTTGGATTTTCAGCTCCGAAGATAGATAGCTATGATCTTAATGCTCAAAAGATAAAAGGTGGATTTGAATCTAACTTAAGTTTATCAAGCAATGACTTTAAAAGCTCCAAACCTGACTTTGATGTTCCAGATGTTGATTTTGGTACTTCACCGTTTAAACTGCCAAACTTAAAAGTTCCCAATGTGGGATTTTCTAGTCCAAAGCTAGATAGCCCAGATCTTGATTTCAAAACACCAAAACTGAGTCCAAAATTACCAAAGGGGCATAATCTTACATTAAATTCTGACTTTAATTCTGCAGAATTGAATCTCAAAGCTCCAAACATGAAAGGTGAACTTGGTTCTCTTAAGCTCAGTGATCCAAACATCAACCTCCAAGGTTCCAAATTTGACATGGACACTCCAGATGGCAATATCGGCTTACCTGGTGCCAATTTTAAGAAGTCACAAAAAAAGATGCCAAATGTCTTTAATGCTGATATTCCAAATGAGTTGCAAGGGCCTGGGCTGATTATGCCTATTGCTTATAATAATGTTCCAAAAGGATCACCAAAGCTGAGAGGTCCCGATTTAAGCTTGCCAGCTTTAGATCTCGCTGATGTCAGGCTAAATGGTTCAAGGCCCAGTGCAAAACATCCTAATGTGAGAATGAATAACATGATTGGACAACCTGAAATGAAGTTATCTGGCCCCAGAGGACAAGGACGTTTCAGTGGTGCCCAGATGGGTATGAATACTTCTATGATAGACATACGTGATCCTCATCTAAGATATCCAGACCTTAACATTGATGATGCTTCCATAAATTTCAAGGGAGCCTCCTATAAGAATCGCAGATCAAATATGGCTGGCATGAGTATAAAAAGACCTGATTTGGACATAGATCAAGACATAAGGTTTACTCATCCAAACAGGAAATCTTCTAGAACTAATGTAAGGTCCAGCAACCCTGCCACGAATAATGCTTTACACCAATATATTGATTTTAATCATCCAGATCTCAATATCGATGATTTCACAGGGAAATACCACGTGCCTAGAGCTAGGGGTTCACAATTGGATCTCCGTGCACCATCTAGCTATGAACAAGGCATCCCTTCCTCTTATGTTGAGTCCAGAAACAGCAGGGGGTTACCAGCAGGTACCAGAAATCACAATTTGCATGGTTTTTCTCACAGTTCCCAATTAAGAGGACCTGAGGCTTCCGATGGATACTACGTTACCATTTTCCCCAAACAAGCACAATCTCAAAGAGTCCCAAATACTAAATCCAACTCTATGGGTAGACTTTCCTTTCCTACAGGGAAAATGGACCTTGATGTTCCAGATGAAAACTACCTAAAGGGCTCAACATTCTTTTTCTCCAACCTTGTATAGTCATCTTAGCACTTATATTGTCTACTTTTCTAAAGTATTTCTGACATATTCTCTTTATTTATTATGACTATTCTTTTCCATGTGTGTATTGTGAGTGTTTTATGATCACTTTGCAGTTTTTTTTTTGCACTTGTTTTATACTGCCAATGTACAATACATTTTTTTTACATAAACCAGTTATGTTTTACATTTTAATACAATCTTAAACAATGCTTTTGAAAATAATTTCATTATTGTACTTTTATTTTTTGTAATTTTATTTTGATTTTGAGACTCCTGACAAAATAAGTGCAATATAACCAGTTTTATTTAAAAAAGTATATTGCTGTCTTGTATTGGCTGTTCAACTCAATCACTGAAGAAACCTTTGCTAAATTATTTACATAAGCATGTTCTGAGAAAATAATAATGAAGTAGCTAAATATTTTTGCAGTTTTTGCTTGATAACAGAAAACTGTGGTTCTTTGATTACTATAATGTACAGTTTTTGTATGAAGTGTTGTTGATGACAGAATTCTTCTATGTAGCTCCTGTAATGTTTTTACAAGTCAGTGGTTCCTTTTAAACATGTGCACATATATTACAGTTGAATAAAAAATTTAAAACAGTTAATAAAAACCAGAGCATGTAGATCCTGTGTCTTCCTAACTTCTAGAGTTTCTTTTGGCATCCTGCACCGACCTGTGGCAAAAAGATGATTTTCGATGGAATTCAAATCTGACAAGGACTCTGAAGTTCAAACCCTTTTTGCTGTTGCCTTTTCTGTGTGTAAAGGTGCTGGAAATACTCACAAGGACTAGAAAAGCTCCACACAATCTCAGTCAGTTTACAATTTACTCAGAGCTACCTAATACTGGAAAAATACAAAGATCATTGCAAGATCATGTACTATTCTTTTTCCAGGGCAGTGTTTGTAGAAAAAACAAACTAGATTTTATTCTCTGGTTAAAATAATGCAGTAAATGTCCAATCCATCTATAATTAAAAGTAATTTTCTAGTCCAACCCTCATGAGTTTCTTTTCCTGTTGCCTTTACAAACTGAGCCTTACTGAGTTTACTGATGCTGCCAATACTGAGCAAGTTGTGCAAGGCTGGCAAAATAATCGCGATTTTTCTGTTGTGCTTTTGTGAGATAAAAGGGTGCTCATGGTCTCAAAAGGCTTCCTCATAGCAGCAGACTTGTCATTTTATTGCAAGCAGTGGCCAAATTAAGAATGGGTACACCATGGTCCGTGAACCTGCTACTGATACATTTGGCACTAAGTGCAAGTGCTAAATTGTCCTCTTTGATAATCAAATCTGCATCTCTATAAAGTTGGTCATGAAGTGCCTTAAAAACTAGAGGTATTAAGTCACAAGTACAAATACTTTATTTCTAAAGTTGAAATTTTGGCTATCTATACTTTACTAGAAAAATAATAATTGAACTTTATTGATCTCACATTGGAGAAATTTACCTCTGCATTCAACCCATCCTCTTGGGAAGCAGTTGGCTGCCATTGTGCGGCACCCGTTGAGCAGTGTGGGGTTAAGGGTCTTGCTCAGAGAGAATCTCCCCCAGATAGTCTAGTCATGTTTTTATGACTGTGACTAGCTGAATTTGCTCTCTTCATCTTCTGACATGGGAGCTGGCTCGAAGCTCATCTCCTTGGCTGTGGAACTAGTTGAACGGTGCCTTTTGTATCTCTGCTTCTTTCTGTGTCTCTGCTTCTGTCTCCTTGAACCCCATTCGGCCTCAGCAGATGGTGGCTCACACTGAGCCTGGTTGTGCTGGAGGATTCTCTTCCTGTTAAAAGGGAGTTTTTCCTCTCCACCTACGCTACAAGCATGCTTAGTGTGAGGGATTGTCTTTAAGTCAATGAGTCGATGCAATCAACTGGTTTTCGTCAGATAGAAAACTTTGATCCAGATCAGGTTCAATTGTCTCTGTAAAGGGCCTTGAGATGACGTGTTGTGAATTGGTGCGATATAATTTGAATTTGATTGACTTAAAATGTTGGGTATAATACTTATGACCATTTGATATTTCAGTTTTTCTATTTTAATAAATTTGCAAAAAATATCTACATTTTTGTCTTTTTCTGTCAGATGGGGTGCTGAGTGTACATTAAAGTGAAATACAATCATTATTTATATAGAATTTCGCTGCACCATCAGCACCGAGTCAGATTCCTTGTACATGCATACTTGGCAATAAATCTGATTCTGATTCTTAAAAAAAAAAAACTTAAATAACTAAAAATAGACAAAATAACTAAAATAAATCCCATGCTTACACCAAGAATAAAGATTTATGTTTGTTAAGGATGTCTTTATTGTTCCAAACGGTCTAACATTTTAGGGGATTTTAGTAATATTGTAACTACATATAATAAGTAGGAGACCGCCAACCCAGTTTTTTTTTTATTTTTATTAATAAACTTTATTGAACAAATGTACAAAACAAACAGTTTTTTTTATTAAGGGACAGCACATCAGAGGGGGAGATATAAAGATTTGCACAAGAGTTGCACAATAATTAAACTGGACAAGAAAAAAACATTAAAAGGAAAAATAATTTGAAACAGTCAATAAAATACAAATGACAAGTGTTAAATAATAAAAAGTTATTAAATATCAGTAAGAGGTTTCAGGGCAGTATTTTCTATAGTTATCAAGAAACATGTTCTTTTTATTTTTAATCAGTTTGAGGGATGCAATCAGAGAGTTCAACTCTAAGAGAAAGTGAGTAATGTTAGGAATCGAGTTTGCACATTTTTGTTTGTGAATGAAAAATTTTGCATATATGATAATAAAATTAAGCATATTTTCAAAGTCACGATGTTTAGAGTTATTGTAATAGCAGATAACATCTTTGAGAGTTAGTGTGCATACAATTTTAGTTGAATGGGACCACCAACCACAATGAAGCAACTGCTGGAGTATACGTGACGTCATCAACGTGCTCCACGGCGTCATCCGGAGGAGTCTGTCACCACGACCTTCTCTGCTGCTTCAGTCTCAGCTGATAATGTTTCTAACAGTAACCGGGACGTTTTAGATGAAAAGTGATAAACGGGAGTCAGTCAGCAGAAGAAGAGAAACATGCTCCGTTTCTCCTGTTTGGTTTTCAGCAGAGGAGCGGCTAGAAGGGTGAGTAGTTTCCAGCTAGCTGTGTCCATGCTAATCCTCATGCTAGTCATCTATGTGTAGAGTTACTGAGATAAACAGCAAACGCATCTGGTAGAATAAAGAGGTTGATTCTATTATAAGGAATTTTTACTTTTTATAATCGATGTGGATACTTTATAGTAGTAATGGTGAGATGAAGCCTCATGAGGCATTGAACCGTTTGGCTAAATGGGCTCTATGCACAGCTCCACTACTTCCTGAATTTAAGGCAGCTCCTTTGTTTCCTGTCTTTCATTACTGGACGAACTGATTAATCCAGGTGTGTCTGGCCAGTTACTTAGGTCATACACACCTGGATTAATTAGTGCATCCAATCATGAAAGAAAGGAAGCAAAGGAGCCTCCTGAAGTTCAGGAAGTGGTGGAGTTGTGCATAGAGCCTATTGCTTCAACATCCCCACAGTTCATGTGAACATGTCACCACCTATTGACCACATGATTTTTATGGTTGATTTTTATCTTTGATTTTATTTGCACTGTGTAGCACTTTGAGATTTTTCTTAATGAAAAGTGCGGTACAAAATTGGATTTATTATTATTATTATTATTATTATTACCTACTGGTGGAGGGCAGAACTACAGTTTGTAATAAAATCTGATTTTTTTTTTTTTTTTTTGCAATTGTTTTTCTTTTTTCCCCCTTTTAAGTTCCCTTGAAATTGTTAATGGTTGGTGTGTATAATAAAATCTTTTGTAAGTTTTTTTTAAGTGTATAATTTCTTAGAACAATAATTTAAGGTGCACAGTTTTTCTGCCATTTTAGTGAAATAAACTCAAGCAGACAGTGAAAGTGTTTGTGCAAATTGGGTAATGATGAACAAAATGAAAGGTGTTAGTCATTTTTATTCAAACATGATAGTTTTTCCACGTTTTTTGGTTTTAATCAGGTTGGAAGTTGTGTTCAACCAATCTTTTGACTAAACCGACCTAATTTACCCAATCTATATTTTTACTCGGGCAAAACAATGCAAATTAGTCTCATCAGCCAAAATAATTAAGTTTAATTGCAACTTTAAAAAGAAAAAGACAGGTCTTGAACCGTCAACCTCTAGAGTGAGAGCCTGTCTCTTACAGATGACGCCACTCATGTAGATAGATTTGTCTGGTGGTTTGCTCAAATTTTGATCACTACATTGTTTATTCAAACCAAATTAGCTTTAAGCAACTAGATTGGTTGGGAAAACAACCAATTTATTCTTAGAATCTATCCAAACTCTATCCAGCTGACAGCAGCTCTCTTCCAAACTCCCACATCTTGACTGAACACTGAGGCTGTTTAGATGCCTGTCAAAATTCTTGCGCTTCCCGAACCACTTACCGAAGTAGTCACGTGGTATCACAGTAATCATATTTATTTATAAATATAAGCTTTTTATAAATGATAATTATTGAATTTATCATTTTAAATATAATTAAAATAATTTAAGGAGACATTTATTTATTAAGTTGTGGATTTTACAGTTTATTTGTATATATAATATTTGAATTGCATATTAAATCAATAAATACTTTTAAAATAAATTAATGTTTTTTATGTTTATTTATTTGAAGGTTTGTGTTCCTATTTCGGCCTTCACTAAATCTCAGGCATCACATCACCTTTAAGGGACTCAGTGATAATCCATCAGCTGTATGTTTGCTTCCTGGTTTATTCTCATCGTTTGTCTAAATTTTTCCTCCTCAGTTTGCCTCGTCCTTCTCCGGAGACGCTGCTTTACCTCCTAACCTTCTCCTCCCCTCGAATCTTGTGGATCCTGCCAGGTTAAGTAAGTCAGACATTCAGATAAATCCAATGGTTCCTCTCTGAGCCTATCAGTTGAATTTGATATGAAAGCCACGCTTTTTTAGGGCTGGGTATTGTTCAAAAATGTTCGGTTCCGGTACCGATACCGGTTCCTGAACGATAATTTTTTCGATACCAGTTTTATAATATCAATTTGAAGAAAAAGAAAATTACACAACATAAAAAAGTACAAATCTTGAGTTTTATTTTAAGCTCTGATTTTTCCTCCTCCATAAAAAAAAAAAAAATCAGTGTCTAATATTCACTGTAACATTGTGAGGACCTTTTTACTTTGCAGTTTTCCTTTAGAAAAATTAACATGTCTGCTTTCTCAGGAGACAAACAAGCCCGTTGAATGGGATTCCTACTGACAGCGCACCGCTTGTATGTGGGGGTCTGAGCGGCTCCGACAGAAATAATATTGGAAGGCAGGATGGTAATCTGGATGTACTGACTGCACTGATTATGTTTTCAGGTGGATTTTCCCACTTAAAAACATAATAAACCTACTTTATTCCCACTGATCACAGCAAATATAGCTGCAAGGCAAATAAAGGATAGAGTAGCTCCGCCCAACGCACGTCAGAGAGCCAGAGCAGCAAAGCTGCTTCAGCCATGCGTCAGAAGCTGGTACAAGCAGCAAAAAGGAAACAGCAGACGCAATTTTGCTGCTCTTGCTGCGTCCAGTTTGAAAGCAGCATGATTCACTCCGCTCTGGCTTTGCTCCGCCCACTGGCTGCTGAGAGGAGGATGGTTGCGCCGGCCGCGGTCCGCTCTACTTACGAGCAACTTTCTGCTCTTAAATTGTTTCCGTGCACGATGTATTGCATTGCGCACTATTGGCATCAGTCTTAATAAAGTGAAGCCACACTTTTGACCTGGGGGGCATTTTAAAGGGGTTCCACGACGCTCGCAACCAGTTCACAACAGATACACATGAACCCTGGCTGTAGGCGTGACCACCTGTGTATTTTTCCTGGATGACGCAATCACGTTAAGTGTTACAGCCAATCTCCGAAACTTGGCACCGAAAGACGAGGCATGTTTTGATACTCGGTAGAACCGAAGCATTTCGGTCGGTACCATAAAAGAACCGATGTTCGGTACCCAGCCCTTCGCTTTTTGGACCTGTTTGCATGTTTTTAAAAATCCTGTCCACATCAAGCGTTTGGTTTTCTGCTACAGAGCGTCCTCCACCTCCAGCGGACTCCCCGCTGCCTCTGCTCAGGAAATGTAACGCTGCGATTCCAGCTCACCTGAGCCCCGTGCAGACGTGGGTGGAGACCCTGGAGGGTCAGGACAGCCAACCGCTGGGTCTGACTGAGCTCCACCCTGACGTCTTTGCAGTGCCTCCGAGGTAATTAGACCCTGGCCTAACTTTCCATTTTTAGGCTTTATTATGCTGATATGAGATATTCCACCTACTGCAGCGTTAAACTGATCTTTGCTCTCCAACACAGGCTTGATATTCTGCACGCTGTCGAAACATGGCAGAGAAACTACAAAAGAATTGTAAGTCACACATTTGTTCATATATAATAAAAAAAACTGACAGTTTCTTTTCTGCAATGTTAAATATTATATTATAATGTTTTTAAATTCAGTACATTTACATAGTTGTTACTTTGACCAATAAAGCTGCACTCTGTGTGGGTTTTTCACCAGCGTTAAAGTTTGTGATGCAGGCAGTAAATATTTTAAAATCTCTTATAATAGTATTTTGTTAGAATCGATCTCAGATCATACAAAAAGTCCAATAGAGGATCATTGAAATAGTTTTGAATGAATTGAATTTTTACTGAAACAAAAACAAAGTCCAGCCCATTTTTTACAGAAATAAAGCACCTAAAAAAGTAAATGCATCCTGAGCTTTTTCCTTCTACCTTTTTTTTTTTAAATTTCATTCAATTTTAAGTTAATATAAAACAACTAACTGATCACTGTGACTCTATATTTTACACATAAACAAACAGAGGAAATAACCGGAGGAGCTGGTTTGGTTGTTGACCCAGTCAGACCGCTAGCGTTAGCGTAGCGCCACATTATTAAATCAGGTCAAACATCGGTTCCTGGAAACACCTAAACCTCCCTCTGAGCATCACAATGCAGCAGGACAATCCCACTTTACAAATGAGACAAAGGAATATAGGTCGTATATTTCCATGACATTTGACCCCTGATCAACCTCTTTAATAATCCTGCTTCTGTACAGCTAACGAGGTGTAGATTACTCTTAAGTCTTTGTCTATATTATAAATAGACGCTCTTTCTCATCACAAAAGTCCGTAGGAACAAAGAAATTCTCTTCGCTCTAATTCATCCAAACCGTTTTAATCCGTGTGACGACTCTTCATGATGTATTTATAACCTCTGATTGCTATTTGTAAACATTTTATAAAAAGGAGGGTTTATAAACATCACTTTAAACCAGATTATGTTTATAAAGAGGCTTCTATTCATCCTGTTGAGATGTATTGTAAAACAGCTGAAGGTTAAGGAACACAGAAATCTCATGATGTAGAGATGTTGATGTTTGGAGACGTTGACAGGAAAAAAAATCAGTTTTATTTAACAAGAATTTCAGATCCGGTGTTGTTCATTCAACCGCAGTAACGTCAACTCTTCTAATGACCGATACCGCAAACACAAGCTGCGTCTCAATTCGCAGACAGCCTGCGCTTTGTTAAGCGAAAAAAGTCGTAAAATGCAACTTTTGTAAAAACAAATGAACATGGCAGGAAACACATTGGAGCCTTCGATGGCAGTGAAGAGAGCTGATCAGCAGGGTGAGCGACCATGTTTGTTTGGTTTTAAAGTGGGGAAACGTAACGTTAGTTTCTCAGGTAGCTCATCTGATGCTTTCCTTACCGTGTTAGTAGGTTACAGACAGTGATAAGGTTGGCTACTTATTTTACTTTTAATTTCATTTGAATTAGCTTAAGCAGCGTTTATTTTTACTTTATAAATAAATTAACTTGCAAATTATGAGGGCAAGGCTTTTAAAGTTTAAATCTTCTGGCAAAGATTAAGTAAAGAAGATCCTGCAATTTATGGAAGTAAAGCAGAATAAAATCCAGCAAGATCAGTAATATGTCAATTAATTATCTGCCACATTCCCATGTAAATATCTGTCTTTGGAGGATGTGTCATTTTTATTCCAAATACAATTTATAATTTGAATCACAGGGCTATTTTTATCTCTATGGTTCAGTATTTTCTCAAGTAGCAACTTTAACTGCTATACTTTCCTGTCTTAAAAGGCAGAACTCTTCTAGTCTAAAAAAACTCATTTGTTGAAATGGGGGGGCCTATTGTTTGAACCCCTTAGGGGCTTTTAAAAACAAAAATGCCTGTCTCTTTTTGCGCTTTATGAAACAAAGTAGCCTATATTTTGTGGATGTACAGCTACATTTCTCATGTAAGTTTGCGTAGTTTTTACACAAACATTTATTTTTCATATTGCACCAGTACAGTTAATGAGCAACCTGTACTTGTGTGCTTGTTTGTTCTGTCTAAAATGTTTATTTTGGAATAAAGAGGTTAATATCAAAAATAATTTTTGTCTGATTCATCGATTAATCGAAAAAATAATCGGCCTATTTATCGATTTTTAAAATAATCTAACGTGTTCCTTTTCAGGTGCTGCATCATAACAGCGGTGCTTCCGTGCCATGTTCATTTGTTTTGACAAAAGTTGCATGTTACCACCTTTTTTCGCTTTACAAAGCGCAGGCTGTCTGCGAATTGAGAGCAGCTTGCGTTTGCGGTATCGGTCAATAGAACAGTTGACGTTACTGCCTTTTGAAAAAAGCCTTTGCTCACCTGCAGCGCTGGCTCGCTCTGCCGTATTTTTTTTTCTTCCCCGTTTCAGTCAAGTGGCAGTGATGACGGCGGCGGCGGATGACGCATTAATCGTGCGACACAAATAATCGAAGATTAAATTCGTTGCCAACGCTTTTAAAGGTAGATTTTTATCGATTTTATCGATTCGTTGTTGCAGCCCTACCTATTTCACACCACTGGAACTAGAGATTTTAATGCAGATATGCAAAAATGGAAGGAAAAAAAAACAGGTGAATGTTTTTTAAAGACAGAGAAACGGCTACAAAGGAGAGAAAGGCGGCGTAGAAGATTGCTGCTTGTGTTGATGCGTAGGTTTATATGAAGAGGGCTATGGCAAGCTGTTTTAACATTTATTAAAAACACTCTCCTCTAGTTGTTCCATTTGTAGATCACTTAAAAATGATTCTTCCTGGTCAAAATCACATCTTACTAGGCAGAGCTGTAACAGCAGATTTTCTAAATTACATTTAGCAGCAAAAACTGAATTTCAGAAAGTAAAAAAAAAATTATACTAAGAATTAACTTTTATATATCTAGAAAAGATCTTACTTTATTGGCACTTTTGAAATGTATCAGCTTGAATGAACATTTATTTATGATATCTGAAATATGTTTCCTTCTTATAAAATCAATAGAAATTCCGACCAGTAACGATAGGAATGTCTATGTGAATGTCTCAGAGTCACGCCAACACAAAGCTGAGGTCAGAGGTGAGAGGTGGAGGCAAGAAACCGTGGAATCAAAAAGGAAGTGGGAAAGCTCGTCATGGAAGCATCCGCTCACCGCTGTGGAGAGGAGGTAACTGTCCGCTGCTCTCCTCTGGATTAAAGGCGTCAAAATGAACCCCTGTCCTCCTCCTATACTGCTGTTACACACCTTTAACTTTCCAAAAACTGATCAGCTGCCTCCTTAAGTTCTGTGATCTGGAAGGAGTTAAATTTTTTTTCTCCTCAGGTGGGGTTTCTCATGGACCAAGAGGACCCAACAGTTACTATTACATGTTACCCATGAAGGTCCGAGTGCAGGGGCTGAAAGTGGCGCTAAGCTCCAAACTGGCTCAGGTAAATGGAATGACGGCGCCCTCTGCTGAATCAGCTCCAAACTTTAACGTTTAATTCAACATTTATCAGGCCAAGGACCCCCAAACTGATGGCAAGATGGAGCGGGGACCCAGTAATTATATATATTGTATGAAATTGTGTTCTATCAAACTGCTCCTATAGTCGCTCTATTACGGATGGAGTAATGTAACAAAAGTAATTTCTCTCTGGGATTATTAAAGTATTTGTGATTCCTGGTTGATGGGACAGGTGTTGTGAATGAAACGGTGCCCAGCTTGAAAGAGCTCCTGTGTGTCGCTGAATGTGAGCATTGATGACTGAAAGACATCTTCTGCCTCCATTTATCTGTTTACTTCAGTGTGTTGAATTCATGTTAATGTGGATTTAAAGACATTTCAATTAGTGGAAAAAACTGCAGGGGCGAACATACAAAAAAAAAAAAAAGTAATCAACCAAAACTTTTACGACCCCTTGCAGTACCTCTGTGGACCTGCTGTTGAAGACCTCTGGTTTAATTGATATCAGTTGCTCTTTGACCACTCTGAGATGTTGCTGTATTTAGAGGCATTGCAGGACGGTCAGCCTCTAAGTAGCAGGGTTCCCGCGGGTCCTTAAAAAGTCTTAAAAGGCATTGAATTCTTCAAAATAAAACTAAGGCCTTAATTGGTATTAAAATGTCTTAAATCAGTCTTTTGTAAGTCTTAATTTTTAAAACATCATAAATAGGATTATTTTTATAATGATTTATTTTTGTAATCTAAAGAAAACATTAAAATTGACCTTTTTTTTTTTTTTTTGATTAAAAAAAATTATAATAACAGCTCGCCATTATTCATTCCGTCCCGATAGCGGAACCAATAAAAGCGTTGTTGCGGCCGGGACATTTGGGAGATGCACCATTTACTTTTTGTCTGGAAAATATGAGCAAGTGTAAATGTAACCAAAATTGTCTCCAGCCAAGAGTTTTCTCCATGGCTAAAACCAGGGAGCATACATGAGGCTCATTGGATTTTGTGCAAGAAGTCATTCAAGCTCAGAACGATGGGAATTAAGGCAGAGGAGTCGCACACGCGAAGCACAAAACACAGAGGGTCAAAATGGAGTTACAGAGAAACAGCCGGTATTTCTCAGTTTTGTTCCACCCTTGTCTCTGCAACGCCTCCACTTATCACCAAATCAAACATACAAAGAAAAATAACTGCAAAAAAGACTTAGCACTGGTTATGTTGTGGCTTTAAAACTGATTTTTGTTCCCTGCTAGAACAAAGGTTGTGAATTCAGTTAAATAATTGTTAAAATATATCTGTCATTTGTGGGTTTTTAGCTTTCTTCCTGTATGGGAAGCTTTTCAAAATTTGAAACAATAGTGCAGTGGTTTATGTTAAAATAAATCTTTGGGTAAAGTTGTCGCAAGCGGGTTTTTCTTGTGTTTCTTGTGAATTTGGTCTTAAATTTTTATTTCAAGTGGCATTAAAAAGTCTTCAATTTAACTTGCCTTATGCTGTAGGAACCCTGAGTAGCTTTGATAGTTCCCAGCCTTGCCAGCAGATGGCGCCACAGCTGCCTGTTTGCTCATTGCTCCTGATGCTGGAATTTTCTTTAATAATAATAATAATAATAATTGAACTTTATTGTTCTGACATTGGAGAAATTTATCTTTGACATTAACTCATCCCCTTGGGGGGCCAGTTGGCTGCCATCATGGGGCGCCCAGGGAGCAATCGGGGGTTAAGGGTCTTGCTCAGAGACCCAGAGTGGCAGTCTGTGGGAGTGGGGTTCACTACCCCATACTTTAGTATCAAAACGACTTTCTAAACACTATCAGGATGGACATTTTTTTTTTTTTGTAAATAATCATATTCATGAATAAAGGGTTTTTTGTCTTGTGTGTGTGTGTGTGTATATATATATATATATATATATACGCACACAAAATGACTAATGTTTTTCTAAGATCCTCATCAGGATTAAATCTTTGAAACTCCTCTTTCCTGCAGCAATATCTTTACATCGTGGACTCGCTGAATGTTCCCACAGCAGACTCCCAGTACCTGCTGGAACTCATCCGATCCAGACACTGGGGAGAGTCTGTGCTACTGGTGGATGTGTGGGTATATTTTCTCACTGCTCTGGATGCTCTAATTGTATTTGTTTTTCATTTTATTTTATTGATACTTTCAGGTGTGACGAGTTTCCTGAAAATATTCTGCAGGCTACAGAAAAGCTGAAGACTGTGAACCTTATTCCAGCCATCGGTGGGTTTTAGATCAGTCATTGCAGTTAATTTCTGTAGCAGCTCTGCACTACAATTGGCTGATTCTTTTGACCTCTTACATAAGATGGTGTTTCATCCTTTCAGGTTTGAATGTACACAGCATGCTGAAACATGAAGCCGTCATCCTCACCCTGGACACTGTGAACTTCCTGGAGGAGAAGCTGCTTTGGCACGACCAGCGGTTCACACCTCTGTACCCGTTCAGGCTGCCGTACTCTGACTTCCCTTAGACCAGGGGTGTCCAAACTTTTTGCAAAGGGGGCCAGATGTGGTGTGTTAAAAATGTAGGGGGGGGGCCGACCTTGGCGGACATTCTTTACATAAATCAGCCATATATTTAAACAAATTTCAGCAAGCTATTCTGTATTTCACATTTGCTTTTTTATTTTAATTTCAGCCATCTTTTGGTTCATTTGAAACATGCATATTAGGCTATTGAATATTTACTAGACTTGAAGTAATATTCAATTCAATTCAGTTTATTTATATAGCGCCAAATTCACAACACATGTCATCTCAAGGCACTTTACAGTTCAACCAGATCATCCAGTCAAATTGATACAAAGTTTTCTATCTAAGGAAAACCAGTTGATTGCATCGACTCATTGACTCAAATACAATCCCTCACACTAAGCATGCTTGTAGCGACAGTGGAGAGGAAGAACTCCCTTATAACAGGAAGAAACCTCCAGCAGAACCAGGCTCAGTGTGAGCGACCATCTGCTGAGGCCGACTGGGGTTCAAGGAGACGGAAGCAGAGACACAAAAAGCTGCTCTAAAAGGCGGCCCTGTCCAGGAAACACACAGCCAGACAGACAAGCTCCCAGCCAGCTCCCATGCCAGAGGATGAAGAGAGCACATCCAGCCAGTCGCAGTCAGAGAAACAGGACGACACTAGAAAACAGGCCGATCTCCAGCATTCAAGTAATAGTACTTGAATGCAAATTACATTTGAAACATAAAAAAAAAAAATCACCATGGCAGTTCAATATTTACAGAATTTTTTAATAAAATAACAGAGAAATGAGCAAGTAATAAGTGAAGGGCTCACTGTAAATATGACATATTAGTAACCATAAATGTTGATTAGATTTTTAAAAGTTTATTACTCTGGAGTGAAAACTGACGTGTTTGAATTTATGACTGATTTTGATCTTACAAAACAAAATTTATTCAGAGTTATTGTAAATGACAAATGACCTGTCTGCATTAATGCGATGGGTGATACTGAGACCTGGACTGCAGCACATAGGCCAGGTCCAACTCATAGGCAGTGGTATTGATGCACAAGATGTCTTGTAAGTGATTTAAGTTCATTACAGAGAATGTCTTCTCACGCAAATACTTCGACCCAAATAAGCTCAACATTTTCTTAGCAAATGCTCGAATCTCTGCAAAACTTCTGAGGGAGGAGGCCGTTTGCCAGATCGTTCCTGATCACCCAGCGGAGCTCGGAGCGCTTCTTCTCCGTCGGTACGATGTAGGTGTTGGGCACGTAAACCCTTTGAGGTCTAGGCTGCACCAAAACAAAGAGGGGCAGGGTTAGACTGCTGTAAAACACAACCATTGGCCATCTCCTGGTCATTCAGCTGGCAGTCAGCTTGTCCACTCCTTTGTTTTTGTTGGAGTCCAGGATGATTATGGGCTTTTTGTCACTTCCTGATGACACAGCAGCATCTTTGAAGAGTGGACATCAGTATCACATTCCGTCGTTTTTTTGGACAGTATGAAACAACAGTGGTGGTATCTGTGAAAACAAATTTGGAAAGTGGAGCCCTGTCCTTCACCAGCAACATTTCAGCGGGCAGCTCAGGTTTATTTTTATTTTTTTTATGCCCACCATGGTGAGTTTCCTCCTGAGAAGTTCTTGTCCAAATGCATAGCTCGTTTTTTCCCTCAAGGTTTGTCATATCAATTATGACTTTTTTTTTTGTGACAATAGCAAAAAAAGATCAAAGCACGTCTTGATGTCACTTACTCTTGTCCCAGCAAACCTCGTGACCCCAGGGGTCATTTTGACGATGTTTGCAGCAGCTGTCTTTCCATGCACATCAGGAGGAACTGCGCTCCAGCGGATGTTGCCACGTTTGGATTGGAATGATTCAGCAGGAGCAGCTTCAGCACCACTGACCTCTTCAGACTGATCAGTTGTGTCTGTTTCTCTCTTTATTCCACTCTGGATTCTTGTGAGTGTAGTCTTTGTTCACTTTATAATAAAAAATAAAGTTTTGAAAACTTCGGGTTTCATTCTTTTCCTGTTTTGTGTGTCAACTTTCACGGTTGCTCCACATCATCTTCGTTCTCAGAGGCCAGCTCGCCTCCATCGCTAAAATCCTGTGAATCTTCTCGTCATTGTTGCATCCTGTGAATTGGAGATGTGTAATCTGCAAGTCACCACCTCTACACTCAAATGGCTTGACAAGCCTGGACATGTCTGCCTTTGTTTGTTCTCACAAAAAGGCAAAGAGAAAAGACCGTAAATGAAGCTCAAGTGTTTGGAGGAAGAGGATGTTTGTTGATTGTGTGTTCATGATTTAATTTTTGGCATTTTTTATTGTTTTATAATCGGAAACTTTAACCGGATCACAAATTACCCGAACACCACAAAAGTCATTTTTTCACCAGAGCACTTTATAATTTAGTAAAAAAATTTTATTTTAATTTGTTTAAAAGGAAGTCCCTGATAAAGTCAAAAAGTTTTAACGCAAAAAAACAAATGTATGAAGTGCATGCTAAAACGTCTGTAGGGACCCTAACACCATAGGAAGGTTAAAACTTCTGAGGGAGGAGGCCGTTTGCCAGATCGTTCCTGATCACCCAGCGGAGCTCAGAGCGCTTCTTCTCCGTCGGTATGACGTAGGTGTTCGGCACGTAAACCCTTCGAGGTCTAGGCTGCAACAAAACAAAGAGGGGCAGGGTTAGACTGCTGTTCCCATCAGAATGTGGAATCCTTAAATCTCCGCTCCTTCAGGACGCAGCGTTCCCTGAGGGGCCGATAATGAGCAGCCAATAGAAACAGCTCTAGTCTGACCCAACCCAGAAGAAGTTGATGCAGCTCTTGGATGTTTGCCTAGATATTTACATAGCTGGGCTTTGGAAAATATATAGAAAAACAAAAATGACTATCCACTATCCACGAATGTCCTAAGGCCACCATCAGAGGGCGCTGTTTATCACAGTGTTCAGGCTCTTAATACAGAAATTAACAAGCTTTTGGGGCTCCAAAAAAAAAAAAAAAATCCTGAATCTCAGAAAACATCTGTTTAACGAGGCACAGTGACAGTTCTGACCACAGGTAACTACAATGAAACAGGAAGTGGAAAATCAAAGACTGGATCTGTAGCATAAGCCTAGTAAAGCTAGCCTGGGTGCCATTCTGAACTTAGTCCCGCCCACAATGTTTGAGGTCGGGAAGTTCGGTCTGGCATTGCTCAATGGTAGCGCGAGTATACTCGCCCAATATCTGGTCGGGCCAATCAAATTGTCAGGGCGGGCTTTATACGATGATGGACAGATGATCAACAGTAACGTCATTAACCACATCACCAAAGTGCGCTTGGGTGACAACAACAATGGCTGCCGCTGGAGAGTTGAGGTGTGTAGATTCTGCTATTAGGTCTGTTCTAGAAGATATCGACAGCAAATTAATTTTAAAAGAGGAACAGAGAAACGCGATCAAGGCATTTGTTGAAAAGAAAGATGTTTTTGGCGTCCTTCCTACGGAATTCGGCAAAATTTTAATTTATCAGCTGGCTCCCTTGGTCGCTTAACATACGTCACGCACTCCGTTGCTCTTATTGGTTGTAGGTCTATCCAATTGAGTGCAGAGGCATTTTTTTTTCCTGGGTCGTTCGAAACACGCCCCATAATCACAGCTCTATGGAGCAGTATCAGACTCATATTCTGACTAGAATTGAGTAGGACTACGTCAGGTTATAGTAAAGTAGCCCCAGCTGCCAAAATCAGTTTTGCCTGCGGGTGGTCTAGCCTCGATCAATGCCTCGGGCTCTATAACTGGCGGGCCAATCACAACGCAGAGATGTGTATTGAATTTCTGGATGCAAAGCGGGTGGGGTTTTGAGGGTTTTGACGACAAAGCTGCACGATGCTGGAGAAACGCAACAAGGGAGATGGCAACAACTATTGAACAGTTCTCGTTTGACTCAGCTTTGGAATCATTTTTGGAAGGATTAGACTTGGGGGTTTCGTTGAAACGTGAGCAGTAAGAGGCTCTACGCTCATTCATTTTTAAGAAGGACGTATTCGCCATACTACCGACAGTTTACACTCCCCCACCAGCTTTCTGTCGCGATTCCTACGTCACAGTCAGTTGTGCTCATTGGTCAGAGCGTTGGCCAATAGGAGCAGAAATTTTTTGAAAAACAACGGGTTGTTCTCAACAATCTTCCGATGTCTCATTCATCGGGGCTAGACTAAATTACACATTTAATCTCCCATTTAGTCTGGTTTATTAGGCTATCTGTAGCAGGTTGTGCGCCACACAAGCAATGCTGCCCCCTGGTGGTGAAGATCTCCATTAATGTCCTTCTGTGTTTCCAGTTATCTCTCAGCCCTAAAGACAGATGATACTGATGACATCTTAAAACCTCATTTGTTTGGAGCCAACATTCATTTATTAATAAATTAGTTTCCTGTCAGTTTTATTCCTACACTGCATTAAAATATAGGCTAGTTTAACTTTATAAAATACTTAATATAATAATAGTTGAACTTTATCTATCTCTTAATGGAGAAATTCACTCTGCATTTAAACCATCCCCTTGAGAAGCAGTGGGCTGCCATTGTGCGGCACCCGGGGAGCAGTGTGGGGTTAAGGGTCTTGCTCAGAGACCCAGAGTGCAGGCAGTGGGGATCGAACCGGATACTTGCAACCTTCTCAGGGCGCAGCGCACTGCTCTAACCACTAGGCTAACACTCCCCATTAAAGCAGGTAAAGCTTTCAGCTTTCAGACTGGAAGCCTTAATGTTTACAAGATTTAAAGATAATTTGAAGTCAAGAGAGTTATTTAAAGGTGGTAGATAAAAGTTAAACTCTTCTCAGCCAGTAGGTGGCGCTCACTTATAATAGACACAATCTTGTGAATTAAGTTAGAACCATTTCATTTCTACTTTTAAGCTCCAAGTTTTCCCTCCGTGCCTGGATTGTTCCTGCTTGTAATTTTCTCAGATTGTTTTTTCCTGATCATTCTCTTCACTTCTGGAGGCGGGCTTTCCTCTGGATTGAGGAGCGAAAATGCATTTCTATTGGTCCGCTGGGCAGCTGCGACATTTTGTCGAGAGTGAGCGTTTGGATTGGGCTCGAAGTGAAAAGAATGATCTGTGAAAAGCAATATAAAGAACAAATCTTATATAGAAGAAATACAATGTGCAAAATATAAAAACGTATTAAAAAAGGGAAAAAAAATTCTATAAAAAATAGAAGAAAAATATGAAAAAGAAGTTTGAAATAATAATCTGAGCAAATAAAAACTGAAAAACCTATTTTTAAAGATGTTTTAAGTTTCGTTTCTGCATTTTTTTTCAAATTTAAATTTACTTACAACAACAAAACAAATCCCCCCATACGTGACCTGAGAAAGATCCACAGTGAAAAAGACCACGGAAATTAAAAATAGGTAAAGAACTAAAATGTTAGGTGTATCAGGGGGCGTGGCTTATCAAGCAGAAATCCACCTGTGTGTCAGAATAAGTTTCTGCTCAGCTTTACCTACAGTAAAGGCCAGCTGAAACACCAGGAAGCTGTGAGGATTGTATTTTATATCACTACGGTGGGGGATACTCACAGGTAGAGGCTGGTGTGCAAGTTTGTCCTGAAAACAAACATAAACATGAAGTTAAAAGACAATGCATTTTATTTTGAGCAGATTCCAGTTTCCATCTAGATTAGATAATCTAATCAGCTTCACAGTCAGGTTTCCATACCTTTATCTCCCAACGAAGAGCTTTCCTGTCTTTCTCTCCTGAAAGTTGGAACATTTCCCACATCTGCTTGTACTGGAAATACCTGCAGCACCAAAAACACATCAGAAGCTTTATGGGTAATCTGACTATAGACTGCGATGTGCAGGAGGCAAAGCTGCAGAGCTCGCTTAGAACAGAACATGGTTTTGGTTCCTGTTTCTCTAATGCTGCTGAGATTTGTTTTTTTTTACTAAATAATCTGTTTTAAAAGTTTCTTAGCCTGGCTGAACAGACTGAACCTGTTAGTCATCATCAGTATCACTGCTTTATTAACTAATGGAAATCTTTAGGTTTTCTGGTGAACTCCTGGTTCTAAAGGGACATGCTGGTGAAGAACCTCAGTCGTCCAGGTCGTAGTCATCCCAAAAAGAGAAAATTAAAAACAATCCACTGGACTTTGTTTCCAAGTTGGAAGACATTTCACTTCCCATCCAGGAAGCTTTTTTTTTAAACACATTTTGAATTTAAAAAGTTCCCTAAATGAGAAGCGAAACGCTCCAAAATTTTCCTCAATGGTTGTTCAGAGTTCACTCGTGAATGCGGCACTTAACTGGCATCAGCAGAAACACGCCTAATATTTACACACTTAAATATTTATTCATTTATATAGTGTAACATAACCACTATGTTATTTTTCACTTTTTGTATAAAGTACATTAAAGTCTACCAACAACAAACTGTCTTGTAGAACAGTTAGTTAATTGGTAATATTATTTCAAATCTCCACTGCTTAGAAAATTATGATGGGAATTAATATGCTGGGTTATTTTGGCGTGGAGAAATTTCTGAATAAAAAGGGGCGTGTGCATCGGGTGACAGGTCTGTGCAGCGGGAGTTTTTGTCTGGTAGTCTGATAAATACAAGTCAAAAATAAAGAAAGAAAGATAAAAGACAGTCTAAGATTGTCCCAGCGCCGCAGATCAGCCAAGTAGAAATCTGATCGGAGTTTGCACCCAGAGGACGCCGCCCGCTGCAAGGAGACGTCGCCCAGGGGAAAGAAAGACGCTCCGGTGAGATCTGGACCTTATTTTTCTTTTTGGGGATTTTTGGTGGTACCACTCTTTTTTTAATCTTTTTTTGGGGGGGTATACTGTTTGGATTTTTCGTTTTGGAAAGGACTTTGGACTTAAAAGGTTCCAGGATTTTACTTTGGGTTCGGAGCGTATGGAACTCCTGTTTGGACATAGAAATAAAAAGAGATGGACAGTTTTGGACTTTCAGTTATTAGGGATGTTTTTGTTTGTTTTTTGCGGATATAAATTGAGACTTTTAGTTTACTTATAAATTGGTTGTGAAGGTTTTTTGGGTTATTTATCATTTATACTGAAAAATTATTGAATTAAACTTTGGATTCTTGGTAATATTTTATTATTATTATTATTTTTAAAATAAATCTTTGTTTGCTAAAAATTGTAATACTTTGCCTGATTTCCTGTGAAAAGTATTTGTGAGTTCCGCTTTTAATCTAGCTGAATTTTACAATAGATTAACCAAGAGTGATGGCCGCATGTGCAACCACACAGCAAATGGTCTGGTAATTCTTTCATTGAATCTTATATTTTACTGTAATGTATTTCATTTTTTTCTACTTTGATTTGGCATTGGTTAACTATTTGGGTGCACACATTTAGTTGACTAATTTTGTCATTTCTTGTTTGTTTGGTTTCTGTACATTTATATATTTTTCATTTGAGTTGCCAGTTCCTGGAAGGCTGCCATGAGTGAAGCAAGTAAAGGAAAGGAGGCCCCAGCTGCAAAGTATCTCCTCATTGACATGGAGGCCTAGTTGGACTCTTCCACTTACATTTAGAAGGGGTGTAGAAAGGGTTTAGGTTTCTGTATTTGGTTTTGTTTTCTATAATAACATTTGGAAAGTTTAATATTTAAGTCCTCTTCCTGATTGAGTAGGTGCTGATTAGTTTGGTCTTTTGTTGTAGTTTTGTTTAGGAAAATGTATTTTATGTTTCCCTCGTGTTTCAAAATGGTCTGATCAACCAGTGTGTATATATATGTTTCCCTTGTGTCAGTTAGGTAGGTCTTTTCCTGTGTCAGGTTTGGATTATACTGATTTTTGTAATTTGTTTTCTTTGATGGGCCCAGTCCTGTTTGAACTTTATTTTTGCAAAATAAATTTGTTACCATTTTTTCATCAATGACTTCCCTGTGCTTCTCTGATTTTTTTGGCTCGGTCCCTCACATCAAGATTTTTTTATGGTTCTTTTACAAGATTAAATCATTTTCAATTAGGGAGATAAACCAACTTCTTTTATTTGCAATGTATTGATTAAGTTAGATAAAGAAAAATTTGTTTGGTAAAATTAACCTTTTTTTTTTGCAAAGTGTTGATTAAAGGACAAAAAACATGTAGCTAATTCTAGATTACATGTGTAAACACAAGCCTGGTGTGATAACAACATAACCTGGACAACAAATACACTTAACTTGCTTCCATTTTATTTTATTTTATTTAAAACAACCTCATTTAAGTGAGAATCTGGGACATTTGGGAAGCAGCCCCGTGACTATTCATTTGAACCATGCAGCTCTTCATTGAGACCTGTCGTGTTACTTCACTGCCTCTAGTGGTAAAGCAAAGTATTACAAGGACAATTACAGAATAAGATCTTTCCCATTTAGGGCTGAGCAGATTTTTATATAATTTAGTCTGTACATCTTTCTCTGGTTGCCTCTCAGAGCTAAACAAAATAAATAAATAAAACATACTTTTAACTATATTGGTCTGTAAATATTTGGTTTTACTACTGGCCTTTCAGAGCTTCCATAAGATCTATTCACAAGATTCTGGAGTCAGTTTCAGCATCTTGTTATGTTCTTATACACCATAAAGCTGTTATTTCAAAGTGAGGTCATAAACTCCGCCTGTTTGCAAGAAAACACATTTTTGGAAATATACTGCATTATAAATACTAGATAATGATAAAAAAAATGGTGAAATGTTTTTGTGTGAACATTCTGGATGCTGGTTTTAATAAATTTTAATATTTAGTTCATTTAACATTTTAAAATGATTATTTGCTTGTTTGTCTGCATTTCATCCAGATGAGCATAAAGGTGATGCTTGGCAGAGATGTGTCTGACTTACTTTGCCACTGGATCAGTCTTCTTTATGGTTGGTTGAAGGCTCACTGGTCGGATGACTGGAAGCAGAGTCAGTTTGGTCAAACAAAACAGAAAAAAAAACAAAAAAGAAACCACTTTGTGATACCAAATGAGAAGAGAGCCAGTAAGGTCAACTGGGTCTGAGATAATCTGTACCAACTTACAGGATTTGGGTTTGGGTCTTCCATCCCTATTGCTCTGAGTTTGAGCCTGTTTAAAGAGAAACATTTCAAAGATCAGACATCTTTGCATGTAATAAAGTAAAAACGAGAACACGTCTCCCTAAAAAGCATTTTACTCACCATGCCGTTGATGTAGGACTGGAAGGCACTCAGGGTGAAGCCATCGGCCTCTGAGGTCGGGGAGCTGCTGCTCTCATCGGTCACATCTTCGCTCTCTGCTTCGGACTCCTGGTCTGACGGGGAGAGATCGAGCTCGGCAATTCGCTCCTCTAGACAGCTCGCAGCGTCTGATAAGAACAGGCAACCATGAATGAAATGACACTTATACTTCTAAAAGTAAAGCTTTAATTCTAACAGCATCTAGTTATACGTAATTGTAAACAGAAACTATTTGAAATGGTTATTTCATGCTAAATTACCTACTAGACTTTTAAGGCTTTTAACCTTTGAAAATGATTTGAAAATCTTCATATAAATGTTGATGAAGTAAGGAACATGTCCAGACAATGTGATCATCTAAAAAAATAAAATAAAACCACCTAAGGAGGAGAATAGCTGACCTGTTATTTACACATTGGACTTTGTTTCCAAGTTTCGCTCCCCATCCAGGAAACTTTTTCAAATTAAAATGTCCAACATTTTGAATTGAAAAAGCTTCTTGCACATCGAATATGTTTTTTTACAACCTGGTATCTTACAAATGAAACTTCATTTAAACAAATAGAATCATAATATAAAAAAGCTTTAAAGATTTCTGCAAAAAAAAAAACCTGTTTCGTACCACCAATGTCGCTTTCTTGAGACTTACAATTAATTCAGCAACACCGATGTGTCGGTGCTTACGTCGAACCCATGGAGAAAAACACCGTATCGGTGTGCGTGTCGTTTCAAGAAAGTCATGTGACCGATACAGGAGTTGTTTCTAACTGACTGACTCACTAAACTGTGTTTAAAAACGTCAACAGGATGCATCTGTTAAAAATGTCTCATGTTTTGCGGTTTATCGTTAAAATAAAAGCCTTAAAGGAATAGGAGAGTTTCAGCTGTTGCGTTATTTACTTTGCGGTATTTGCTCGTTGTCTCATACTTTTCCGCTGTTATCGCTCAACTTATCTGAATTTAAGTTCATTTCTGTTACTGTTACTTACTTACATTCACATTTTCCCTTAAATTTTTTACATTATATGTTTGTAGCATTTATTGGCTGCATCTAAACATATAAAACATATTTTCAATTTAAAGATTGATATGAAATTATACAATATAACCTACAATAACTTAAATTATATAATTGTACTAGGTCATCAAACCAATTCACTCTGTAAAATTAGCTGTCTGTAGTGTCTTTAAATGTCCAGCAGGTGTCAGTATTCTGAGACAGTATCAACGCAGCATCTATACAGTTTGCAATGATTTGAAATGCTTCCAGATGCCTCATTAACCCATCACTACTTACAATCTCCTCAACTTTTAGAATTTTAAATACCTTAAACTTGCTTGGTTTATAAAGTTCTCAATGGACTTGTACCACCGCGATTAGGGATTTCATAAAACCGAAATCCTCTACTGGCAAAGCCACTGGGTCTACTCTTAGAGGAGACTATAATGTAGCCTCGTGAGACCATCCTGATCTCGCGAGCTTTCAAGATTTCACTCGCTAATCAGTCTGGAGACTCTCCGTTGAAGAAAATTTGGAGCCGTTAACCAAACGAACGTCCAATCAGCGTTGGCTTTGAGGCGGGTTGAGGTGTGACGCAACGAGAAGCGCGACAGTTCAGTCTGAAGAACATGGCGGCTTCAGCCGATGAAACTAGCGTTAGCGTGGCTATCGAGCAAGTTTTATCGGAATTACAGAGTATTTCTTCACTGAAAGAAGAGCAAAACACTGCTCTGGAGGCTTTTCTCAGAGGAAAAGATGTTTTTGCTCTTCTCCCGACTGGTTTCGGCAAGAGTTTGATCTATCAATTGACTCCTCTTCGTCGTCGCACTGTTACGTCATATGCTTCGTTGATCTGATTGGTTTATTTGACCCGTCTATCAGCAGCATAGGCCAATCAGCTAACCAGTATTTTCGCCCCTTCCCAAAATTGCTTCTACGGAAGGTTTCCAGATGGATATGCAGAGAAAATCCATCTGGTGGAGTCAGGTTAACTGTAATGTGCCCTTCAGATGGACCAGCTTAGGATGATTGTTCTTTCATCAGGGGCTGGAACATCTGGAACAGCATCCCTCTAACTATCAGAGAATCCTCCACTTTAAAACATTAAAAAACGGAATAAAATTAAATAAAAAATTTGCTCATTAGACCTAACTGATCTCCTGGTGCATGACTCAGATAAATGTCAGGATAAATATCCGTATATATTTATGCTAATTTCTCTGAACTGTATGACCTGCCTTTGTAAGTATATCGCCTCAATTTGTTACATTTTCTATGTTTGTTTTATCATGTTTTTCTATAATTGTTGGTATTATACACCTTGCCAATGGACAACAGTTGAAAACTAGCTTCATAGCTAATACTGACACGTTAATGAACAAAAAAGGAAAATTTCCAAAAAAGAAAGTGCAGTCCAGAGATAAAGGTTTGAAAGAAAATATGAAAAAGAAATTGAACAATTTAAATCCTAGAAGTTACTTTCAACCCTACTTTGATTTAAAAGTTTTAAAAAGATTTCATTTCTGGATAAAATATTCTTTCCCGATTTTCGACTTCCAAACTTTGCTTGCAACAATAATGGAGCAAATTTCCCTCCATAGATGTAGGACCTATACGGAGATGCTAGTAAGTCCTAAACCTCAAGAGAAAATTGTTTATTTTAGTTACCGCCATCCGGCCTATAAATGTGTCTCAGGGATCCACTGCCATGATTTTGCTGAATGAGGTTAAAAAAGCATGAATGAATGTTCCTCAGGCGGCTATATAAACCGACAGGAAGCCATTTACCCCTCCTCCAGGCCTCCACTGACATCCTGTCATTGGCCCTCGAGCAGAAATCCCATCTACAGTCTTTATATCTGACATCTTTGTAGCTTGAGGACTGGTCTGGATCATCAGAGGGAAATAACTGCTCATCTCCTCCTTGGCTTTCATCCAGTCCATCTTTTAAACGCTCCTCATGAAGCAGCAGCATGTTATCTACATCAGTGTGGCGCTGCCGAACCTCTGATGGTCCCCCCGTTCCCGTGGGCAGGTCCATGTGAAGTTCGCTGACCTCCTTCGGCGTGCAGTGACTCTCGCAGCGAGTGGCGACAGTAGGAGCTGCACCGCCCCCTGATGCACCGGCTGCAGGCTCATCTGGACCAGGTGTTCGTTCCTCCTGAAGCTCGATGAAGCTTTTGAGTGATGGCGAGTCCTCTTCATCGTCTCTGAACTCGGACAGATCTTCTCTGCTGCATCGGTTAAACCCGATGGTGGAGCGAGCGTCCCGGTTCTCCGCTACCTCCTGCTCGTCTGCTCTGTAGGTGCCATAGCCAGAAGTCACTGGGCTTACTGGAGGACTACCACAGCTGCTGCTGGGAGATTTACCATCATCTTCCTCTCCCTCCTGAGTCCCTCCATCAGAACCACAGTGTCGCTTTAACTCTGGATGTTCCTCCTTTAAACTTCCTGCAGGTGAACCCTCCGGATCACAGACGGGTCTGCAGTCAACCCCTCTCATAATCTCCACCTCCTCCTCCTCCTCCTCCTTGTCTCCTGCCTCTCCGTCAGACCAGAAGGAGGAGTAGAGGGAATTCTTCTCGTCATCGCTCTCTTCGTCCCACTGATCATTACAGGTTTTGTACATGGCGGCAGCCGCGCTGTGAGCTGTGTGGGGCTGAAGGATCAGTGAAGGCAGAAGGTTGGAGGACAGAGCTAAGAGGATTAGCTTGGATCCTTCCATGCTTCCTCTCAGTGACCAAACAGCGCCACCTGCTGGTGGGTATGCTTTAGTTAACTGACATTTATGCCTCTATTGCAGGTAGTTCTAATGACCTAAATCTAAAGTCAAGTTAAAGCTTAAAATGATCCAGAACCAAAAACGTTTTAGATGTAAATTTGCTTCTTGGGGTCTTCTGAGCATTTTTAAGGCAAACAGATGATTTCAATACCTAATATGTTAAAACATTTGGTCTTTGGTCTTCCATTTGTTGAAGGCAAACCAGATGATTAAATGGAAATGGAAAGTTAGAAAAAATATATTTTTTATAAATTAAAATCCAGAAATAAAACTTTTTTTAATAAGAAAAATAAAAAATATTCTATTCAAATCCAAATCTGACCAGTTAACACATCAAGGTAGGCTGCTCTGTCCCTCCCTTTGGTCATTTTTGTTGTGTTTAAAGTTTTAAAAAGGTTTTAATTAACAAAAATGACAACCTGGACAAAACAAATGAAGTTTCATGTCAAGCTGAAACTCGCAGCAAAAACACGCGTGCTGCTTCATTTTTTATGCTTGTACATAGGGCTGGTCGATATAGAAAAAAAGCTTATCGATAAAAAAAAATGCATATTGATCGATATCGATAATTATTGAAAAGATTTGAAACCATATTTTATGTGCAGCTCTGCCTGGACTTTTTATAATATTGCTAAATGATTTAATTTTAATAAAAAACACAAACACAGACTTAACCAACTTTTTTAATCATAACAGAATTGTTTTAAAGAAAAATAACTTAAGAGACTTGGGTTATGTTATTAAATACTGACAAAGAATAAACTAAAGTGACCAAAAGAAATATAACAAATAAATAAATGCCCCCCCACCGCCGCCGCCGCCCCCGTTTCCTGCTTTAACCTGAGTTATTACTTTGAAGTTTCTGGCCCCTCAGCATTTTTATCTCAATTGTTAGAACTACGTGGGAAACTGCCCAGAACTGAAAATATATATATATTTTCCCGAAATTCCCGAAGATTCCTCGGAGGAGAGCCGCGTCGGGGCCTACACAGCTCGTACTCCTGCGGGTGTGAGCGGCTGAGATCATAAAAAAAAAAAAAGTTGGTTGTGTTATCAGACTTGGTTTTCACTGGTTCCCTACACATTTTCCAGATGACTGTGGTTTATTTTTGGTCCGACTTGCCATGACCGAAATACTGCCAGACTGCCGAACTACAAAAACCCTTCTTTGGAACAATTTCCTCCACCTCTCCTTGCTGCGACATCTTCATGTGCTCTGTGTTGTGGTTTGAGAGGGCGGCGCTTGGTGACGGCGTGCCTGGGTCCGCGATTGTGATTGGTTGGGAGGAAGCAGTGACTAGCATAAACCTACATGCTAGGCTACAATGAGAAGGAAGGAAAACTGCGTTTCTTTTTTATCGAACTTTTATCAACCCTCTTTTTTTCTATTGCGCCACACGTCTATCGATCGATATATATCGTTATTGAATTATCGCCCAGCCCTACTTGTACAAGTTCATTACTGATTCGCGGCTGAAGCATCTTTGCTGCTCTGGCTGCGTGGTGGAAAAGGTGGTCTGATGGGCGGAGCTACCCTTTCCTTTCTTTGCCTGTAACGATGGCAGCTATATTTGCGGTGATCAGTGGGTAAAAAATTGTTTGAATCTGTTTTGAAGTAAGAAAGTCCATCTGAAAACATTGTGAGTGCAGTCAGTCCATCAAGATTACGATCCTGTCTTCAAATATTATCTTGCTGTCAGAGCCGCTCAGACCCCCATACACCGGCGGTCCTCTGTCACTAGGAATCCTGTTCAACAGCAGCCTCGGGTCCGGTCGCCTCTTTCAGGGCGGCTGGAAGAAGTTTTTAATGTACGTAATCCAAACTGCAGGCGCCAGAATAATAAAAGCAAAAATATTTTGCCAGCAGGTTTCAACCTTTTAAGTAAATTTAGGCGTGAATAAACTATTTCAGAGGAGTGATCACAGTGCTTCTCTGATTGGTTAATGTGGCGCTTCATGCAGCAAGAGTAAAATTTATCCAACTCCAGCAGCTGCTGCTTCTGAAGCGCATCAGAATCTCATGACGCGCTGCTTCAGCTGCTCAAAACACACTGTGGGATGCTTTGCTGCGCACTGATGCGCGTCAACCATTGAGTTTGCATGTAAACTAGCTGTTTCTGCTGCTTGCAGTAAATGGCCTGTACATATTAGGGGTGGAAAGGTAAAAATCCACGGTTCAGTTCGGTTCACGGTTTCGTGGTCACGGTTTTCGGTTCGGTTCGGTATATTTGGATTGTTAATCCGAAATCACATAATAAATTAATGAAATTAATGAAAAAAAAAAAAAATCAAAAAAATTAATGAATTTTAATTATTTTTTAATGATATGCGGAAACCTTGGATCATTTCTGCATGTTTTGCTGCTTTGAATTTAATCATCTCGCGCATGCTCTCTACCATCTCCAAGGAACTCAGAGGGGAGTGGACGGGAGCCACAGTGGGGGCTGCAGGCTTTGGTTTGAGCAGCCGGTCTGGAGCGCAGCGGGCGGAGCGCTGACAGAGTATGAGGGATTTCCGGGTTAGCATGACATGTTGGTCATGTTGCTGTTAGCATAAACAAAACCTGTTGCACAATGCTTGCACACTGTTGCACATTTATCCACAACTTTCTTTCAGCCGTCATCGTAGGTCACTAAATGCAAAGTGGTCCCATACAGCAGACCTATAAAGTGCTGCTGGCGCGTCTTCCAACTCCTGTTCTTTCCCACTCGCCATACCCACACAATTCTCCACAACAACTGATTCTTTTCTGCTACACCCGGCTACGCTGCTTCTTCTTCTTCTTCTTCTTCTTGTTTACTACTGGTGGTTGGGTTTGGTCGCAGTACCGCCACCTTCTGCTCTGGAGTGTAATCGCTTCCCCTATGAGAAAACGGAGCAGCGCATGAACCGAACGAAACACAAGCGAATCGAACAGAGACAGTTGAACCGAACGGTTCCGACGGTTTTCATAAACCGTCCCTATTATGCATCCAGGCATTCAGACCCAAACGGTGAACTGCTGTGATGTTTAGGAGTAAAATGAAAGGGAAGCCATTTCTGTAAAATGTTGCTTTAAAACTCAGATGAAATATGAAAGCTTTTTTTCTTCCATTTTTCATTAAAAAGTATAAAAAAACAAGCAGCAGGATTTAAATAAAAAATATATATATATATATAATTATTTATTATGCATTTCATTTAAACAATAAGCCAAAAAACAAGCTGTGATGTAGAAAAACCGAACCGAGTCGTGTGCTGAGGTACAAGCCGAACTGTGCATTTGGTTTACCGTCGCAGCCCCCTTTACTACAGCCATACGTCAACGTAGGAAATCAAGCTTTGCAGCGACGCTTTATTTTGCTCCAATGGATGGAAGCATGTCGAATTGTTTTTTATCTAACAGCACGTCAGAGCCACATACCCTGTTTTAATGTGAAGTTTACCTCTCAGTACATTGGAAATTGTAAGTGTTTCACGTTATTCAGCTTTATTATTCAGTTACTTAATAGAATCTCATTTTGTTATGATATAAATAAGTTTAATAATGTTATGATATAAATAGGTTTAATAATGTGTCATAAAACGTTTTTGTTTCTGCAGGCCGTATTTAATTAGCCTGGGTGCCATTCCGAACTTAGTCCCGCCCACAACGTTTGAGGTCGGGAAGTTCGGTCTGGCATTGCTCCATAGTAGCGCGAGTATGTTCGCACAATATCTGGTCGGGCCAATCAAATTGTCAGGGCGGGCATAATACGATGATGGACAGATGATCAACAGTAACGTAATCAACCACGTGACCAAAGCGCGCTTGGGCGACAACAACAATGGCTGCCGCTGGAGAGTTGAGGTGTGTAGATTCTGTTATTAGGTCTGTTCTAGAAGATATTGACAGCAAAAATCGTTCACTCTCATCTTCTTATTCTAGGCGTGCAACTGCACGCTTTGATTTTTGTTGACAACAACTATGCGTCGCTTAACATACGTCACGCACTCCGTTGCTCTTATTGGTTGTAGGTCTATCCAATTGAGTGCAGAGGCATTTTTTTTCCTGGTTCGTTCGAAACACGCCCCATAATCACAGCTCTATGGAGCAGAATCAGACTCATATTCTGACTAGAATTGAGTAGGACTACGTCAGGCTAGTATTTAATACAGTTAGCAGAATAAATTTGTAAAAAAATATTTTTTTCTTCTATTCAGCATATTGTAGAAAACATACTTAGGTTTATTGTATGTATATAATTTGTGGTGCTCCACATTACCTGAATCTTCTGTGTACACCGACTCGTCACAGATGAGAGATTTTCCTTTTCGCTTCCTAAATAAGAAATGCAAAAAGAAAAAAGTTTCTGTAAAATCACGGCAAAATTTAAGGTGGTATCTACATACAAACATTATAAATGAAGATCATTTATTCCCTCCGAGTGAAAAATCTGACTTCATCTGCTCCATCCTCCTCAGATCTAAGCAGTAACAACTTCTATAATAATAATAATTATATCACATTGGAGAAATGTACCCATCCCCTTGGGGCTTCCATCGTGCGGCACCAGGGAAACAATATGAGGTTAAGGGTCTTTAATCAGAGAGCCAGAGTGGCAGTCCATGGAAATGGGGCTTGAGCTCAGGAATCCAAGCTCTATGCCCTAACCACTAGGCCGCTACTCCCCACTGTGGTCGTTATAGTTCTATTTTGTGAACCCACCTTAAAACCTTTCTCTTGATGAATCTCCCCTGCTGTTGGTCCGAATAGTAAGTGCTGCTGTCTGACAGCGCCGAGTCCAGGGTGTCTTCGGTATCAGGCTGTACCTGCAGCCTGCTGGGCCCCCCAGCAGACAGCTGCAGCCTCTGACCCACAGACTGCTCAGCGTTTGTATCACAGCGTCTCTGCGGCCACCCGGCGCTTATGTCCTTCTGTTTGCATAATTGTAAAATATGACACGTCAACTTAACAGGATTAAAAACAGGAGGAAGTATAAC